CCCCCCCTTGACGTTGAGTATCCCTCCGAGAGACACCTTGGCCAGATCCGCATTGTCAGTGCAATGGGCGCACAAAGACATGGGGGAGTGCGGCGCCTTTGTCCCACACGGCCAGCAAACTCGAAGACCAACGCACAAGAAAGTCCCACGTAACCCCACGTCAAAGAGGCCCTTCAAGGCCATGCTGTGCTGTTATTTTCGTACAATAGTAGTACTTATACAGTCCCTCGTGGACCTCGTGAACCACAACAGATCCGGCTGTCCTCACATGGTGGGTGGCAAAGGGCGAGATTTCCCGTCGAGAGCCCCCCTCCGTCCCATCTCCAGCGTACAGACCTCGTGCTGCCCCAGCAGCACTGCCGGACCATATACACACAGGCCCTAGGCGCTCATACTGTACAACCCAGCGGTGCGACGTCGTATCCGCCGTGCCCGTAGAGAAACCCTTTCGCGATACAACTTGCTGCGCTCACTCGCCCTCGTCACCGCCCATCTTGGCAATCCACTTGTTCATGTGCGAGTACTTCTCCTCAAACGTCCGCTGCAGCTTCTCCCCGGCCGCCCACATGGGATCGCCCTTCTTCCAGTACGTGAAACAGTTGTCAAAAATCTGCCGCACGTCGCGCACAAACTCTTCCTCGTTGGGGTATTCGCGCCGGTCCATCTTGGCCTTGATCGTGCTAAGATCCATCGGCCGCTTGACTTTGTCGAAGTAGTCGGGCACGCCGTCCTCGGCTGGCTCAACAGGATCTTTGAAGGGTCCAACAAGCCGTGTCCAAAACCCTAACCCCAGTTTCAGCATGCCAGAGACGCATATCATGCAGCCCTTGGCCATAGATGTCAAATATGACTTACCAGGACCTGAAAGCATTCTGTTCAGTAGATCGGCGCAAAAGTCCAACTTCTGTGCCGTCGTAAAGTTGCGCGCGTCCACAAATGCAGCGCTAGTCCGTCGTTTCTGTGGCTTTGGTAGTGCCGTCCGAGCAGCTCTGCGTCCTGCAGCTGCTGGGTCGAGCGGCGAAGCGACGGCGCCTGGCGGTCCGCTTGACCGTCGGTTCTTCTTGATGCTATTCAATATCTCCTCGTCGCTTGCCTCGTCCAGGTAGTGGACGTTCTTCCTAGGCAACGCGGCCGGAGCACCAACAGCAGGCAAGTCCGCCGGTGCGTGTGGTGCCGGGGAAGCATCAAATGAGCTCATGGCAACAACAAGCTCGCTCAAGACCTCCTGCGGCAGGGATTTGGCAAACTCTGCCCGAGCATCGGAAGACCGCATGTATTCTGCCGCCCAAGACAAGAGCAGGAGCCGAATTGACGACCCCTCGGGAGTATCCCTCCATACTTGTATGAGTAGCGGCGTGGCGGGGATTCTCTCGGTGAGCCTGCGGCATTCTTTCATGGCATCGAGCGTCTTTTCGCAGAGCCCATCGACGCCGAGCTTGTGGCCGAGGTTCCAAAGGCCCACCAAAGACTCGTATGACGGCACGTTGGACTCATCGGCAATTAACACGCCGGTATACAGGTAGTTTTGTGCCAGACCAAACACTTCTTTGGAGCAGTCGGGCAGTCTGACGACGTGTTCCAGGGCCTCGTCGGCGGGCTTTTCCGCAAAGTGTTTACGATAGAACTCGGAGCGGTCGCACAAGAAATCTTTCTGGATGCCAAAGGGCTGCTCGTCGGTGCCGACGAGGATTATGACAAAGACTGGGTGTGGTTGGCTGGCGGGCAGCTGTCAGCTTGTGATCGACGAATGCAAGCGGCCGGGCGGTCCTACAGCCACGAGAACTTGGGCGGCTTCTCGGATGGAGCCGGCTTTGGCGGTTCCGCAGCACCATTTGATGGCGCCTCGGTCGACATTTTGACAGTGCTTTTGAGTCGGGTCAGAATATTATGATGCCAAGGTGGGGGAAGTATGAGATGTCGACCGGCTGCCGTCCGCGGCGACGATCTGCGGCTGACGACTATGAAAGCGACCGCGACCCTCGCATCCTCGCTGCCGTGAAACTAGCTCACGCATGCATCATTGCCAGCATCACTCATTGAGCGCTGACTGAGGCAGAGCGAATGGGCGAGTTGCGGGCTTGATTCAGGCGCAGAGCGTGAGGTGAGGTGAAGGAGGACATGACTTACTGATGCCTCGGGAGGGCGCCTGCAGCGCCAGTCTTCGGGGCAGGACTGGGGCTTCTGAGGCTGCTCTTGAAGCCAGTCAGACGCGCATGGCACGCGCGCCGATATTCGTGCGAATCGAACCGCCGCGCGGTGCAAGAGTTGATGCCCGATGACCAGTCGTCGTGAATCGACGCGGCGAGAGGAGCTTCCGGACATTGGCAATGCATGCGGTGGCACCACCAACGGGAGGGCCTCTTGATTGGCCGGGCCTGCTTATGTCATGCCCCGGATGCGGCTCATGTCACTTCCCCAGCTCGACCACGGAGAAGACACCACCAGCAGCACCGGCGACGCCTTTGTTCAACAGAGCTTCAAAAATGTATATGGATATTGAGTAATGGACTTCCCATCGGTAAGGCTGAAATGCCTCATTCTAGTGTTTTGATATTGGTACCGATCTGACGGACACCAACGGATTCACACGGTCGCTAACGACATCCCGATGCACCCAACGAAGGAGACAGGAGTACAGACACGTCAACAGCATGAGAACATACGCAAAGCCGCGTAGTTTTCACAGGGCGCTCAATTTTGAACTGGAACACTTCTTCAGGGACAGTCCGTTTTCCACACTCGCTGTATCAAACTGGTGAGCTGTTGCGTCCGACCCGTGTCCGTCTTGCAAATCTGCCTACCCTAGACCGAGTGAGCCTCGCCGTGTTCACTTCCCGCCTCCTCCAAGTTCATAGCTGCATCCATACCACCATCACATCACTGTCACGACCCACGACACTACTCGGGCCGTATTTGAGATGACTGCACGCATCTACTGAACCATGTTGGAAGCTCAAGTAGACAATACAGGCGGAGAAATGAGCAAGTTGCTGAAGACGCAGCCCTCCAACTGACGTCGTGAAATGAGAAGCGACCCATTCATGCATACGTCTCCGCCCGTACTGCTATGTTCGTGTGAAGGAGCTTGTACCGAGAGCCCTTGGATCGACGGATGATGGTAGGAAGACGGCATGCGCATTCGATGGCATCATCTGCATTATCCTGGGTGACAGTCCTTCCTTTGATACCCCAAGAGCAGACAGGCGGGTCCTACGCTCCCACGAGACTGACGCGGATTGCTTTCAGGACTAGGAAAGTAAGGAACGCAAAAGCCTTCGCTGTTACGTAAAGTACCACGTCCAAAGGCTGAACAAAACATCCCACCCGGACCAGACTCGTTGCGATGTTGAAGTCCACGAAGACATGGCGAGCGTGGTGCTTGGAATCCATGGCAGTCGGGTCCAAGGAGCGCACGACAATATAACAGGCCCTGCACGAGGTTATGGCCTTGCTGGAGAGCGATCCCAGGCGGGCAGTCACCGCTCATCCAGACACAAGGGTCACGATCGCCCGCCAGCAATATCGCAGCGATCGAGCCGGGCGCACGATGCGGCAGCGTCGACGGACATCACCACCAATGTCGATTCTGGATTGCTCTTCCTTGGCTACTGAGAAATGCGATGAATACAGGGAGACCTGCGCACGCAATGCCGTCTCAGAATAAGACACTTCAAAAGTCGGACTTGCCTTGTTCGCGTCGGTCACCACCATTCTCTCCCCTCAGCGACTGTCCGCAGTCTAGAATGCGGCAATGCCGAGAATCAGCGCATCTGGATCGAAATCCCATAATGCATACCAACAAAGCAAGAGTAACGATGGACCATGCGCAGCTCCGCAGTCGTCGGCCTTGGGCGTGACACCGAGAGACGGGTGTCGCGTTGAAGAGCCCTGCCACGATGGTGCTCCTGTCAAGACATGGCGTTGATATGTGCACATGTTGCATGACTACTCAAGGGGCCCCTATTCCCTACAGTAAGGCAGAGCGGCACAGGTAGTCACGCAGGCCTCTATCCTGCGGCGAAGCATACGCCGCCTGTTATGGTGCGCGCAACACCGTGTCCGGCCCCGCAAACGGGGTCCCCGAATCCTGCCGCACATCCATGGACTTTGGCCACTGCTTCTCAATTGCTGGCGGTGTGTTGGTCAAAATCGATTCCTCAGCATTGTCCGCGTTTATGCCCAGCGTTCGCGGCGATATCAATGCTCTCTCTGGGATGAACTGAGCTAGCATTGAAACATTATCTCGGGAAGATAAGTCTTCATGCCCATAACTCTAGTATCGTATGACTTCACCATAGTATTCTACTATATAAGAGGTAGTCGATTCCGACCTCTAGATGTCTTTCATCCTGCACAGTCTCATCCAATCGCACCAAACGCAACAAGCACCAAACGCAATAAGCACTGAACGCAATAAGCACCAAACGCAACAAGCACCAAAACGCAATAAACACCAAACGTACACCATGAAGGCCTCAATTGTTCTTTTCGCTCTCGTCCAAGGCCTGGCCCTCGCCACTCCAATTCAAGGAGGAAAGGCCGGCGAGGCCACCGACATGAACGACCCGCTCATCCGCGACCCTCACCAACCGCTTCCAAGCAAAACAGCGGCGGGCCTCCCGTTCACACTTCGCGAGGCGAAAAAGTGGTACGACCAGCATACCCTCCCGGACAATTGTTTTGAGGGTAAAAACAAGGAGCTTTGCGATAGAATCTATAAATTCTGTCTCAACATCCTTGACCCACTATACGAAGACGACATAGTTACGGTATCTAGAGACGAGAAATTCCGTGGTTGTATTATTACAAGACTTCAGCATGGAATGCCTAAGAACTACTATTAGAGGGCTCATATAACTCTTAAGTATCTAAGTATATTTTAGTACCTTATTAATATACTATTACTTAAGCTCTTTAAACTTTAAACTTTAATTTTATAAAAATAAAGAAGTTGAATCTTTTATATATAAGGCAAGTATAAGCTTAGCGGGGTATAATAGTAATAGTATTAACGCCCTGTCCCGGGTTCGGCCAGGCAAGAGTGGCAATAGCTATATAAAACGTGCCTCGGACGCTGCAGTCACCAGCCGTCAGACACTGAAGCTTGGAGAGAGCGAGATGCCAGGGAAATGTCCCAGCGAGCAGAGCGTCACCCGAGACCTCCCGCTGGCCGGTCTCTGCCCAGCTCTTAGTAGAGGGCTTCGAGATTCGGCGGCCTGCTGGAGATGTAAGCGTCCGGACCCTGGCCCCGGAAGGGCATTATGACTTGCAACCGTGCAGTCTGCGGAAGGCGGTGGCGTGACGGACGGAGGACGCATCACCAGATGGCATCTCCACACGCCGACTCCCGTTGTCCTTGGCCCCTTCAAGGGACCGCCCGCCGCCGACGGGGGTGTCCGGTCGGCGCCAGGCCCTGGACGGGCGCGACCCCCGGCTCGTCGTGCTGCCCTGCCCTTGGCCGCCGCTGCAAGATGCTGCAGCCCCAAAACCCGTCGTCAGTCTGTCTGTCTGTCGTGCGACGCACGAGAAGGAGACGCGGAAGATCTGCAAGTGCCGACACCAGCCGGCCGTGAGCCCCCGAACGACGCCGCCCCCCAGGCGATTGCCGCGCCGACGGACAGACCGCAGGCTGCACCGTCGTACGCGGCGCCGTCAGATAATGGCTTGGCTCGACGGAGAACAGGCGGCCGAGATGGACGCTGGCAGCCGGCATATTCGCTGCACAATACGTAAGTATGGCTCATACTTTCCCCACGGGGCAGTTGTCAACTCATCGCCCGCCCTCGTCCCGCGGCGAAGCCCAACGCATGGCATGCCGGACCGAACCCATCGCGAGCCGACCCGGCGCGGCATTCTGGTCCCCAACGCCGCCCTAACAATCGCTGGAGCTCCGCGACGTTCGGTCCCGGAATGGCTGGCGGCGTGCGGAGCGGGCGGGGGCTTGAACTGCTGATGCTGTCCGCCGCTCCGGTGGCACCACAATAACATCATGCCACGGCCTCTCGCGGGTCGGCTGATGTTCTCCCCTGGCGGTGGTGGTCAAGGGATGAAACAACCCGACCTGAACCGAGATCTCGGCCGACCAGGGCTTCGAAACCCATGGACCGGCTCGCCGCGCTCTCCAGGGCTTTCTCGTGCGTAGTACATAATACTTCGTACTCGTACGCGCAATGCCGTTTTGCATCTTGCACGCCCCGCGGCCGCGGTCGTCGGGAGGATTGCCCCGTGCCATGCGCAACGATCGGACCAACTCACGCCCTCATCCATCGGACGCGAGAGTCGCATATCCGCCTGCCGGACAGGGTTGTTACTCGTGCAGACACGCCCCCCTCTCTTTTCTCGTCCCTCCAATGTGAACCACGTCGTCGTAATGTACAGCAAGTGCCCATGTAGCTTCCTTGATCTTCTGCGGCTTTCGCTTTGTCCCTGGCTTGGCTTTGCTTTGCCCCTTGGACCCCTTGGCTGGGAAGGGGAGGGGGCGCCTTTACTTTGTGCGAAGAACGTCGGGGACGCCCCCGTTGAGTTCAGCTCCTCATGCACACGCAGCTTCAGCCACCGCGCATAACTGCACGTCTGTACCGCCTCTCGGCATTCGCAGGCCCTCTTGGGCAGCCACATACAGTGGCGTCGTGGGAGGGTTGCAACTGCATGCACGAAGCATATATGCGCTTGCGGCAGAGACATCTGCGCACAAGTGCACTTGAAGAGAGAGCAACTCCCTTTGCCACTGCCTCCCCCCGCTTGGCAAGGCGCCCGATGCCGCGAGGCGGAAAGGCATCACCACACCCTATAGCACGCCAAATACTGCACTGAAAAGGCACACCGGGGCCCGTAGAGTTGGCCGCGCTCCTCACAACCCCAGGATCGGACCCGCGCCCCCTGCTCGACCCGCGCCTCGACCGTCCAGCGGCCACGCCCCGACCCCTCCTCGTCCTCCTCCCCGCCGCTCTGGGTTTCACCAGCCCGCCTCATCAATCCTGGGGGAGGCAACATAGGGAAAGAAAGGTGGCAGTAGCGGGGCGGGTACGTCGCAGGTTGATCTGGGCGTTTGCGTTGCGCGCCCGTCGACGACGACAATGAGCCCACTCGTCCGCCCCTTTCATCGATCAGATGCCCACCCACTTACCGAAATACTACGTGCCACTTGGGCCTGGATGTAAATGTTCACCTGGCAAGGTACATGCCGCAGGTGCGGATGAAGCACTGGGGCTTTATGGTACGGCCTGGAAGTTGTCGGTGTTGAAGGGGTGGGCTGGTGCTTCTGATGAGGCGCATTGACGGCGGTCTCCGTTGAGACGAGGGACTGGCAGTGAGTGAGTGAGTGAGGGAGTGAGTGGTGACTATCATTTGACATGTGCATATCTCTCCCTCTCCCTCCCCCTGTCGGCCCCGAGCATGCGGCCATACAGCACAATGGCATATCTCACGAGCAGAGGCCGCCGCTGGGCCAGCCAGCCCCCGATAAGATACTGCGATGTGCGCATTCTCGCACACAAAGATACGCACGCACAGCTCATCGCCGGGCTCCCCTCCCCCTTGTTTGCGTCCGAGAGTCACCTATGGACGGGCGCTGGGCGAGCACGCCGGGAAAGCTTGGACCCCCGTGATTGCGATTGCGGGGGATTAAAACGCCGGCATGGGGGTTGGGAGTGAGTGTACTCTGTCTGTCTGTCGATAAGGGCGGGCCAGGCAGCCGCGGATGGCGCGAGTGCGATGCGCCTCCTTGGTTTGTCCGTCTGTCTGGGGCTCGCTGCAACGAAGCATCGCAGTCGATTGTGTTTGCCTGCTGGTTGTATTGTGATCTATTTGCACGCGAGAGTCTCCTGCACCATACATAATACCTGGAGCACACACAGTTGCCGTGTCTACTGTAGGTACGGTTCCAAGTTGCCCGAGAACAAGGCAACATTCCCTCCATAGCTTGTCCGTCATGCACCCTCCTCCGCGTGCGGGTCGCCGGCAAACCGTCCGTCGACTGTGTGTGTACGAGCACGGCACGGTGGCAGGGTCGTACCGATGTGCGAGCATGCATGCAAATCCCCCCCGTCGCCTGTCGCCGGCAGCTAAAGCCGGAGGGGATCGTCCACCAGCAGGCGCGCTGAGATCCGATCCAGGAAGGAAAGGGCAATACTGGCACACTGGGCAGGCCGGCGGCAGAGGGTTGGAGTTATACCTAATTTGTACGTAATGCCTCTCTCCCTTTCGCCGTCGCCGCGCGATTCGCAACCGCAATGGACCATGACACGCGTGGACTGTTGTCGACAAAATCACGGCTCGCGAGCCACCCGCCAAGCGACGTGACTCATCCTGGCCCAACGGCCCAGGCGACACAGGGACCATGCTGGAGTTGGAGTTGGGCCGACACAAAGGCGGTGTCCAGCATGCAGAGCAGAAGCCTCGTCCTTCAGCCAGGCGGCGAGCCATGCCGTGCCATGCCGTGCGCGCTTTTCAAGCCCCGTGTCTGCGACAGCTGGAGCCAATGCCTTCTCCACCGTCATGCAACGACAACCGGCGTCGCGAGCGAATTGGAGCGCCGCCCCGGGTCCCCAGCTCCCCAGCAGCTCGCGGCCAAGGTCAGGTCAGCCCACGGCAGCCCGGGCAGGGCAGGGCAGGCGGCCGAGCAGACGGACACCACGACACGACAGCAGCGCGGGCCCCTGGCAGCAAGCAGGCAGGCAGGCAAGCAAGCAAGCAAGCAAGCAAGCAAGCAAGCAAGCAAGCAGCCCAAGCGAGAACCAGAGGCTGCGATGCGATGCCCGGCCACCAATCGCACCCCTCCCCCGATTCACATGCAATAGGGCTGGGAATGACGCGGGCGTGGCTCGACCAAAAACGTGGAGCAGATCGACCAGCCCAGCGCGGAGCGCAAAATTCAACAATGTACCTCCTCCCCACAGGTACTTCCGCCGTCGACGCAGAGGTGGGGTGCCCAAGGTGCTTTGCGTGCCCTGCTGGGAATGGGCTTGAAAACCTCAACCGTATCGCCGGTGGGGCACCGGGCTGGCACTTGGCTTGTCCATGATGCCATCAGAGAAATTTTTAGCCCTTCCAGAAGCATGTGGGCGTCGTTCTGGCGCTGGCGCTGGCTTGGCTGCCCATGACGAAGCCCTCGCTGAGCCCGGCTTTGACCGACCTCCCAGCCCAACGCCCCCCGCCTCCGCCGCCTGGCCGCGCGCCCCGACGATTCGCCGAGAGGCGACCACGATAATTGTTAGGAACCTTGAATCAGGGCCATTGTTGCAATGCCGCGTTTGCTGTTTCGAAAGCCTTGCCGCGCTCTGCCGTGCGCCTCCGGGGCCCCGTCTCCTTCGTTGTGCGAGTAATAAGCGAGTACAGACGCGTCTGCGAGCTCGTCTTTGTTTTGGGCACCGCTCGACTCGCCGCTTTCGTGTCGTCGTCGTGGCCGGAATCCCCGTCCCCTCCCCTTGCTTCGTCGCCGCCCGCACGACTCGCAGCCAGCCCACCGTGATTTCGCTGAGGCTCGGTGGACCACGCCCCATCCACGACATGGAGCCAAGGGAGCGCAGCGTCGACGACTTCGGCGCTTCGCCGGCGCTTAATCACTGCACCCCGTGGCACTCCCCTCGTCCTCCTCGCTGTCCGCACAGGTGCTGTCGTCGCCTCGGCCAACCTCGTGGCCAAGCAAGATGTCCTCGCTGCCCTGCCATTGTGGCGGTGGAGCAGGCATCGAGTCCTCGTCCTCGTCTGCCCAGCCGTAGTCTTCGTCGTCTTCGCTGTCAGGCACTTCCAGCTCCGTCTGCCCCAGCTTTCGCTTATGACGTCCCGGATCTGCAGACCCTACCGAGAATTTACTGGCGGCATCGTACGCGATGCTAGTAGATCCGGTCTGCGCCTGTGGCGTTAGCACTTGTCCGCCGTCTGGGCCTGTAGCCGGAGCCAAGACGTACAGCTTCAACCTTAAATGCGCAAACGTGCTCGACGCCCCCTTGGATTGCCTTGCCGTCGAGCTTCTCAAGACCGGCCAAGAATACCCCGCGCAGTTTCTTGTCGTCCCAGGCCCAGTCTCTGAAGAGGACGATCCGAGTCGATATGCCCTGCTCCCACACTGTGGCATTGACTGCCGGGACCAACGTAGCGCCCTGCTCCGATTGCATCCGCGTCGCACACTGCGATAGCACTACGACGGCACAGTTTCTGGTAGCAGCTAGTTTCCGTAACGCGTCCATGACGTGACGCAGGCACTGTTGTCGTTTCACCGACGACGTGGGGCCTATCCCGGCGCAAATTAGTCGTCAACTTCAAGGGATCCTGTTCGGGTCTCCTAGGTGCCACTGCCTCACCTTTGCCGGCTTTGAAGCCTTGCTTGACATCCTGGGCCTTGGGCAGCGCTGAGTTGAATAGCGCAGATGCGGAGCTGATTATAATTAAAGAGACGCCCGAGCTCACCATCTCATGCGTCGGACGAGATATAAGAGCCATGAGGTGAGGGAGTGTGAAACACGAGTAGTGTTTGAACCTGGTCCAGTCTATTGAGGAACCGTCCCCGGGCGAGCCAGCCCGTTGCCTAGCAGCTTGAACCGCTTTGACAGTCCTTGCCACTCGCTGCTTGTGCACCTTTTGGAGGCAGTCTATACAGTCGCTTGTCAGCTGCCATGAGCCAATTTCAAGAAGGGAGTCGACGTGACCGACCTACCCACACCACATCGTTGCCGCTGCAGATAGCGTTGGCGGTCATCTGAAGTCTGCGCCCCAGATCAGCGTCGTGAGCGGACGATTGGTGCAACGGGTCGTTCCCTTACGCCAAGGCGGTTTTTCCTGTACCAGGGGGACCCCATATCTCCGTCACCTGGCCACGTTTGATGGTGCCCTGAGAGGCTGCATCAGGAGAATCCGCCGTTTCTGGTCCGCAAAGTGCTCGATCAAGGCTATCCAAGCCAGTCACAATTCCGACCCTTGCGTTATGCTCGAGCTCGTCGAGCGCCTGCGACGCCGCTACCGTGGGAAGTCGATCTGGGGCGCGAGTCAGCCGGCCTTCAGCCTGATGAGAGGGCGAATGAACCTACGAGCTCCGGGCGCGTCAAAACTCGAGATGTCATGCCCGTGGATGAAATGGTAATCCATCATTCGTGGGCACGTGTGCAGGGCGGGATGTCATGTCTGAAGTCGTGTTCGGGTTGACAGTCACGGAGGTCGGGGCGCGAACTAGAACGCGAGCTCACGTGATGAAGCAACACCAACGAAAGCAGGAAGGCACAATGAGGCTTCTTGTCGTAACTGAGCAGTCAGTGATCTTGAATTTCGCGTGAGGCCGCCCGAAAATTTTGAAATCATCCCAACACCTCTTGAAATTTTCTTCTGGGCACCGAGTCGGGCCATGAGCACGACCGGGCGACTTTCCGTCGGGCCAGATGCCGGGCTAGCCATGCATGACTTCGTCCGAGTGTAAGTCATCCGCCCTCCTAAGACGCGCCTGTTCAGCGCCTGCACCTGTGACTTCCGACACCCGCGGTTGGCGCCAATGTACTTTTTGCGGAGGCCAATATTCCGTGATGTAAGTGCTACCATGGTACATTCCACGACTACAGTGCATGTGTTTTACGCGGAACGATCCCCGGACCTGCGTCAAACTGGATCACGATGTGCATCGCATCAGTGCAGAATCTGCTACAAGCGGTGAGGCGCATGGACAGCACAGTCTAGTCCCTCCATGGCTGCCTTATGCGTCTGTTCGCACGACGGATCTCCTCCTCGCCAGCTCCTGGCCGCCGCGATGTTTCGGATCGGCATGTCAGCAGACTACCCGTCGTGGCGTCAGACAGCAAGGTTGCTGGGCTGCATCTCAGCTCAATGACAAGGTTGCAAAAAGTTCAACTTGCTCTTCGCCCCCGCCGTGGACAGCGGAACCAAACGGCTACAGACGGGACCGACTGGATCAGCAAACCAGGGCTGGCATCAGGTGTCGTCAGAACCACTTGGCTGCTTTTTCTGGATGCCCGACCCTGGTCTTTCCATACCGAGCTCTCCCACACCTGCTGTCGCCATGCCCGCTTGACCAGATCAGGACACGCTGACAAGTTCCCCTTGTGCAGACAGACAAAGGGAAACGCTCGCTGACGGTGTTCGCACGCCACGAGATTTACTGTGCGATCGGGTCGCACCCGACCACCGACGAGACCCCTGCGCTGCTGTACGAAAAGTGCAGGCTTTTGCATGTAACGTGTTGAAATGCGTTCCGGTCGGTGTCGGCATGGCTTTCCACCTGCGACAATGAGCTCTGGTCAGACAAGGTTGCTCAAGAATAGGGAGGCATGGTGGGGCAGAGAGGCCAGCCGGCCGGTTCCCCGCAAAAGCACGCCTGAGCACGACACGCCCCCGGCGGCCTGGAGCGACCAAATGAAGCAATCACGCTGGGGCTTTCCGCAATCGCTACAAAGGGCAAGAGAGAAGGGACCGGGATCTTGTCGTTATCAATCGCCGCTCCATGTGGGCCTGCACTCCACGGGGTACGACCAAGACCTGGGATGCAGACTCCAGACCCCAGAGAGCACGGGGCTTTGCGGTGGGATAGCTTTGGCCCTGTCCGCCTCAGCATCCGAGGGCAACCAGGACCGACCGAGGGACACTCCGCGTAATGAGGCTATGGAGCAATCGACGGCCCGGCGGCTCAACAGGGACGGTGGTCCGGCGACCCCGAGGGGTGATCTCGGTTATTGGAGGCCGTCGCCGCCACAGTCGGTCGCCGAGCCCCCCGAGCGGAGCCCCGCACTCTGTGATTGCTGGACGGCACGTGGGCGGCTTTGGAGGCTCGCTTTGGCCCAGCACGGACGGTGTTTGCGCGCACTAACTTAGGGATGGCCCTGCTTGTCTTGGTCCGCTACGGACTTTGCGGTGCCAAAAAGTTCTTGATGTCTCTGGAGAATCACACGTGAAAGAGGCAAGGCGTTGTGGACTGGACTCCCCTTGGCGGCACCAGCGCGATGGCAAGAGCATCAGCCAGCCCGCCCGCGAGGGGTGGAGAGAGCAAAAGGTTCGCGAGGGGGACTGACCACAGGACGGACGTGGAATTGCCTCTGCAGCCACCGCCGAGCCAAGGGACGCGGGCGGCCACCCTTGACGGAATTCGACACGGCATGGGGGCCACCGAGCACGCAAACCATTGATACGTGCTGCGGTTCTCGAAAGTGAAGCGACGAGACCAGGCAGTCGGAGGGCGGAAGGCTGACCCTAAACCACGATTATCCGCATTTGGAAGCTGAGCAGACGCAGGGCTCAAACCAAGTCCTCGGGTCCGGGGCGGCTGGTGCTGCTCCTGCATGCGTATCTGGCAACTGGCCTTGCAAGCCTTGACCGGAGACACATGCCCAGACTCCAGGCCGTCAAGGGACTCACGCACAGTTCGCAGCAGCCGCCGGGAGCCCTTGATGATAGGCAAAGGAACGGATCGCTATCAGCACCTACTCTCCGGAATTGCGACTCAGCACTGTATGCCTGGAGATAAGGAGGGATCGCCAGCCGAGGCAAGCAATGACGGGAGTCGCGCCCCGGGTACATTGCGCTCGTGCGCCCAGACCTTTGGCGTCTCGCCCATGTTGCATCTGGTGATGGTGGCACCACGACAGAGCGTGCCAGCTACCCAGGCCGTGGTGCAGCGAGCCCACCCTCGGCGCCCCGGCCGGACTTCCCCGCGACGGAGCCGCCTGCCACTTTCTCCAAGGCGGCGACAGGGAGCGTCATGAAGATCTGAGATTGGGCCCCGGAATTGCCTAAACCAGCTAGACAGGGTGTCGGCTCAAGACGGCAGCTGGCCGGTCCTGGCGAGAACACACGACGCGACTCGTTCCGCTTGGGGCAGCGATTCGAGCGGTAGATTGCTCGAGACCATCGTTAAGGGGCATACAACGCGGAGTCTGGCGAGACTGCCGCGAGAGGCGCTGCGAGGGCCATGACGAAGCCACCACAAGGGGCTGGTTTGGGGGCCGCTGATAAGAGAAGGACAGACAGGCCGCCCTTGGCGAGGCTTTTCGATCTGGCAGCGCACTATCGATTGGCACCCTGCAAGCCAATGGCAGCGCCAGTCGTGGCTTGTGCTTGACAGGATTCCGACGAGGATAGGCAGCCCCCCACACAAGGCGCGCAGGGGTTGGTTTTTGCCCTTTTTTCTTTTCCTGGGGTCCCCAGCTTTCGAGACAGCCAGGACGGGACAGACGGACACACACACACACACACACACATCATTCCACACATGCCAACGTTTGGGCGAAACTTGGTTCACACACGCCTCTGCAGGATGCAAGTCCGGGGGAGTCTGGGGAAAGAAAAGGGCTTCCCCGCTGACTGCCACGAGCCAACGTTCACTTGAGCTAGCAGAATGGCAGGTTGGCGGTCCAAGAGGGGTTGCATTTGGCGATGGGCACCCTCCCTCCCTCCGGCGATGTTGATCCTGGCGGGAAGGGAAGGACGGAAGCTGCGTCTCGTAGTTTCGTGGAACCGCGCAAGAGGATCTGCGATGCCACAGATCCGGAGGCCACTGTTTCGGCCGTCGACGATGCCCAATGACCCTGCGAGGGGTGTAACGAGAAAAGCATCTTGAGGCCTACTTAGCAACCGAGACATGGCGAGCCTCACCCTGTCCGTCGCGGCCCGGTAGCGTCGAAGGAGTGGCCGGTGGCAAACGCGCCGGGATAAGCGATCCTGTCTCTGCCAACATTGCCGGCCACGTCAGGAAGGTCCAAGAACCGTGCTCGAGGGCGTTCGCTGTCGAGCGCCTAGAGGCGGGCCAGAACCCAGGCAGCCCCGGATCTGACAAGCTGGCATCGATAGAGCAAGTGAAGGGCCGAGACGAAGGGCGTCCGGCTTCGGAGGCTGAGCCCTGCTTTGATAGCGCACACACCCGGGATTGATTACTCGGTTGGCGCACCAATTAAGACGACCCGGCTCTCGTTGCATGCCACCTTTCATCCAAGGGCTCCGGATGGCGGCGTGCGTCGTGGTTCGGCGCAGTCGCCAACTTATTGCCATGCCACTTCGCGGAGCATCGTTCGTTCACGTCTTGGCGACCCTCCCTGGACACCGGCGGCCATTTGTCTCGCGGGGAAGCAGCAGGCGTCGAGACGAAAGAAGCAAATTTCCCGCAGCCTGCTCCCTGCCCCGGGAGGCATCCGGTGCCCCGTGCCCGAACCAAACGAGGAAATGAGGCGATAGTCGTGCATGCGCGTGCGCTTCCGTACCGGCGGCTATTGTTGCAACTCGGTGAATCGGGTGCCTGCTGGGGTCAGTGTCAGGGCGACGTCGGTCTGGTCTGGCCTGCTTCAGGGAGGGCGTCTGGGGAATCCGCCCCCCCCGTTGGCCCCCACAAATGGCGCTGCTCAGGCATGGCATCATTGATCACTCAGATCAGCCCAGGCGGCGCCACGGGGACAGGGCGGACGCCCTCGACACGGCACGCCTCGAGATGGATAGCAGTGCCGGGCGCGCGTCGCGGCGATCGGACTCGCCCAGGCGTCGGCGGGCCATCACGAGGACAGGCGCACCGTGAACCCGGCGGTTGCACAATGTGCTGGCGAGCAGCAAATCCACCCCCGACTGGCGGCGGGACAGGCAGCGGTTTCGTTCCCCGGTGGCGGCGCACGTCCGCTTGCGTTCTGGCGGTAAGAGGACTGAAATGGCGGATGCCCCATCCGGGGAAAAGGACGACAAGACGCCATCCGGCGGACGACGGCCGTGATTGCTCCTTGCCAGCAATAGCAGCTAGGTCGAGGTTGGCTGCTGCACCGGCCTGTGCCACGAACACGACGTGCCTCGCTGGGCCAAGCTATCGCGCGATCTTTGGGATATCATGACTGTCTGTGTGGTCTCGTCGTCGCTCGGTGGCTTGCCCGACCAAGGTTGCTTGCCCGTGGACGAGGCTTTCCGTTGGTCTCGCCAAGGAGGCCCCCCCAAGGGCCGCCGCCTGCTTACGTCGGCCTTATAATTTGCTTCCCCTTGGGGTGAGATGAGGTGAGCGCGATGAGTGGCCCCAGGGCCAGAGGCTGCTCGGGGGCGGGCGAGCCAATCAGTCCAGCAGAGCAAGACACGACGCCGGCGACGTGCAACGCACAAAGTGCTGCGCCCCACGAGCGGCCAGACTGGGAGCTGTCGTGACGAGACTCGGCGGGTGCCAAGTACACAGTCACCTTGCCTACCTTGCCTGGCAGTGGGGGCGCACTGGGAGCGAGGGGGAACGAGACAGGACTGCACGAGCACGCCTCGTAAGTCGAGAGGGAATGCTCCGTCGCAGGAGAGGAACAAATGCTCGCCTGAATTCCCCCCCTTTCCCCACACGTCCGTCTCCGTGTGTCGTGCCATGTGCCCCTGCTGCGGTTGCACATGCGCGGAAACTGCGGTCGCACATTCTCAACCATGTTCAGGATGGGTATCGTGTCAGTGGCCTGGGCCACACTGCGCGCCAGGGGACGACACAGGTCCAGCTGTGTGCGTAGCGGCAGAGGCAGCGGCAGAGGCAGAGGCAGGCAGCCACCTGGGCAGCAGCTCCAGTCGCCTCCCTGGCGCGGAGCACGCAACACCGGCCCAGGTGAGGTGCCATCCAGGGAGGGACGGTGGATGGATGGGGGGCATCTCTGACGGGGCGCTGCGATGGCGAGTGGTGAATGGTGAATGGTGACGGCGGTTGGTGGGGTGTGGGCGCGCAAGCAGGCGGGCGGATGCAACGCTCGCGCACCTGGAGAGACGACAGGACACACCCGGCCTCGGTGGAGCGCGAGCAGGTTCCAACGCCCAGCGGCCGGCGGCCAGCGGCCAGCGAGAGCAGCCGCAGACGCAGACGCAGACGCAGACGCGGGCGGGCGGATGGGCGTGCGGGTGTGGGCGTAGCATCCCCAGCCCGTTCCGCCCCAGCCCAAGGCGTTGGCCCCCCCACTGCCAGAGCGATAAAACCGCCGTGCCAGGAGTCAAGTACCTCTGCTGGGGCAGTACATGGACTTGTCGCCCCGACGAGACGACGACAAGGGGGGTGGCTGCAGCCTCCCCATCCTCCCCATCCCCCGTGCCGTCCGCGTCCGTCCGCTGGCAGATTCCATCCACCCAGTGCCGGTGCCGTGCCCAGCGCCTCACTAATGAGACGAAGTGCGCTGGAGCGCACTGCGGCAGCGGCAGCGGCAGCGGCAGCCGGAGCCAGCGCAGCGCCGCGCCGCGCAGGAGCAACACCGCACCTTACCTAAGGTCATGATAGGTACATTCGCGGATGCGAGGACAGCGGCAAACCAAACCACCAACGGCCTCGATGCCCTCCAACAGGCATCAAGGGCCACCATCCGGTCATCCATCCATCCATCCAGCCATCCATCCATCAGCAAGGGCAACGCGCGCGCGCTGTGTGTTGCGGCACAGCACATTACGACGAGGGCGCACCTTGGCTGCCCAGGCCGCCGCCCCAAACCCACGCACCGGCATGCCGTGTGTCCAGCGCGCGCAACTCAGGGCGTTGCACGAGTACTGCCCGTACTCCGTACATGCGCCCACAGCGAGGTTCCAAGCAACCTGGAGGCATGGAAGGCAATGGATTGAAGGCAAGGCAAGGTACCCGAGCCCCAAGGTTACCCTGGTACTTTTTACATGCCGTTTCTCCTTCTCCCTGGGGCGAAGCCGTCCGCCCATCCGCCCACGCCCACGCCCCCCCCATCCCCCCCCGTTAACAGGCCGGCTGCGCGTCCCAACTTCCCTGCCGCGCTGCAACCGCTCCCACCTCCCCGCCTCAGGTGGCCTGAGGCGGCGCCGCCGTCTCCAGGTAGGTACCCGTCCGCCGCGCCCCCCCTTCTCGAGTTACCGGCCAAACGGCTTGGGGGCTCCTCCCCTCCCCCTCCCTCCCCCCCAGTGTGCCCCGTAGCGCCCTTCAGCGGCCGCAGTCGCCCAGAAGTTTTTTTCTGCCCCTACCGTCCCCGGGTGGAGGTACTTGGCCCCAGGTACCCTCCAAACTGCCCAGCACTTGTACCGACCCGGCCGAAGCCGCCCTTTTAAAACCATTCCCTCTCCCCCGTCCCTCCCCAGAGAGAAAAAAGATCTCCCCATTTCTTCCCAACTTCAACACCACCCTCACCGCAGAAGCTTTCTTCGACCCCGGATCCCGCATCCGGTCTTGGACTACTCACCACCTGGCAGCACAAGTACCATCCACCGCCAGCCACCGTCGTTACTCAACAACCTCAACCTTTCCTTCGTCTCCTCGCCCGCAGGCACGACAGACTGAGAGCACGCACGTTCGCTGGCAGACTCTCTTGGCCCGCGCATCCCACCTTCCGATCACATGCAACGAGCACAGTCGGCAGTGGATTTCTCCAATCTGCTGAATCCCTCCGCCAGGGCTGACAGTAACAACCTCGACAAACCCAGACAGCAGGATAACGACGCCGACATGGCTAGCGCCGCCGTCACCGTCCTCAAGCCCAACGGGCCCATCCCCGGCGCCCAGTCGTCGGAGAACTCCAACGAGCTGCCCCGCCCCTACAAGTGCCCGCTCTGCGACAAGGCCTTCCACCGCCTTGAGCATCAGACGAGGCACATTCGCACCCACACTGGCGAGAAGCCCCACGCCTGCCAGTTCCCCGGCTGCAGCAAGAAGTTCTCCCGCTCCGACGAGCTCACCCGCCACTCGCGCATCCACAACAACCCCAACTCGCGGCGCGGTAACAAGGGCCAGCACCACCATCAGCAGCAACTGCACCACCATGTTCAAGGACTACCCCCGCACCTGCACCATGAGGGCATGATGGCTCCTCCTCCTGCGCCCAAGACCATCCGCTCGGCCCCCGGCTCGGCCCTGGGCTCGCCCAACGTCTCCCCGCCGCACTCGTACGCCTCGTTCGCTCAGCCTCACCACCCGTCGAGCGTCCACGGCTACAACCGCAGCGGCGACATCTCGATGCTGGCCAAGGCCGCTACCCAGGTCGAGCGCGAGACTCTCGCCGCTCCCACAAGCCACCACAACGCCAGGCACCACCCGTACTACAACCATGGTATGCCCGGCTCGAGGGGCCACCTGGCAGGACTCTCCTCGTTCCATATGTCACGATCTCACTCCAACGAGGACCACAATGACGACCACTACAATGGTTCCCTGAGGCACGCCAAGCGCTCGAGGCCTAACTCGCCCAACTCGACTGCGCCGTCCTCGCCCACGTTCTCGCACGACTCGCTCTCCCCCACTCCGGATCACACCCCGATCGCCACGCCAGCTCACTCGCCTCGTCTTCGCCCCTTCTCGGGCTACGAGCTGCCGAGTCTGCGGAACCTGAGCCTTCAGCACAACACGACGCCTGCCCTGGCGCCCATGGAGCCCCATCTGGACGCACCCCAGTTCCCCCCGACGCTGGGCGCCAACACCACTCGCAGCCCTGGCATGTCTCTGTCGGACATCATCAGCCGCCCGGATGGCAGCCAGCGCAAGCTTCCCGTGCCCCAGGTCCCCAAGGTGGCGGTCCAGGACCTGCTCTCCGACAACGGATTCAGCAACAGCGGTAGGAGTTCGACGACGGGCAGCCTCGCAGGAGGTGATCTCATGGACCGCGTCTAGAAGACGCCCTACCATCACGACCAAGCCCCGCACGACATGATGACTTTGGGATATAGAGGAATAGACAGAGTCGGCGTTTATGGTTTTTCACACGAGCAAGGGATGGAATCCCTTCGCCTCGCTCCCAAGAGGAGAATGGGTGGGAATGGACGGTATTTGTAACGGTTGGACAGCCTGAAGGCTTATAGACATCACCACTTTCTTCCCCGGCAGACTACATTTTTTGTCATTGTTTTGTTTTTCTTCCCGTTCTTCTTTGCACAGGAGAGACTGGAGAGGGGAGAGGGAGAGAAGGGTTTTGGGAGGTGTAATCTGGATTGTGGTTCTCTTGTTGTGGACCTTCATCACTCAGTCTTGGAACTGGCGGCGCCAAAAAAAGAAATTCGTCTTATGAAGAATGCAATAAGGGCACACATAGTATTAACCAAGCGTTGGGAGTGCTTCCCTTCAATGCTCATATCCTCACATACAAGGCATTACTATTCATCACATTCCTGATACATTTGGACTGTGCTTTTTGAGACAAGGCGTAGCTGCAAGTGAGGCGTGCTTGGCCACTTTCACCGTGACACACAGCGTCTTCCAGACCCGGCCTTCTCCGGGCTGGGCGGTTGCCTGCAGTGCCAGAAATCGTTATATCAGTTTGATACATGGGCCGGTAGGTGAGTGGGCGGCGGGCCAAAGGGGTTCAGCGGGATCAGCTTGGCCGTTGGAAGACGACATTTGCCGGGGGGTCAGACGGGGCGCGTCAGGCGGGCGAGAGACAGAGGCGAACGGCGTGGGGAAATGCCCATGCTGTGTGACCAAAGCCGCAGCCTCCGCTGTCCTCGAGACAGGGGCGGGACCGGGGGGGAGGACGGGGTCGAACCGTTCTAGCCGGAGAGTGGTTGTACGCACGCATTGTACAATGCCTTGTGCGTACTCTGTACGCAGCGTGTGAAAAGCTGTACATGACTGTGATGCGTGCGCCGCAAGCTGAAAGTGTGCCGCGGTGCGCTTGACTGTGTGTGTGTGTGCGTGTGAGTGTGTGTGAGAGGGACCGGGCATGGTTTCAACAAAGACCGATGCTCCCCATGCTTACAGGGGGTTACCAAGCGCGAGTTGAAGCGCGCGATGCAATCTGACGACACTCTGAGGTGCACATGGCATAAGAGAATGGCTCTTTGGGATACGTGTACGCACCGTACCCGCGGCAGAGCTGCCCCGGCCTGGCAACCCCCAGCCAAGGAGTCCATTGACGGTGGTTGAAGCCAAGCACGCACGTCGCGTGGTGTCATGTCGTCATCCACAAGACTCGGCTCGCCAGCAACAGGAGAGTCAGTGGCCACCAACCGGGCAGGCTGCGGCTTCACCAGGCATCCCGGCTGCTCAATCACACAATCACGGGCTCATCGATCACCATCCCTAGCCGTTTCTCGTCGGCTGGCGGCCCGCCGAGATAACCGGCCAAACGGGGATCAAGGGCTGCTATTAGCCGGTGCACAGGATACGGGGTTACGTGTGGCAGCGATGTCGACGTCGCGGGATGCGGCCCCGGGCGCACCAAGTCTGGCCCCACGGGGCAGGTAAATGAGCCGACGGCCCTGGCCTCAAACTCAGTTCGCTCTGACCGAGAACCCCCGGGTGGTGTGACGGAGCGATACGCTAGAGCATTACCTGATAGCGGCGCCGGGGTATTCGCACAGAGCCCAAGATAAGTAATCTCGAGCTGGGCGAGGGTTCTTTGCTGGCCCCGCGGCCACCGCGAAGGCTACGGCAGCTATTAGTTTGGATGTCCGAGAGAGGCCCGATTCGTGGGGTGGTGCTTATCGCTCCCCGTCTCCGGGATGATTTCGGCCCTGCCTGAGAGTTTTGCTGCCTTGGTCGCGCCGGGGTAGAGGCCTCTTGATGTACCTAGCAAGGTCAAAAGACTGGGGAAGCTCGGATTTGATCCCGTTGTCCTTTCTCGGATCGAGTGCCGCAAAGAGGCTCGCATGGTCGTAACGAAGTACCTTGCTTCTCGTCCAGTTACTCGTCCTTGCTCGGCTCGACTGGAATGAGGGCGACGACTCGCAAGGACGCATTTCTGCCACAACTCGAATACAGTTCAGGTCGAAAGCCTTGGGATCGCGGCAAGGCGGAGAATCCCCCCAAGCGATGACACCCTGAGGGTTGGCAAGCTTTCTGACAGCATTGTCCTTGTGGTCGTCGCGCCCCCGTGCTGCCCTCCCACTGGAGACCTGAAGGGTATCGGTGGACACCCAATGCCTTCCCGCTTCGGACAGCTTCGCAAGCGTCTTCACCCACACCGGGCGAGGGGGACTTGCTGCTGGCTCGACGTCGGTCCAAGCATGGGGCCTTAGGGGTCACGTCAGCCATGGCCCATGACCGGCAGAACGGCCCAAGGCTCCCCACCTCGTTTGGCCCGGTTGAGATAATAGCGCCGTGAAACCTCTTCTAGCCGTTGGGGACGAGATCGATCCATGCCCATCATCCACTGCTCGTCGCCATCGGAGCACGGGACGAGCATGTCGACAAGTGATAGTCCGTCCCCTCTGGTCCGGCCACGCGTTCCACTGCTCTTCACTGGAGGTGCCGCAATGGACCGGTCAGCGACACGGCATTAACATGTATTGGTAGCCGATGCTCGTATCGTTTGTGCAATGGAAGCCACTATTTTTGGCGCGATGGTTCACAAGCGCGCGCAGCGAGGTCGGAGTAACGTGAGCCTTCGCCGTTCTGTGAGTTTGGGCGTGCCGTCTCGCCAAGATTGTTCACCAAAAGACACGCGATGAGACCAATGTCTCGCACCGCTGGCCACGCTGGGCGAATAAGAAGTCACCCGGGGCCGTGTGTGTGTCGGTCCGGGAATCTGCATGGCGTCCCCAAGCGCCCATCTCGTTTCCCCCGCGCCCTCGTCGGGGCAGCCGGCTCGCGAGAGCCTGTGGGTTGCATGATCCGACATCGTGCCAGACATTAGCCCAAGGGGAGCCCTGGGCCATCGATTTGACAGCGGCAGGCCCCAGACACGGCTGCCCACAGCGACCTCTTTGTCGAGACGGGACGGAGGGCAGGATGCGGGGCTTTCACCGTGGCTGCCGGGGGTGCCGTGTGGGCTGCCCAGATGCGTCAGATCCGTCCCTGAATTCGAGGCGGCCGACACGGAGCCCGCCTGTACGCGCAAGAAAAATTTTCTCATCCAGCCGTTTTTAGGTTTGACGCGCCTGCAGCAGTGTTGCACGAGCGACGCGGGGAAGCTGCTGGTGGCCTGCCTGGTGGCCCGTCTCGGATCTGCATATTCTACCGGCGTTGCATCATCATCAAGCCGCTTCCTGCTGGGTGACACGGAAATCAATTGCGCCCGAGGCCAGGCAGGCCCGAATACTGAAACGACGGGCGATGAAGTAACGTCTGATGGTACTTCTGCGAGCATTTGATTCAGCCCACGACGTCACGGCCATCCCTCGCAGGAGCTCGTACGACCCGTCCTCGGGTGAGGCACGATGTCGCCCCCGCGTCTGGCTACCAACGTTGCCCGCGAAGCACCCCATGTCATGCCCGTTTTGTCAGTTTTGTTGTGGGGGTGGGGTTGGGGCAACCTGCACGCCAGCCAGGCTCGGCAAGCTCGAAGTAAATTGATGGCTTGCTGGCGGCGTTGACGGACCGATGGTGCGAGCGGCGCGAAAGCTGGTGTCTGGGCAGTAGTACTTGGTAGTCGGCCTACTGGAACCTTCCAGCTCAACGTTTCGTTCGTGCCTCCCTCAGGAGCACCAAGCAATCCGACACGGCCGTGTGAGGATGACGCATAGAGACTCATCAGCTGTGTGAGGTGTCATGCTTCGCATGGGCTTGTCTGGTGCGGAAATGTCCACCCGCTGTGCAACGTCTCGGCTCCCAGTGGAGGCAGTCCGGCCGCCACTCCTCCGGGACGGGTGGGTTGGTAGTTCGGCTCCCGCCAGACAGAAAGGAATGTCCGTCGCCCAAGACAAGAGCGTGGGCCAGGCGCTCGTACGACTCCGCGTCATTTGCTAAGAGTGGCTGGCGACATGCTCCTCGCCGCCAACGCGAATGGCGACTGTGCAGTCGTTGCCAAGCTCCTGGGGCTTCCGTGCTGGAGCCGCTGCAAACCGCTTGCCGTCGTACGAAGCCGTGTCATGATAATTCGCCTCGCGGCAAACGACCTTCCGCGCCTGGACGAGCGTCGCAGTGGAGAATCCTGCCGTCATGCACAGTCGAGGGACGCCCAGCACAGCATGTCTGGGGCACGGGTGGGGACGTCCGGGGCCGCGCTGAAGCCCCTGGCTGACCGAGGGGTCATGGCATGGCATGGCATATGTGCGCTTCGAGCAAGCATGAAACAAGGCACGGGCCAGAAAGGATGGAGCTGGTAGGCACGGAGCAATTGCAAGCAAGCCATGCAGGAGGCAATCGACGTGGTGTTTTGGCAACACGGCAGAGCGGATTTGCAATACCGACCGGCCTCTGGGGGGCCCCGATCGATCACGTCTCACGGGCTTGCAGCTCCGGCCAGCTCCTTCCTTGTCAATCGCAGGCGTCCGAAGCTATCGGTCAATATGACGTCGACGACGCTGGCGAGTGCTTTTCCTCGTAAAGCAAGGGAGCAAGCCATGGCGCCTGCCTGGAAAGAGTTGCATGTGATTATCGCGGCCTCGACTTTCCAGTGGCAGGCGTTACGTACTGCTTCACACCAGGTACCTTGTCCTCCACAAATTTAGTACCGGCACTGCCACGGCCTCCGGCGGATTGTCTGGGGTCGCGCATTCTAGAACGCGGCATAATTTGCACCATTTATCCCTCCCTGGCCGGCGGTCGCCAAGCATCCCAGCCACGACGGAGCCGCCAAGGCGTGGCGAATGGCCCGTGTGTGCGAAGTCCTCCGTCCCGCCTGCGCGGCATCGCGGCCAGTCCTTGCAGCCCGCGCTCCGCTGGACTGCAAGGGCGGCTCGTCCTCACCTGCCTGCCTTGTCCGGCTTCACCTTCTTCACACGGCAGCTGCAACCTGTGTTTGCCACGGGCAATCGCTCTCACCAAGGTGAGGCAGGTGCAATGGGCGTGCCTTGGGGAAGGTCAGGGGGCGTATGATTTGGTTCTTGGCCGGGGAAGCCATCAAGGTCCCCCTAAAGCCAAACTGGAAAGCATGACACGCTGAAGATTCAAACGCACAGAACACGTTATGTGCTCATTGCCGCTCAACCTCGCTCAATCGTCAGCCCTGTTACGTTGCACCTGCCCAGATTGTGCCGGCGCTGAGCCGTCCGGCGCCATGGCGGAAGCGGCAACGGAAGCGGCTGGAGGGGTCCGTCTATCATCCCACCAGCAACCGCCGCCTCCCGGCCGCTGGAGCCACAGGGAGAGCCACAGGGGAAGCCACAGGAACGGACTTTGGCCGCCCCCGAACCCCAGCCGGCGGGCGCCATCAGCTGCTCGGGGTGCCGTCGGTGTTGGTGGCGCGCCGAGGACCCAGCCAGGGGTCCATCGATCCGCCGTCTTCCACTTGCCCGCAGGCGTCGTCTCTGGGGAGCAGATCCGGGCGGGCGGCGACAAGCACACCGCGCACTGTTGATCCATGGACGGCAACGCCGAAGGGCCGCCCTCAAATGCCGTCCCATGTGGGCACCGGTGCGGAGTGCCCGTCGAGTTTGCATCCCTCTGCCGGCACGAATCTCTGCGATCAACGTCCCCCCGCGCGGACACTGGCTCGAAATACTTCCTGGCAGAGGCCGCTAACGACGCCGAGCAAGTCGACGGGCGCATCGCGGCGCAACCACCTCAGCGTCGGAGAATTTTCCACGCCAGTTGGTGGCCGGCCGCACCTCGGCAGCAGAGACGCAGGAGCCGAGATGCAGGACTCCTGATTCACGGATGCTAGGACAAGGTTTGTACGGAGCACTGCAACTTGCCAAGTTTCCAGGTTGCGCATTGGAACGAGGAATTCAGGCCTGTTACAAATGCTGGATCGACAGGCATCCTGGCCAAGCCTCCCACCCAGGTCGATGGGACGTCGGCTATTGCTACAGCCACGGCTGGAAAGGCGCAGGAGGCCGCGACCTCCTGGCGACAAACAGGCCATCGTTGCTCCAATGATCCCCCCGCGTGCCGCGACGCCAACCTGCCTCCAACGGACGAGGCCCCTCTGATGGCTCATGAGCTTGGCATGCAAGTCCAGTGGGAACTTGTGCGCCGGGTGAGGGTATCGAATTATGCAGTCTGGCACCCCGAATGCGGCCTCGATCGAAGCGCCAGATCCGGGGGAACGCCCCGCCCTATCGGCGTCTGCGCCGTATATTGCTATCAGGGGCATTGACAAGTCTCTGTGCCGGCTTCCTCTCGGCACACTGCGACGCCAGTGATGCACAACGGCACACACAGCGTCACCTGCTGTATTGGGCAGTCCCCCAGACCACTGCCCCTTGGTCCACAGATGTAGAGAGCCTGCTGCCGAGCCTTGTAGTGATCCGGCCACATCATGATGCGTGGCGGTAGGGTATGAGCGATGTGTTCGAGAAACAAGCGCTGCGCCGCCCGGGTGGCAATGACAACCCCGAGATCGACGACAAAGGACCCCTAATGACGAGGCCGGCAACGAGTACCCTTGACTTCCGCTGGACGGTGCTGAATTACTTACGCAACCGCAATGCCGAGCTTCCTTGTTTGACCAGCGTTACTCATGCTGGCCAGTTAAGTTGCGTCAAGGGATATCGAGAACCGACTCTGGAAGGCAACGCTGCGAGCACAAACTCTCTCCGCGCGGGTTGGGAGGATGTCGACATGCGCCGGGAAGCGTTGCAACCGTGAGACTTTATGTACGAAGTAATGTGAAACATTAAATGTACCTTTGCATGCGTTAGACATCCGAGCAACAGGCGCCATGGTTGACCCAACGTCATCTGGCGGCAGGTCATCAGTGGTCTCGATGGCTGCCTCAAGGCCCCCCGTTCGCTACGCGCTGTATCCAAATGTCTGCAGTTCGATATTCCATCCCATTCCCTGATGCCGAGTTCGTTTGCCTTCGTCTCGCCATGTCTCTGTTGCCCTCCCGGCAAATCAATAGCGACGCCGAGTCTATCTATTGTGCTGGTGGCTGGCCCTATTCCCATTGCTGCGGGACCAGTGCGCCTTGCAGGAGCGGACGACGCATCACAGTCGGATCTTGGCGCTGCGGAAAGGCACTTTTGTGAGAACGCGCGGCTACAACAATCCATGCCTTGAATATGTCGCTCAATCGCATAATTTTCGCGTCTCCGAATATTGGAGGGGTAGAGGGATCGTTGCTGCGGAGGGGGGGCGGTTGGAGCAGGTAACATGATCGCCAGGGTCGATGATCGACCGACGGCGCAGCCGTGCCGTGTGCCATGCATACGGTCTAGGGGTCGCTCTCGCAATAGTGAGTCTCTCTTGCACTGCTACGACGTTGGAGGCATTCAAGTTTCATTGCGCTAGGTAGGTGGCATCACTCTCGCCAAAGACCTCTGCAACATGATGCCCTTGCAAGACTCTTGCAACTACTAGTCCCACGCCTGTTCTCCTCATCGACCACTTCCCAGCTGCATCTCGGCCAGCCTCTCAGCATTTTGACTGCAGGATATTGGTACCCTCCCGACAGAAGTTGAGGCCTGGCTTGTAGTTCATGTAGCCAAAGTGCGCCGGCCAGGGGTCCTCGAGCGCCCCCTCCGTGAACATGCCCCAACCCCCCACGTAGCGCCCGCACTGGTTCGACACCTTTTCCAGCATTTGCGCGATGAGGAGGGGTGTCGCGTTCTTAACGAAGATCTTTCCCTTAACATTGCACGCATACGCCACGACCGAGCCGCGGATCGAGTAGTAGTTGGGGGCACCGTCGTAGTGCTTGTCCTGGGGGAACTGGCTCTTGAGGTCCGCCACGGCGGCGTCAGCATCCCCGGTGTTGAGCTTGTGGCTGCAGAAGCAGAAGGCGTAGTAGCCGTCGTTGCCTTGCTTCGCCATGTCCTGCGGCGAAGCCTCAACGGCGGCGCCGTCCTGCTCCCGAGGTGCGATGGGACCGCCAACGCGAGTATGGACCTCGTTGCCCGCGTCGTCGTGCGTGACCATGTAGGTGCCCTCAACGTAGTCTCGGGGGAGCGTGATGGCGCCCGCGAGCGTGGCTATGCCCACGACAATAGAAACCAAGCGCATCTTGTTCGAAGGGGATGCGATACGATCTGGGTGAAACAGCTTTTCTGAGTCGCCGGAACAGGCCTCTGAAACCTCGTGAGACTCTCTTCGTGAAGTAGACCGAGAAGTAGACCGCAAGCCTCGCAGGATGGTGCTGTAGTTCCAGAAAGACTTGGATTCGTTTTCGAACGCGAATTTATATAGACATAGATGTGAAGAAAGCGTGATTCACTCACTGACTGGCTCTATCGTGATCATCTCGACGATGTCGCGAAGAGCTTTCGTCTCATTTATGTCAGTACAGACAACGAGCGCTCACTATGTCGCCTCGAAAGCGATAAACCGCACCCGAAATCTTGACATTGATTCGAAGTCTGAGCTCTACAGCGCAAGCGCGTTTCGCGTGACGCACGTCTCGCAGGTTTGTGTCGTTTCATGGATGTGGCTCACCGACGATGGCCGCCAGGTGAGCCGCGCTGCGATGTGGTGATACCACTACAGGCACATTAAGGAGCCGCTTGTGGAACCCCATTGTCGGGGAACGGGGACTGACAATGTGTATGTAGTGGAAATGGCGGTGCACGGATATGAGCAGATCAGATGGGAGATACTCCACCGCTCTCTTCTACGTTGGTGCTTGGCTGAGCTCTTCGTCGGAATGGACTCTAGACTCTGCTGTACAGTACTGTACACTCGTGTGTGCTGGCCACGACCGTGAATGGCTTTCCCATCAATGGCGGACTTCCGACTGATACACCTAGCTAGATCTCGAATATTGAGGACAGGTAGGCGATCGTACGGCATGCATCATCGGTTATCGACCCGAACTGTGCGGGCCAGTCCCCACCAGAGGCGCTCGGTCACGATGCGAGTCAGGAGTTGGCTCGTGCCGCAAGGCAAGGCGAAGTGAAGTAGAAGCCCGATGACATACCTGGCAGGAACGTTCATCCCGTCAATAGGAGTTTCAGCAGCATTCAGTTAAGCCTATTTGCTTCACACTCGCGAGTTCGAGCCCATCTACCGCACGCCAAGTCTTCTCCGTGCGGGCGAGGCTGCCTGGAGCCTCGAGTGACGAGCCCTTGCGGAGAGACTGCCAGTATTGAGGTCTCGTGCGCTTTATATCCAGCCACCAACAAGCCTCAAGGCGATGCGCTACCTTGGTATCTCCGGGGTTGTTCTGCTGTGGCCGGGTGTTATATTCCACCAGTGGTTTGGGCTTAGTGTCCATAGCTAGACCTCTCTTTCAGATTCATCGACAGGCCTTGGCCATCTCAATTGTGTCGCACACACAGACTGTTTAATGGCACGACTTCTCCTCGATATTGGCAGAGAAGCCTGCGCGTTGGAACCGCAGCGCAAGACAAAGATACAGAGATGCATTGGGTTTCAGCGGACACCAGAGCAAATCTCAGTCCAACAGACAGTCATGCCGGCATTGCTTGAAAGGCGGACAGACTGAAAACTTCAACCTAACGCAGTCATCACGGGGAATTGCTCATGTTGACTTTGTTGCTATAGAGTGACTGACTTGCGTGTCTGTCTCGCGAGCCACTCCCTCATTTCCGAAAAGGACAACATGACGGGCCAGAATCTCCGGGAGAAAGATAGCCACAGCCCCAGCCACAGATGCGACAGTGATTTCATCATCTGCGATAATGGGCATAAGGGGGGAAGGCTCTTCAAGATTCTTTCCGCAATCCGCGCGGTCCCGGTGAGGTGCTTTTGCAACTCAGACTCAGGATAGTTGACGGTCACACCAGGAAACTCATAGAGTCGTCCTATGTCCGTCGCGACAGAGCTGGCAGGGAAATTGCAGTTGGTGGCGACTTCACGCTTTTTGACCAGCAGTTCCGAACAAGGCCCTGCTTCCACGGCATTCCAGTAGCCTTCCAGGCAACACCCTTGACACGCCAAGAGATGATGCAATGCAATTATTACCACTTCACACCAAAGAAGCTAAGCTGCTTCTTGCCCGAAGTCGTCTTGTCCTCGGCGTTTTCCAGGTAGATTCTGTCGTGGCCCTTGATGTCGATAAAGAGGTATTTGTACTCGTAGTCGCTCTCGCCGCGCCTTTTGACCATGTGCATCTGCGCGATGCCATTTTGCAATGGACCGTCAACCTGTGCGGGTATTAGCGTTGGGTTCACCAGGTAAGGCGGGTGTGCAACTGACATGGAAGTGCATCACCAGATGCTCGTTCCCTTGTGGATCGGTTCTCTCAGACGACCTAACGGGAAGTCAGCCACAGGCCCACGCGCCATATACATGAGGGTTCGTACGTAACGGGGCGAGCGCGGCGCCATTTGTTGAATGTCTCGTCGCCGTGGGCGATGATCTTCTTGGAATCGCCTAGCAGCTCGATGCACCTCGGATCCTTCTTGATCTTGTCGACTGCTCGGTTGAACTGAGAGATTTTGCTATCGGGCGAGAACACATCGGTCCAGAGGAAATACCCAACGGTCCCCTGCTCCAATGTCAGTACCAGGTCGACGAGAGACTCCGCAGGACGTCATACCGTTAGCACGACTCCGACAATAATCATGCCAAAGTTGAAGCTCTGCTGCGTTGCCCTGGCCGTCTTCTCTGCCGCTGAAAGCTCGCTCCAGGGGACGTAGCCGTCGTCATTGAAGGGCGTGACGCTCCTCCGCCGCGGTCCTGGGCTGGCAGTCGTGCCAAGACCCTGTTGCGTCGCATACGATCTCGTCAGGAACGCAGGCCGTAGCGACGGAGGAGCGGCGGCGCAGGCGCGCGAGCGCAGCGCGAGGAGAGAAGTTGTCGGTTTCATCATGGCGGCTCCTCGCAGTCCATGGCACCAGGGACTACGGGTTGGCGATGGCGGAGCAGTCGTGTCGAAACCAAAGACGAAATACTCCAGTCGTTGGCAGCAGCACCTGCTGATGAAGCTGCCCTCGGCAGAATGTTGCAGCAGCGACCTGTGGGGCCCGGTTGCCGCCCAATCAGGGCTAGCGCCGCTGATATGCCACTTTACCTTAGCAGAGGCTCGCCGCCCCTCAACATCACGTCTCCTGAACCGACGCCCAAACCCTCCCGCTCCGTGCTCTCTGGCTGAGATCTGTCCTCCGACTTGCCGCCCGCGAGGCATCCGACGTCACGTACCCATCGCCCCCGGACTGCTTCGACTTATCTTGTCCCGAATACGCGACACGGCCACCGCCGCCTGCCCAAGATGAGCGGCCTCGCGACCAAGCAGCAGTCGCACAAGATCTTTGAGAAGCTCAAGTCCAAGCCTGCCAACAAGGTAAGCCCGGGCACGCGCCCGTCGCGTTTCGGAGAGGTGCTGACTCGTGGCGCCATAAGATATGCTTTGACTGCGGCCAGAAGAACCCGACGTGGACGTCGGTGCCGTTCGGCATCTACCTCTGCCTCGACTGCTCCTCTAACCACCGCAACCTGGGCGTGCACATCTCGTTTGTGCGCTCCACCAACCTCGATCGTACGTGCATCAATCATCGCCTTGCAAGTAAAAGACACAGACAGGTCCTGACAATGGCACAGAGTGGCAATGGGATCAGCTCCGGCTTATGAAGGTTGGTGGCAACGAGTCTGCCACCAAGTTCTTCCAGCAAAACGGCGGCACTGCCGCGCTCAACAGCAAGGACCCCAAGACCAAATATCAGTCCAACGCTGCGACCAAGTACAAGGATGAGCTGAAGCGCCGCGCCGCGAGGGATGCCAAGGAGTATGAATAGTAAACCCCCTTCACACTTCGTGTGCTGACTACCATGTCCCAGATTCCCGGGCGAAGTGGTTATTGCCGATGCGGCCGAAGGCGATGGTTCTTCCACGCCAGCTGGTGAGCCTGATGACGACTTCTTTTCCTCGTGGGACAAGCCTGCCATCAAGCGTCCGACTCCTCCGCTCTCGCGCACAGCGACTCCTCCGGTTGTCGGCCGAACGCCCTCGCCTTTCCTCAACGCCGGCAATGGCAACGCTAAGGACGCGGGCCGGTCACCATCTCCACTCGCCAAGGCGGATTCTACTGGAGAGAACAAGCCTGCGGCGAGCCGCATCACGACGTCGGCGGCGCTGCGCAAGACTACCACCACTGGCGGGCCGCGGAAAGCTAACGTCCTCGGCGCGAAGAAGACGACGAAGCTGGGCGCCAAGAAGGTCACCGGTGAGGTGATTGACTTTGATGAGGCGGAGAAGAAGGCAAAGGAGGAAGCCGAGCGTATCGCAAAGCTGGGCTACGATCCGGATGCCGAGGAGGAGCAGACCAAGGAGCCGTCAGGAGCCGCCGCGACTATCCTCTCGCCCACTCCTGTCAGCCCGTCCGCCTCGACCAGCTCCCACACGCGGCAAAAGTCCAACGCGGAGGTCGAAAGACTGGGCATGGGCATGGGTCGCCTCGGTTTCGGCCAGATTGGAGGTGGCAAGCCCGCTCAGTCTCAGGCAGCCAAGAAGAACGCCGGTGGCTTCGGCTCCGTTGGTCCTGTCAAGGCCGCTGCCGAAGGTATGTCTTCTCCCCATGAAGGAGCCGTGACTGTCCATAACATATGCTCACACTCCGCCATTTAGACGAGTCCAACAACTATGCGCGCTCCAAGTTCGGTGCGCAAAAGGGCATCTCCTCGGACGAGTACTTCGGCAAAGGAGCATTCGACCCCAACGCCCAAGCCGAGGCCAAGACCCGTCTGCAGGGCTTCGAGGGAGCCACCTCCATCTCTTCCAACGCCTACTTCGGGCGGCCCGAGGAGGAGGTCGAGGAAGACTACGGCGACCTCGAGTCCGCAGCCAAGGACTTTGTGCGCAAGTTTGGCATCACGGCGAGCGACGACCTCGAGAACCTGAGCAACGTTCTCGGAGAGGGCGCTACGCGGCTGCAGGGCGCCATCCGTGCTTACCTCGGCAGCTGAGGGCTGAGTAAACGACTAGCTCGGTGGCGCGCCTCGCACGACCTCGGGTCCGGCACAAGGCTCCGCGGGCTCTACACAATTTCGTATTTGGCTGTATGAAGCATCCTGGTGGGCTGTGAAGGAAATGGTGTCGCTATGAAGTTGGTTCACGGGTCGACCTGAGGCTGCACGGATTTTGACGACCCTTTTGTCGGCCGGAGCAAGGGGACGAAAATACGGCGTACTTGTGATGTCAAAGTTGGTTAGCATGAAATAGACGTACCGCTTGTTCATGACTTTTCGAGTTCATGTCACGTATCAAATTCACAAAACGTATCATCAGGTTGCACCAAAGCCTCATTTACTGATTTTGAATGTATTCGCATTATGCACGCGTCCAATGCCTTATGTAGTCTACATGGTCATAACAGGGGATAATAAAAAAACGTCAAATGGCAGACCCAACTGTCTTTACAGCTTGGCAATCATCTTGTTGCCGGTCTGGATCCACGAGACTGCATCGTTGACAAACTCGTCGACAACCTCCTTTGCGGGCTTGGTCTCGTTGCAGACGGCAGCGCACTTGCCCATCAGGTAGGGGCGGAACTGCTCAAGAGGGTCGTCGAAGTCATCGTCGTCCTCAGACTCGGCAGCGGCGTTGTTGCTCTCAACGCCCTTGTGCTCAGCGCCCTCGCCCATGAATTTGTCGAGGTCGGCCTCGTAGGGGATGGTGCCCTTGGCGGCGAGCTCCTTCATCTCCTGCTGGCGGTTGACCTCCCAGTCGTTGATGTAAGGATTGTTGCGGACGCGCATGGGGCGGCCAGTGAAGATGATTGTGCGGATGTTGTCGTCGTGGCCGGCGGTGCGGACGGCCTCCTTGTGAGCCTTGGGGGCACCAGCCTCGTCCGTCAGGATGAAGCGCGTGCCGACCCAGACGGCGCCAGCGCCCATCATGAGGGAGGCAGCGAGCAGCTGGCCGTTGTGGATGCCGCCAGCGGCGACGACCTGGACGGGGCCGCCGGTCACGGGGGACTTGTGGCCCTTGACCTCGTTGACGACGGCGGGGATGAGGACAGTGGTGGGGATGTCGCCGGTGTGGCCGCCACCCTCACCGCCCTGGGCGCAGATGATGTCGACGCCGAGCTCAAGGCACTTCTTGACGTGCTTGACGTGGCCAATCATGTTCATGTAGACGATGCCGTGGGCGTGCAGCTTGTCGACGACGGCCTTGGGGGGGACGCCGACGGCCGAGACGAAGAGCTTGGCGCCGGACTCGATGACGACGTCGACGAGCTCGTTGAGCTTGCCCTTGGTGTAGTCATAGCTATGGTTCGCCCGAGTCAGCATTTTCTGTCGTTGCATCGGGGTTCACCGACATGTGATTGCGCACGCGCCGGGGTTGGGCGCGCGAGCAAGTGGGGGCGAGGGGGGAGAGGAGCGCATACTTGGTCTTACGGGCATTGCCACCGACCTGGGGGAGAAGCAGGTCGATGCCGAAGGGGGCGTTCTTGTCGTTGAGGTACTCCTTGAGCTCGGCAACCTGCTCGCGGAGCATGTCGGGGGTGTAGCCGACACCGCCGATGACACCGAGACCGCCAGCGTTGGTGACGGCAGCAGCCAGCTTGGGGCCAGCGGCCACGTTCATGCCGGCCAGCAGGATGGGGTGCTTGATCTTGAAAAGATCGGTGATGGGCGTGCGGATCTGCTCTGCAAGGGTGTCAGTCCAGTTCCGCCTGCTCGTGTCACCCCGCGACGAGCCGAACGGCTGCGGGGGGGGGCGAAGAGCCGGGCGGTGACGTACGCGGAGAGGCCATCTTGACGGTTTTGTGTGGCGGGCTTTTGCGACAAAAGGTGAAGGAGAAGGTAAGGGTGAGGATCGCTGGTAAAGATACGCGCGGGGTTGGAAGCAGCGAAGAGGAGGAAAGGGAAAGGTATCCAAGAGAGTTGGCGAGGTTTGAAGGGGAGAGAGTTTTGTAGCGGCGGCGACGGGTATAATAATCTCACATGAGCTGGGGCGGCGGCGCGGGACGATGGTGTCGCTCGGGGTCTTTGGGTGCGGCGAGCGCAAAAACGTGCCGAGGCTCGCGGAGGGGCTAGCACCGTCTGGGTTTAGCGCGCTCTGGGGGGTCCGGGGAAGGGGCGAAGCCGAGGGACATTGTCTGCGCTGGAAGGCGCGGTGGAAGCCCGGGCACAGAGTTTCTCCGACGGGGAGGCCACGCATTGGGACAGTCAGTGGCAGCGGCAGCGGCAACGGCTGCAGCGCAGCGGCTTGCTGGTGCCGAGACGCGACCTCGGAGTCTAGTTATTAATCACCATTTACTGCTTGGCGCCGTCTGCGCTCTTTCTGCTGGGTCGCTCGTCCTCGCTATGCCGTCTTTTTATCCTTATTTTATTCTCATTTCGTGGTCACGCGTCGGTGGTCGACCGTGCTGGAGCACCACTCAAACATGTGACTCGCAAGCGCTGTGTGGCAGGAAACGGTACGCCGGCTTGGCCTGCCTCGTAGGTACATACCTACCGCGCTGCGGCGTGCGCGCCCCTCGTAAGTACGAGTACCGTCTCTGGGGCACGGCACCCTGGGACAAGTGTCTCCGCCGACTCTGTTGTGCCCCTGCAGGCCATTGCAATCGTCGCCCGTCTGATCTTATCAGATGCGAGTAGCAGACCAATGGGAGTGGCGATCCCGGCTTAATGGAGCAATGGTTGGTGTCTCCCAGGACGACGAGGGGCCGGTCGAAGGTCTTGGACTTTTCTACTTTGTCCCTGCCTACCTAGTGGTAGTAGCCCTGGTTCCCTGCTACTGTAGGTAATGTGTTTCTCGGGCAAGGCGCCGTCGCCCACCGGATGCCAAAGGCTCGCTTTGTGCGAAGCCGGGAGGTGCGCCGCAAGAAGTCCCGCCATTCCATCGCCCCGCGGCACGCAGGTATCGCGCTGAGGCGCGCGATCCAAGGGACTCGGGCTTCAGCTGTACGAGTAATAGGAGTACCCGCAACTTGTCGCTGCCCAAGGGAAGGCCGGCGACACATGCACACGACCTCCCCGGGCGTTACAGGTGTCTGCTAGACTCTTGATAGCGGATCAGAGCAGCGCAGTGGCCGCCGCCCCGCCCCACGGAAACCGCGCGAGCTCCGTGGCACCTGCCTCTGTGGCCGGTGGTTGTAGCTGCCATTGTGGCACGCCATGTGTAGGTCGTGGGTGTACTTCGTACGTCGTATGAGCATTCGTACTGGCTGGCGACCGGCGGGCGGCGCCTACCCGACAGGTTCGCGACCTTTCCCCTTTGAGGTCCCGCTAGTGGCCAGTCCCCCAAATTTCCAACGTCACATCACGAAAACACCCCCAACGGCCCTCTGGGATTTCAACGAGGGAGCGTCCTCAGGCTCGCCATGTATTTCTCGACAGTCCGGGGCTCTGTGTCTCAGGGTCTGCGACACTGCCGACGGTTTCACTCGCACCGTGCTGGGTTGGGTCCGCGCATACAGCCTTCAATTGCACGCCAACTGCCGGCGAGACAGCTGCATCCTCACCGCAGAGTCTATGAGCCACGCCATGTCCGCCCTGGCCGCCATCATTCAGGCTGCGCGTGCCACAGCGCACCGCGAAAGGTGACGGCATACATAGCGCTTGGAAGCAACCTCGGAGATCGCGTCGCCGAGATTGAAAGGGCCTGCAAGGAAATGGACTGCCGCGGGATTCGCGTGAAGCGCACCAGCAGCCTCTGGGAGACGAAACCCATGTACGTGATGGATCAGGGCCAGTTCATCAATGGCGTGTGCGAGGTTTGTCACTGTCCCATATCAGGCCTGCGCCATGCCGGCGACATACTCACCCGCGGTACAGGTTGAGACGGACCTCGAGCCCCTGGCCTTGCTGGACCAACTTCAGGCGATTGAAAATGCCATGGGCCGCCACAAGGTCATCGACAAGGGACCCCGCAACATTGATCTGGACGTCCTGCTGTACGGGGATCAGAAAGTTGACCACGACAGGCTCAAGGTCCCCCATATCGGCATCCCTGAACGCGAGTTCGTCCTGAGGCCGTTGGCCGAGTAAGTAGCCCTCCCGCGATTTGTATTCCGAGGTGTCCAGTTGTCTCTGATACATGACCCCTCTAGGTTAATTCCCTCAAGGCCACTTGACTCGTCTAGGCCGTGGAAGCTCGTGCAGGATTACCTCAACGAGCTGCCGGCACGGGAGCCACTCTCGCCCGTCATCCCGCTGCGGACCACATCCCCTGCGCTCACGCCACTGGTACACAACCGCAAGACCCATGTCATGGCCATCCTCAACCTGACGCCAGACTCCTTCTCTGATGGAGGACGCCACAGCTTGGAGAACCTGTCGGGAACGATAGTCGACATTGTCCGTAGCGGGGCCACCATCATTGATGTTGGTGGCCAGTCAACCGCTCCCGGCCGCCCAGAGGTAACGGCTGAAGAGGAGGCGGCTCGAATCGTCCCTGCCGTCGAGCTCATCCGATCCCTGCCCGAGGCGCGTGACATGGCCATCAGCGTCGACACCTACCGTGCGCGCGTCGCAGAGATGGCTGTCGCCAGTGGAGCCGACATCATCAATGATGTCTCGGCTGGAATGCTGGACCCGGACATGCTGCCGACTGCTGCCCGACTGGGCGCGACCATTTGTTTGATGCACATGCGGGGAACACCAAGGTCCATGGTGGACCTCACCTCATATCCGGACGGTCTCATCCCTACAGTGGCCAAGGAGCTCCTGGACCGCGTTGCTGCCGCCGAGGAAGCAGGTATCCGGCGGTGGCGGATGATTCTTGATCCTGGCATTGGTTTCGCCAAGACGGGTGCGCAAAATCTTGAGCTGCTGCGGAGTCTGGCAGAGCTGAGATGCTGGCCTGGCCTGGAAGGGTTGCCCTGGCTCGTGGGCGCAAGTCGAAAGTCTTTCGTGGGCAAGGCGACGGGAGTGACAGAGCCGTCTGAGCGGATTTGGGGAACGGCTGCGACAGTGGCGGCTGCCGTGCAAGGAGGAGCCGACGTGGTCCGCGTGCATGACGCACGAGAGATGACCAAGGTGGCGGTCATGTCGGATGCCATCTGGAGATCTCCCTAGTGCGTCATCTGGGGAACACGGCTCCCGCACCCCCAAAGAGGAGCGTGTGCTACGGCAGCGTCGACGGCAGACTCGGTGAGGGGCAGGGGCCGCAGGGTCAAGGGAAGTGGGCCGGCCGTCAACAGATGTCAACCCAAGTACAGGAACATCCAGTGCCCTCCGGGTGGCCACTGTGCCAAGACGAGCATGACGCCTCCTGCCAGACGCCTCGTCATATTTCCCAGGTCTTGGCTGTTCCTGTCTGGGAACGATCACGAGGCCCTCCGTCTATAATACATGCCCAGCGGAAGCTGGAACGCCCGCGTCTCGTCAGCTTGTCGGGGCCGGGAAGTGACCCCAGTCACGTCGATAAGGGGCCCACCATGATTCAATATTCAAACACCCCTCCTGGCGTCCGCGGCTGCCCATTTCTCCCTGCCCGGTGCATATCCACGGTGACTTCGCGACAAGCATGACGGTACTCCTGGGTTTCCGTCCCGGAAGAAAGGGTCTGGTCACCGCGACGTCCATCTCGGCCGCATCTGGGATGCGCGGCCGATCACCGGTGTAGGACTGCATGGAGGAGAGTTGGTCGGGCCTGGCCCCATGCTCAGCTGCTTCTTGGCCACCAACCGCCTGGTCCATGCCGCCACCATCTCAGCGGGAGGCCGCTCCACAAACTCGGGTCCGCCATGCCAGTGCTTGCCCGTCTATTCGGGGTGTCCCCTTGGTCTCCGTACATGCTCGGCACAGACAGCTACGTATGCAACACGCATGCACCACGGGCCGGCCGTGCGAACCCATTAGCGGTGGGAGCGGGCAAGGGGTGGCTGTGGGTGCCAATCCGCCGATTGGGCTGCGACGAGGCAGCCATAGCCGACCAAGGGACGAGAATCTGACGGCAGGGGCGAGGTCGAGAAGAGCCCGCACGCACGCACTGGCATGTCGAGGAGCACGCACAGCTGAAACAGAGCAATGCCGCCCGGTTGTGTCTCGACCTCCTTGGAGCAGTTGTCGCCCTGTACAAGGCCCGGCCCGGCGCCTTTCAGCTGGACATCTTCAACTACAGTATGAAGTACTGCCCAAGTCGTACATTTCGTACGAGAGACAGGGTTGCGACACGTGGTGACTTTGCGAATTTCTGCACATGCTCGTGGGCATCTGCAGCGCCCCTTTTCGTGCTCCTCCGTCCCCCATCACCCCCCCAGCCATCGTCTGTGGACCCGACTGGCCCGACGGGTCAGGGCTGCAACATTGCGAAATGCTCAGAGAGACTGGCTGGTTTCTTCATCGAAGGTTTAGTGGCTGAGGGAGTAGGGGACCCTGGCTGCCAGCTGCGTCTGCCGCGAGCTGAGCCGGATTAGTATGTGGCCGTTTGTGCGGATTGCACCCCAGCGTGCGATGGCCTCGAGTTATGCTGCTCTCCCCCGGCCGCCGACAAGTTCCCATTTGAATTTCTCGCCACCTGCGGTGGGACTCGAGATTTGGAAAGCGGCAGAAGCGTAGGGCTGAGACCAGTCTGGTGCTGGATGAACTGTGGTTCGGTCGGACAAAGGGCGGACTGTCGTCAACGGGGCATGCTTGTGCCGATGGTAACAGCCAGGCAGGATTAAATCTGCCCTTGCTGTTGACGATATGAGATGACTCGTGTGGGACAGAGATCGTGCACCACGGGCGTGTTGCGCAGAGCATGTGCGGGTATGGGCACAGCAGCGACGACAACCAGATGGCAATGCCAAAACCGACACCACCGGCCAGCGCTGTACGCCCTCAAACAGCTCAGCTGTGGTCTCTTACAACGGGGTGGCCTCTGATCTACAGGGGGACGGCGCGAACAGCCACAACCATGACTCGACTGCTCTCCAGATTTCGAACTCAAGCACAACGGTTTTGTCACTTGTTCCTCATCGTCGACGACTGTCCAGCGGCGACATCAAGGAGGCTGGTCGTCGGCCGTAAGGATCGATCTGCGGCGCCCAAACGCCGACGAGGTTGAGCCTGATGGGCTTCATGAGAGAGAGACGGGTGCCCGTCAGATGGGATCGGTCCCGACGCGCTTTGCCCGGATGCCCGGTTTCCTTTTGGACCCCGGTCCTTAAAGCGACCTGTCATGGCTCTCACGCGGCCATTACATGGCAGGTCAACCCCCCCCCCCATCAGGGCATTTGCCGGCGCCCTCGTCCAAGCAAACCCATGCTTGCTTTTCTAGTGGTGGCTGCATGGCCGTGGCCCCTCTTCGATCCAATAAGTCGACGTACTGTCTCTCTTCCTGCACATCCTCAGGAAGCCTGCCAGAGGATTCCATCCCGTGGGCTGAGTTGAATGAACATGTACATAATAGGATACAGGGGCGCCAAATGAGGCACGGAATACGTTGGCGGCCACGGCTGCGTGCGAATCGGGTGCGAGCTTCAACGACTTCTGAACGGGCGGCGACGGGTGCTAGACTCCTCCTGTTGATTCTTCCTTTTCTCGCTATCCCTCGCCCTCGACACGCCCCTTGGGTGGCATTCCTGCCGATTAGGCGTTTGAGTTTTGGATGGAGCCCGGCCATTAATATCAGTGTTGCGCTGTGGGAGGGGCCGCTGTTCTCGGTTCGTTGCAGGAAGTGGGCTCTCGCTGCCCGTCGCCTCCCCACCAGTCTGCTGTCGGTTGTCTGTTGGTTGGAGACAAAGATGCATCTCACGCGGCGGCGAGCAGGGAGCGTAAGCTCTGCCAACGACGGACCAACCATGGATGCCGCGGAAATCTTCAACGCGAGGCAACCGCTTCATGCATGTCACTGGTCTCGGGGTTTTTTTCTGCCCCTGCTTCTTGTTGTCGATTGCCCGCTGCCTTGCGGCTCGTCAATCATGGGTGATTGCTCGCTGCTACATGCTATTCTCGGTCGGGATATGCGGCCGCGTTGGCTTGAGAAATACTACCGTGGCGTCGAGCACCCGCAACAGCCTCGGCAAAGGCACCAAACGATGCTCAATGATTTTACAAGATGAAATTGAGTGAGAGAGATGCATTTATCTCGGTCCGCGCGTGCCTTCGCATGTCGCGTGCGAGCGGCCCGAGGGCGCAGCAGGCCGGCCACATCCCGCGTTGCTGACATTGACGGCTCAGGGAACCACCATCAGAGCTGAGACACGGCCCTCGAAGAGCTTGAGCCTCATGGATTTGCTTGAGTCCTCTCGGTCTCTGTCATGTTGAATGACATACTCGCGCATGAGAGGCCGGCACCCCTCCCCCCCTGAAGGGCCAATCAAGCCAGGCATATTGGACTCGAATGGCAGACTAACACCTGCAGCCGCCGAGCTTGCGAGAATTGAGCATGAATTTTGCGGGAGCAGCAGTCAGTAAGGCAGGTGTCGGGGGCCGAAGAGGCGCCCGGTCGATCACACCATCCTTTATCTCGTTTGTAGACGTCACACAAACGCGCATCACACACGACACCCACGCTGACACGCACACATCATTCGCTGCTGCAAAGTAGACCCCCTATTCACGCCCTTCACCTCGGGGTATCGAGTCCAAACGGGCGGTCGGTCACCCCCCCCGCACAGGGTGCTCGGCGAATCTGCAAGGGTCGGCACGCAGGCGGGCGGACGTGGTGCCCAAAGGATGAGATGACGAGCGCTTCACAGCCGCGCTACCTCGCACATGGCGGATCTCGCTGTCTATACGATGCAAGGCGCCTCTCTCAACACCGCGTTTGGAGCGTCACTCACCCCCGGACGGCTGGTATAGCACAGTAAAGGGCCAGCCGGCCTCGTCTGCTCCTAGCCCACCTTCCCACATACGGCTTTTGGTTGTTGTTCCTCTCCTTCGGCGGGCTTCGGCTGTATGCGGGCGTGATTGGGTCACTGTAGGGGTGGCTGGTGGCGGAGAACGCGTCGGAGCTGCCGTGTGCCTGTCTTAATTTCTCCTCTAACCTCGAGCCCTTGGGCCCGGCCCCCCGATTTCGACCCTCCAGCTCGAACTGGCTGGCGATTGCCGCGCAAGCTCCACCTGCAGGACGCACAGGACATGCCAATGCGAGTACTGCCAAGTACCTGTGGTACTGCGGGCGTAGGCTACCCGGAGATGTCAGATCAGAATGGGGACGCCCTCCAGCACCACTGAAAGACACAGGCACAGCTCAGGACACACGCCCGCCGCCGCCGCCCGAGGGCGTGGAGCAATGCAACGAGGCGAGGGAGAGGGGACGGGAGGGGAGAGCGACAAGGTGCGAATAGCACGCGTCGAGCCATGCCCACCGTCACGCTTCCTCCTCTTCCTCCTCAAAGCAGTTGGCGTATCAGCACCCACGAAAACGACTCAAGCCACCCGAGCGGATGCCTCGAGACCCCAAGGACGGTGCCATGTCATGCCACGCTACGCCATGCCATGCTATGACCGGTCTGGGCTGGCTCAGTGGGCAATGGACAGCCGCAGCCGGGGTTCCGATACTTTTTTCGTGCCGCTGCCAGCGCCACCGGGCTCGTTTGGGGGGATTAGGAGCTGAAGGGGAGCTTGCGCTAGAAGCTGTAAAGGGCGCGTTATGCATGGCTCTGGGAATACCATACGGGCTACTGGGAATAGGGGCGTGGCAGGAGTGGCGGTAGGCAGTGGTACATGTCTACTTCGCTGCAGTATCAAACAACACGGGGGCATTGAATGACAGCAAAAGGATGGAAGATTGATACACCCAAAGACTCTAAAACGAACATGCTTTGAGCTTCCCTCCCCCTTAATGTGACATTGAACTCGCACTCGCTTTGTTCGTGATGGCGTCTGATCCGCTGCCTTCTAGCAAGGCACATGAGCGGGCACTATCGATTCTCTCTCTGTGTCCCTCTCTTTCTCCGTCCCCTTCACGGTCCTCCTTGCCCCCTATCCACTGTTGCCCTTCTACGTCTCTTTTTATTTCCCCCCGTGTTCTGTTGCCCAGCACGTCTTACCTTTTCCACTCGGGTGCGGTGCGGTGCGGCGGCCTGGGCCGCTCGCCGCCTGGCTCGTTTCAACATCATTTTCTTGACGTAAGCAGCTTCCGGTCCGCGCCCTTTCCTTCAAACGACGGCATGTTCGCTTGTTCGGGACCGAGGGGGTCCCGGGAAAAGAAGAAAAGGGGGGGGCGGGAAGGGCTAGGCTAAGGAGCGAAGTGAGGTAAAATATCGAGTAAACGAATAGGCATACATACGTCACTGATACGTGCTGAAAGATCATCAAAGATGTATTAAAGGAGAGCAAAGCAAAGACTAAAACATGATACTAATGAAGGGGTGACAAAGGAGACAGATTGAAAAAAAAAAAGACCAAGAGACGACCCAGACAAGAAAGGTACGGACCCTGCCCAAAGTCGAAAAAGAAGGACAAGGAACAAATCAACGACCTGGGTATTCCTCCCTCCCCTCCCCTCCCCGCCTGCCGCCGCCGCCGCCGTCGCCTTCGCCCTTCCCAACTGCCTGCCTCTTCGCGTAGCACACGGAGCACTTTCGAGAACCCACCCCCCTCCCCCCCCCTGGTCCAGTCCTCGAGTCGCTCGTCCTCCGATATGCCTGCCAACGGTTCGGCGACGTTCCGCTAACAATGGGGGGCAGGGCTCCATTCTTCCCACACCGGCCTTGCCGCCCGCCTGGCGCGCCTTGTCTATTGTCAGCTTCCAAGTGTCGCATTCGCCGCCCAGTGGCGGCTCCCCGCGCGCGGTCTGGCCAGAGCGTCTGGTGGCGGCCCGGCTGCTCTAGAGATGCTCCTCTTTGTCTGATCCCGGTTTGTCCAGTGTTGTTCTCGCTTTCTCTGCGGCGACCTTCCGTGATGGACAGTCTTCAATTTCTGGATGCTGATGATCTTTTGCCCCGTTGCGAGTGTCTCGTCCATTGTATCGTGTGTAAATCCCACGAGAAAGAAAAAAACACAACGAACATGGCTCCCCGAACCCCTAACCCATCCCCGGGCGCCCCTCCTCCCAAATCCTGTATGGTGTAATGCTGGTCCATGTCTTTGTTTGTGCGACGTGACTCTTTTTGCCTTTCCTGTCCGTCGCCCAATCTCCAAAAAGGATAAGCCTCTGAAGCTTTGCTCTCCAAAAGGGATAAGCTTCTGAAGTTTATGCAAAGCGCCTTTGAAAATGCATCAACGCGGGTCGGGACTGAATTCCACTTGGACGGGCAAGGGGGGAAAAGGGGTGAGGGATGGGGATGGGGGGGTAAACCGCTTTCAGCCCGGAAATGTGTCGCCACGACTTGTGGGGTAGAAGTCGAGTGTTTCATCACACCTGGAACCACCCTGGCTGCTCAAGACATTGTCATGTTGATTCCGGGCGGCGACAGGATGGAGGGGTAGTAGCCGCCGGTCGAGGGCGTCTTGCCGTCAAACTGATCGTGCTGGCGCGGGTCCGCAATGACCCGGGGCGTGGCGCCAAAAGGCCGGGGTAGCATGTTGAGCTCATACTCGTTCTTGACCTTGCCGTCTGGCCCCATGGTCGGCATGACGGCCTCTGCCCCAGCCCTGTGGTTGAATATGTCGACTCGGTCCGCATGGTGGCCGTGATGGTGGTGGTGATGGTGTTGATGTTGATGGTGGTGGCCGTCGTACATTGTCGTCCCCGGGTAGTACTGGTAGGCCGCCTTGGAGCCGTCCATGGCTTTGGCGTCATCAGAGGCAGTCAGCATCGGATCTTCTGGCATCTCGTGCTGTCGGCCGCTGTAGACGTTCCCCCGGGCGTCAAACTTGTCGTACGTTGTTGCATAGCCGCCTGTTCCAGCCCCGCCGAGCATGGCGCTGGAGTTAAAGTCTGCCATGTGGCCGAGAGGTGCATAGCCGCCCAGGGTGCCGGCGGAACCCCCTGGTCCGTTGCCTTGGCTTCCTCGTCTCTCGTTCTGATAATGGCCCGGCGAACGGCCTCGCACGATCATCTTGGCTGACTTACGGTACGCCACCTTGACGAACTGGTCTGGATCGTGGACGCCAACGTCGGCCCAGAGCTCCACAATCAGCTGGTAGTATTGCTGCGCTGCCCGCCGTTTGCCGTTGTTCTGCGTTGCCTGCTTGAACTGGATACGCTCAAACGTGTGCTCGCTGGGGAGAGCCTGTCCGGCAGCCTGCGGAGTCGTGAATCCGTCCGGATACAGGCCCCTCGCGCCAGGGACCGTTGGAACGTCGCCATAGCCGGCAAGCGAATGGTGCGCCGGGGAGCTCGTCTTGGGCGCCATGGACACCTTTGACGGTTTGCTTATGGGGCCCTTGTCTCTCTTGGGCGTGTGTTGGACCAGTTCGATGCTCTGCTGCTCGTTCTCCGCCACGACGGCCGAGATGGACATGGCGAAGCCGTAGACGGGGAACGACTGGCTGGAGCCCGAGCTCGAGCTGGGCGTGAACTGGATTGCCATCGTGGGGTAGTATGGGCTAAGCTGGAACGAACAGACGCACGCTAGGTAGTTTCGCCGGTAGCATGTCCACTCGTGGTCTGGCGAGAGAAAGGGACCCTTGTCGACGGCACCGTTGATTTCTAGCTTGATCGGGGCCATCGTTGAATCCATGTATTGCAGCGTGCCGAGTGCCTGAAGGGGTTGCAGCGGCGGCACTTGGTTTGGCTGGCTCGACGCTCGCGCGGCGTACTGCCCGGCGTCCATCCTTGCTGCCGCGGGAATGAAGCCGGTGAGCGAGCCTTGCTGAGCCGTCGTCAACTGATGTCGGCGGAGCGGCGCGCCGGGGAAAGAAGGCGATCGGGACAGGAGCTCGGAGCCGCCGCGTCGAAAGGATGGCGTCGTCGTCGAGTATTGCTCGCGGGCGCCGGCTAGGTGTGGAAGTGCTCCGGTGCGATGTGCGTGCGTTTGGGCATGTGCCATGCCCGCCGTCGAGAGTGTTGTACTGCACGACGGTGTAAACGGAATGTGGATGACCACCAGACCCTGGCAGAGAAGGGTGTCACCTACTTGGGAGTCAGACGAGGCCTGACATCTGGTCCATAGGTTGTTGGGGACTGAGGTTGCTGGTAGAAATGACCCGCGTCTTGGGCGTACGGTGCGGTCGGATGGAAGAGGTTAAGGAGCGATGGCGGCTGAGGAGCATCTATTGTAAGAGGAGAGGAGGACGCGTGCGGTTCCTGGCTGAACCTGCTCCCAGTTGGTCAGCAATGCGACTTCAGCGCGGCGTGAAAGGCAGCAGTGAATCTGATGCCGAAGAGCCCAAACCGACAGCCACAGGAGACGCTGTGCAGCGCTCTTCCTGCCATACATGTGCGCAATGTCCACGTACAACCAAACCGCAGGGTGATACCGCCAGCACTGGCGTTGTACCGAAACGACATGTACAGAGTCGACGAGCCCCCGGTGACCGCACTGCCTCGACGGGTAGTGAGTCCAAGGGGGGCAACGAATCGTCGGGTCGGGCTGTATGCTCAGAGCGCCGTGGCTCGGCACCACCCAGCCAGAACCAGAGCAACAGCCATCAACTGACCGGGAGGGAAGAAGGGGCAGGAACCGTGCAAGGGGCACGAAAAAGAGCGCCCAGCAAGCTTTGTTTGCTGCCTTGGCTGGTCGTTTTGGTGGACGAGGCAGGGATTCAGGGCGGGTCCTGCGACCGAAGCTCCAAACTCTCCATACTCGCCTGGGCCGGAACGGGCCTTTGTTGCACCAAGACGTAGTGTGTAGTATAGATGGGCGAGAGGGAGAATGTCGTGCAGGGACGGGGTACGGCACTGCCATCGTGCGGTGCACAAGGGGAGAAGCTGCCAAATAGCAAAGAGGGTAATGCGAATATGGCCCTCACCTTTGGTCCCCGGACTGGGACGGCAGTTCGAGATAGCCCAGCTCGGCGCACTGGGGCGGCGAAGAGGTGTAGTCCTGTTGTTGGGAGAGAAGAGAAGAATGTCAGAACCACGCTCTCCTTGCCATGAGAACAATCCCGGGGGTGGTTAATATTTGGATCTCGTGTCAAGTCGTTGACAGAGAAGACGCCACCACACCCGGGTCCGCAATAGGCCAACTGGGTGTTTTCGATGGAGGGTCAGCGGCCGGCCACAAGTACACATTTTTTTTTAAACCTGGTTTCCGATTAGCAGGCATAACGCAAGGCAAGACATCTCTTTGCAGGGCGGGCTGGCTGGGGGGCCTGTCGCTCGGGATGTCCATTGCTTGTTAGGTGGCCGTGCATCGAGCAGGCAGGGCGATGTAACTGGCCCCCGACGCAAACGGTACAGTACACCAGAATACCCGGGGCTCCAGGCACAGGACCTGACTCCGCAGGATTTCTGCAAGGTTTGTGCAGTCCTTTCGGAACCAGGACGCCACGCACTGCCGGGGCCTGGTGGGTTACACAAACACGCCCGGGGTGTTGAATGGGTCTCGTCTTGATTTTCTCGGACCCAGGCCAACGCCGTGTGAGCTCTGCTGTTCCTCAACGGGCCTGCCGGGTGCGAGCGAGTTCCTTCGCGCCGTCCACGCCCGTCCGCAGGGCCGCAATGGCGCGTGAAAGGGGAACCTGACCGGGGCCGCGAGCCGCCGCCGTCGCTGCTCGTTGCGCGGCCGCTCGACTTGACAGAAGGAAATTCAGGCCGTCTGTGGCGGCCAAGACTCGACATACCTTTTTGCTGGACAGCCCAGGTTTCCCGCAGGCTTCCATGCATACCGTCCGGGCACTCATTCCGGTCGTGCAGACGCTGGAAGCCGTGGCCGAGAACTAAAGATGACTGTGTGTGTCGCTTTATGTCATGAGTTCATCTCAACTAAAAGTTGCCTATGGGTCCCCGGGCTGGCTGTCTAAATGGCGAGTGACAAGCTTGTCCGCTAGAGAAGGTGAGGGGAATTTGAGTCAATACAAATTTAGAAAAGGATACCTTGAAGCTTGGTGGATGCATAAAAGCCTGTCAGTGCGACCGGGGCGTCGCAACGAAGACGGCCGAGGAGAATCTGAGCACAGCAGTTGAGACTTCGACGTTCGAGCTCTCTGGACCTTGAGCTATGAAAACACTTCAGTATAGCACCCGAAATGAGAAAGGAAGCACCTCTGAGACGGGGATCTCGAGCTGTGCAATACTCCCTTATTAGAGCCCTTGCTATGAAGCAACCTGGAAGCAGAGTCCTTACTCTTCGAGTGGCGAGTTCACAGGCGAGATCCTTTATTGTGAGTTTCCTGCTCCCATTACCCAGTGATTTCGTATCGACAAAGTCTCGGAAATGAAGGTGTTGTGCTGCCGCGCGCGAGAAACCGAAAGCGAGCCCCCTTCGCCTCGACAACTTCGAGGTCGGAGGCCAAAAGAGTTAGGCCTAGCAGTCGATAACCTTGTTACGTTAGACGACTATCAGTTATCCCCGCGGCGGAGGCTCAGATATCTGCGGACGCGGACGAGTTGCGGGGAGTTACCATATGGCCGTCGGACGATGAACAGGGTCTTGCCGGAGCGTTGGCGGCGACCCATATGAAGATCCAAGTACTGCTCCTCAGAGAGCCCGCAAGTGGAAAGAGAAACTGGGACGGTATTTCAGGAGGCCCGGTCTGAGCTTGGTTGCAAAGCGGCACCTTCAGCCAGATCTCGGCGATCCTGCCCGGTTTGTCTCTCCGACCACCCAACTGATTGAACAAAGAGAAGGAGGGCGGTAAATCGCGGGGAACTTCTTGGTACGACTCCCGAGGCGTCGGGCTGAGCGTGGCCGCCTGCAATCGCGGCGCTGCCGAGTATGCAATACAGACCGGCCCTCGAAGACCGATGACCCCAGAACGCAGCAGCACGCCCGTGCAAGTGCAGGATCTTTGTTGGGAAGTGCCTTAATTTACCCCTGCGACAGTTGCTGTGGCTGGCTCCTATCGCATATGAAGAACGTCGTGCATTCGCGGCCTCGCGGAATTTAGGCGCCTAGACGTGGTACGACACAGGCTGGCCCAGGTTCGAAGCAGTCGTTTTACCAGAATATGCTCTCCCTGGCGTCCAGAAAGAGAAATACCCTGCTGGTGGTCGACTCAGGCGTGACAGGTTAAATGAAGGCAAGAGACGCAACATACAGAATACAGCGCGGTTGAGAAAGACGGCAAGGGGAGTTGGGCAACGGGCGCAGCGTGCTCGAGGAGCCCTTGGCCTTTTTAATCATAGGGAGCCTGCTTGCCTGGGCAAGGGCCCCAGGGAGCATTGACACGGGACCGCACAAGTTACGTCGGTGTTGGCCATGCTCCCAAGACGCCATTCTATCGCGGACAGGAGTCCATAGCGGGAACCTACCAGTCACCGAGGTGCCGATAGTCGACTTTGCTTGCTTGCTCGCTTGCTTGCTTGCCTGCAATCGCAGATCGAGCTGTTCCTAGGACGGTATACCATGTTCATCAACAGATGGCTGCAGTTCGTATCAAAGCAGCCATCGCCCGCTCCTGCAGAAGTGTCATGCAATTGACGAGGTCCATATGCTATTTGGAGACACTGGTCAAATGGGAAACCCCTCCGGTCAGGTCAGCCTACGAAAAAATTGTTGAGTGCTGGAGCCATGCCACCAAATCGCTTCAATGAGCCTCTTTCGTCCTTGCAGCCCCAGCCAGTCAAGCTGTTTTTCCAACACGGCGCGAAGATGACGAGACCAAGCTGTAGCTGGTTCATAGGGGCGAAGCAGGGTTCGCCGTAGCCCCATCATGTTGCTTCAAGCTGCGTGTATGTAACTACCCGGGTCCTAGAGATCCCTTGAAGGGGCCAAGTACTTGTCGGCCTCTGAGCATTAGGGCCGCTTCTGATGAAGGAGCCGCCTCGTCGGGTAGCTGCATGACGGCAGACACACTCGACGATGGCAGGAAAAAGGCGGGGCGGGACACGAAACTGCAGCAGGACGCAGGACTCAGCCCATGCTGTCGAAAAGAGCGGTCATTCCCATCTGACACTCCCTCTTTCGTGGGTATCTGGACCGCGGTAGCCTGTCAAGCAGCCAAGAGGAGGGGGTGGACGTGATCGACTTGACCGCGTGAACACGGCTCATCTGCGCAGCCGACTTGCGTACCAACTAGTACCTCGCAGGTATACCTTTTTACGAAATACACGCATAAGCCCAAGACAGTGCCTGAAGAATGGGAAAGCTTTGTCTTTTGCCGGTACTTTTCGGGCCTTTGCCTGTGCTATGCACCTTACTGTGAGGTGGCTTGTGGCGGGCCAAATGGTACAACCTTGGTGATCCCCAGCCGGTGGTACCGCATTTGAAATCAGGCTCCCAGTCCAGGGCATCGACACGTGAGGGCTCAATTCGAGATCAAATGGCGTTGTCTATTTTGATGTCACAAGCTTGTCGTTTATCCAAAAAGAGTGAGAGAGCCGAAAGTCGGCGAGGCCGAGGTGGCAGTTGCCAGAGCTCGGCCCAGCCATGGGTCGACGGGTCATCAACCGGTGCTTGGTAGCCATGTTTGTTAGGGCTGTTCCGATGCCGTCTCGCAAGGTGACCGGATGACCATCTGGACAGGGCAGGCCAATGACAAGGCTATGTAACCGAACGGAGTGGACTTCCACATCGCCCGAGCTGCCGGCGTGCGGGACAGGCAGAAAATAGACGGCCACGTTCGCGTCAAGCCGGGAGGATTTCAGCTGCGGACCGTCGGTCTGTGTCAATACATCGAGAGGCTGGAAGAGCCACACAGTCAATGGCAGTCGGTGCAACGTCCCGACACTAGGGGGTGAGCCCAGCGGCTAGGTGTCGTCGGAAGGGCGCCGCTGTACGAAGCGCGGGTGTTGGATACAGCGGCAGTAGCGAGAACTCGAGGGCAATGCAGACTCGGAACAGCTTCTGAAGCTGGGCGTCTGTGTCTTTGCCTTGGCTCATTTGATGAGGCTCGGCCATCGGCCGTCTAGTGCAGGCTGTACGGTGGCTGTTGGGCCTGCCGAATGCGAGGCGGAGGCTAGACGAGTTGAGATCAGTGAACCAACAACCCGCACGCGGAGATCGGTTAGGGAAGCCGTAGCCGTGGGCCGGAGAGCTGCTGAAGTCCAGGTACTTTGGCGAATGTAAATGCAGAGCGCGGCCGGTGCAGTTCCCTACCCGCACCCGGCGGTTGGCCCCGGACTCGGCGCTACAAGGTTCCCCAGCACCTGGACAGAATAAATGGTCAGGCAAGATTTCAGATCTTGTACCAGGTGGGCTTGCTGAGGCCAGGCACGTACCATTCAGTTTGCCTGGTTGCGGCCTCTTCATGTTGTCTGCACAACCGGTACAGCAGATGACCCAGGATCACGCCCATCACGCTTGCCAGAGGGGTGGGTCGGGTTGGGATGGCGGATGGGCGGATGCGGTGCACAGGCCGGTTACTGGGGGCTGCGGTGTTTCCATCAGACCATTGATGTTTTGCGTCCATGGCGCTGCTGTGAGCCCGCAGGACATGTATCTGGGGCGGTGGCACAGACAGACGGCGATGGCGACCCGACGGCATGGATGGAGCTGGTGGCTGGCCCTGCTAGAAGGTCTGGAGGGTAACCAGGGCCGGCGACATCAGTGTCGGGTCGGGGAACGTCGCCGGCTGCCATTGTCGATTGCGCGCATTTTGGTGTAGCGTCGTGCCCGCTGGCCATTAGGTCCGGAGTAGGGGAGAGGGCTGCCCTACGAAGGTTGCGTACGACGATGTGGGATTGTGGGTGTTGAAGGTGAGACGAGTCAGGATGCCAAGGTCGCCAGAGAGAGCAGATATCCGAGGGCTGCGATGATTCAAGGGCTTGGGGACGAAGTCGAAGGTCTGGAACAGAGTGCGCAGCGAACACCAGGCAGGTACTCGCGTATAGATATGCATGTTCCTTCCCTTTTTATTGCATGAAGCTGGCTCTCGGAGGGAAAGAACGCGGCATCTGGGTCCTTCCTGGATGCCGAGATTGCGTACCGACGAGACCAAAAACGGCACCTGCCTCAATTGTCAACCCTCAAACGGGAGAAGGAGCCTTGGAGTGTTTGATGGCAACGGCATTAACATTGCCTGGCCACCTGACGCCAATGGCCGTGACTTGGCAAACTCTTGGCAGCCAGAGCACAAAGTCTTCGCTGACGGTCGTCAACCCACGATTCTGTACCAAACGCACCTCTGCGGACGAAAGGCGCCCAACGACTCGCCTCCTCTAAATCAGCCAGGATTTTTTGGGCCCAGTCTCCCGACTCCTCGCTGGGGTGTGCTAGCTCTGGTCTCCGCGGGCCCCTGAGTGGCTCTGCAATCGAAACGGGCAGGCACCTCGACCGAGGACAACTCATCCATTTGTTAAAGGTCCGCTCACTTGAGACAAACTTCGAGGAACTGGGTATCCCCTCATTCGATGTCGCTAATCCCAAACCCAGAGCCTTTGCCTTGCTCAACTGAGACGGTCAGCGTGATCACGGCGAGCTCCCGGCCAGAATATCACCCCGAACGGCATGCCTCAAATGACGAGCGAAAACCAGAGGCGCGCGCGCGTTAACTGCAGCCCAGCCCTTCAAGCAGTGCTGCAATCCAATACCACAGATGCCACAAGGCAAGAGGAAACGGACTAGCCGGCACATCCACGCCATGTGCGTGCGCCGGCTGGGGCATCACGAGCTACCTTTGCATGGTCCAGGGCCATCAATGCTCTGCAGCTGCAGCTCTCGAAAAGTCAACGCCGGTTTTCGGAGAAGCAGGGGCTTCGCTCGCTTCGGGTCGCCCACCGCCAAGCTGGCCGACTTGAAAGTCCGTTATTATGGCATCGCAGGCCGGCATTGGGCAACGGCTTCCGCCCCTGAAGACCTGATATGCAGCGAAAACCTGCTAGACTCTCGGGCCAAAGCTCGGGTGCACAGGCTCATCCAGTCTGCATCACATATCTCGTATCACGGAATCATAAGGATGCCGCAGGCTCCGGGAGACCAGCGTTTCAAAGTTCTGCTGGTGACGAAGCACAGCGCACCTATCTCGGGACCCTACCTCAACGGCGGCCCGCTATTTGACAACAGCCCTTGCCGCTCGCCTTGCCGTTCCCCAGTTCCGATTGCCTGATGGCCATGAGCGCAACCAGGGATTGCACCTAGAGCGAGCAGACAGAGCCCAGACCGCAGAGGGCAGATGGCGGGGGGAGGAGACGCGCGGAGACCGGGCTCAACGGCACCTCGTGGCCGCGGGTCCTGTGGCGACCACAAGCAGAGGGTTGAGCACTTGATCATTAATGCGTGCCACTCAAACAACCCAAGTCTCCCTGCACAAGTCACTTAACAGCCTCACCTAGTTCGTGGCGGTTGGGATGGCCGAGGTCGGCCGTTGGCGCGCAAGAACGTTTGCCGTCCCTCAAGCTCGACTCGTCGACAGCACACGTGCCCCTCGAAAGTGAATTCTTGGCAAGCCAGATCGCAAGAGACCTCTCCTCGGAACAATAGCGTGTGGGAGCATCAAGCGTGCTATACGTCCGATTGACCCCTTGGCTCTTCCTGCAGGCTGGTCCTGATGGCAGTAAAGAATGTACGCCTTGTGCGAGGGAAATTGTCATGGGTATGAGGCATCAATCGCTCGAACCGTCCACCCCCCCTCGACAAGTGGCTCTCCATAGGGAAGAACTGAGGCTTGAGTGTCACCGGGCCTGTCGTATGTAGGGCCAAGCGTGGCCGGGCGTGGCGTTAAGGAGCTGCTGACAACTTCCTGATCACCTGTCCAGAAACGTGCTGGTACTAGCCGTCTTGCGGACACGGCATTGAAGCTCAGCCATATCCATTTCATGACCCTGAACCCGTGGTTTTCATTCTTGGATGGCCCCCTGCATTGACAATGATAGATAGTGAAGACACGTCCCGACTCTTGACCCCGCGAAGGGGCATAGGCGGACAATTCCGAGGACGACAGGCGCAGTGGCACGGTCACATTACGAACGTGCCCGCTTTTGTCCGTTGCCTTCCCGATTTGTTCGCTTCGTTTTCCCCAATCTAGCTCACAAAGGATGCTTGTCCTCATCGATCAGGCCACTCGTGGGCATCGCTGGCTGAGGCGGATTCCCGCAGTAGTACTGTGTGAGGTCCCAGACATTTCCGCCGGGCTTCGCACCGAGCTGTCAGCGGTGCCATGGCGGCAGTTGACCATCGATAGCAAGCCGGCTCTTTGCCCGGGGCGGAGAGTGCAAGTTTTGAAGCGGAAGGCATGTGGCGCTCCCCAGCATCGCGGACACAACAAACACGACCAGATCGGCAACATCGGAAGCTAGTTGTTCTTGTCATGTCACCGCTTGTTGCGACTATGTACTATTTAGTCAGTCGATGACATTCAAACTGACGGGGTACATGGACTCGGCCAAGAGGTATTTAGCACCATACGAGGCCAAGGCGGCCGCACATGAGGCCAAGAGAAGATAGTTGACAGAATCTGGGCGCCGCGTGTTCACCTGGACGAGCAAACACGGGGCCCAACTTGACCCGACGGACCGAGGGAGACGGACGCAATGTCACCCGAGAGTGTCGAGCGCCTGGACGAGCCGCAGATCAGAGCCGGCCAAGGACGAAGACAGGCCATGGGGACAAGTCGCCGCTGAGGATGCACGCTGCGGTGAGACTGTCTCAACCCCCCTATTGTCAGGATGGCGGACTGAAGTGGCCCGTGTGCAACATTCCGTGGCAGACGACTTGCCTTGGCGGAGTCCAAGGCAAGTTTGCTCGAACAGTGCATACGTCGTGGTGCTTCATTCCCGACCCGATCTGGGGCCGGTGAGCGAAGTCGAGTTGGCCTGGCGAATGGAAGGGGGCAAAGCTGCCACCGACAGACGACAGCCGGTTGCCTTTCGGGCCTCGTTCGCCTATGCGAGCACGCCCAGCGTCGATGGTGCATGCGCGGGGCGAAGACGGGAGCCGATGCCATGGGCCATGGACCGTGCTCGGCCAGCGATAACAATACGGGTTCCAGCAACACGATCTGCGGCTGCAGTCTGCCGTGCAAGGGGAATTTCAGGGGAGCATCTGCTCAGACGGACCGAGATTGGGCGAGGAGGTCAGGCCGACTGCCATGTGGCTCCCGGGGCCGTGGGCTGCAGGTTCTTGTCGGGAGTTGTCACTGGACAGGCAAGTTGCCGGGTTTGTTTGGCAACCCAGGGATCAGAAAGTGGCCTGACCTTGGTTGGCGAAAGGGGTGCTGATGCTCGAATCCAATGATTGTCAACGGGGCGGCTCTGTCTCTCTCTCTCTCTCTCTCTCATTGTCATGAGGTTCTCGTGGGGGAGGGGGCGTGTGTTGGAGGGCATCAGGGTTTCACAGCGGTCTGTGGAGATAGCACGGCGAAGCCCAGCGGCAGTGAGAGAGGTCGTCCAGAATCCTGGCATCCGACGTACGGGGCGCCATAGGGGCGTCTGCTGCCAATCGTGTCGTGTCGTGTCGTGTCGTTGTGTCGAGGGGTGTGGTGTGGTGTGGTGTCGGGGGACGGGCCGCAGCGGCGCTCAAGGACAACGCAAGCATTGAACCCCGACAAGCAAGCAAACAAACAAGGACTGGGGTCCATCGTCAGTCGCAGGGTGGATGGATGCAGGGGCCATGCTTGCCCATGCACGACACCCACGCATAGGTCGGTTCCAGGTTTGGGTCGGGGCTCAATCCATCAATCAATGGTCAGTGGGGATTGGGGGCAACAGCGCCCATCCGCCCGTGGCAAAGGTGACTCAGACGTCTGATTGGAGCTGCCAGCTGCCCCGACGAGTCATCCTCCAACCTCAGCTCGTCAGACGCCCACGTCTTGCACGACTTCAAACCTCTCTCTCTCATCAGCACCGCAGGTTGGCATGCCCAAGAAAAGGCAGCACTTCAGATCCTTCAAGCCCTCGCCCGCGGCCCCTTCGTCGGTGTCGGCCACGGCCGGTGAGCAGCCCCCCTCCCTCGTCAATGCCCAAGGTGTTCTGCGTGCATGCAGCCGCTGACCGACAAGCTCGCACAGGCCGGCCCTCCAAGAGCGTCAACGAGCTACTCGCAAACCTGCGACTCGGCTCCTCGTCTGCGACGCCCAGCACCCCTCGCGAGCTTCCCGCGACCGCCCCCAGCGTCCCCCCGGCCATCAGGGAGCTCCTGAGGCTTCCCGAGACCCCGCAACCCCTACCGCGGCGGCCCGTCAGGCAGCGCTTCGATAGCCATGGCCGTCGCCTTCCTGCCGGCCCGGCGCCTCCGCGCAGCTGGGTGTCGAGGACACGCGACGAGGCGCGGATCGGTCGGGGCTCGTCGCAGCCCTTGAGCCGGCGCCTGGGCCAGACAACGCTGCCGGGCGCGCCGGCCCCGGACCCGGGGAGCCTCATTGACGTCGTGCTGCGACGCCTGGCCGTTGACTGGGAGCTCCACCGCATCTACAACCAGTACCACCTGTATTTCCTGCCAAACCACCTCAAACCCGCCCTCATTCGCTACGTCGGCGTCTTCGCCAGCCTCGGTGTCACGCTCGACGACCTTAAGGCAATCCTGCTACCCCCAGTCGACGTGTACGACGACGGTGACTTCGACCGCGGCTCAAACGCCGAAGTCACCTGTCTCGACCTGACCCGCTCCATCGGGCGCTCCATCAGGCTGAAGGAGGTTTCCGACATGCTATTCCCGCCAGCTCCGGCCCTGCCCTCGGATGAGCCTCTGGACTCATGGGACTCTGAGAACCTGGTCCCGAGCTCTCCTCCGCGTGCATTGCTGCCTAACCTGACCCATCTGTCGCTGGCCCTTGATCCCGAGGACCCCGGCGACGCATCTTGGAAGCAGCTCCTGTCACTATCTGCAAAACTATCCACCGTCACTCACCTGAGCCTGGCCTTCTGGCCTGCGCCCTGCCTCACTCCTCAATCGCGCTTCGCGTCCATAGAATCGCCACAGGGCGAGAGCATTCCCGCCGGTGGCACCAGCTACTATTCGCACACTCTTGATGACGACTGGACCGAGGCGCTGCTGGTCCTCCGGATGCTGAGCAAGAACCTCTACAAGCTCGAGTTCCTGGACCTGACGGGCTGCGCCTCCTGGTTCAAGGCGCTCGTGCTGCAGGAGGGCCACGACTTTGTCGACTGGGCGGGCTCCTGGGGCAAGGTGACGACGCTGCGGCTCTTTGCGGGATGGAAGCCCGCCGAAGATGACATGCCGTCGCAGCAGCTCGCCTATCGAGAAGCCCTGACTATGGCCAGGAGAGTAGAGAAGCACATTGTCGCTCAGCGAGCTGGAAAAGGACGATTCATTACAGTGGAACGCGATAGTTCCGACTTATAGACTCTAACATACATTGTAAATAATGTCTTTGGATATAACACGCCCACTTGCCACTGTAGTGCGCCACTGTGTTAGTCGGTGTGTCGCTGGCTGGCCTGCCACAGGGCCTTGAACTTGCTGCCGGATCGGAGAAGGTCTTTGGGCTTGCCAGTCTCAACAACGCAGCCGCGATCGAGAAGAATGATGCGGTCGTAGTTCATGATGGACTCCAGCCGGTGCGCAATGGACAGCACTGTATGCTCCTTGAACTGGGCGTCAATGACCCCGTGCACCCTCTGCTCCGTCTCTAGATCAACACTGCATGCACGTGAGCGTCTATTCTCAGGGGAAACAGGGGGGGACCGGACTTACCTGCTCATCGCCTCGTCTAGCAGGACCAACCTGCCCACGTCTCTTCTCAGCACGGCGCGCGCCACGAAGAAGAGCTGCCTCTGCCCGTGGCTGAAGGCGTCCTCGCCAAAAGGTGCGTCTAGCCCGCCGCGCTCCTCGACGGCGCGCCACAGCCCGACGGCGGAGAGGGCGGCGGCGATGGTGTCGTCGGCGTACGCGCCCACGGGATCGATGTTGTGCCGCACGGTGCCGGGGAGGACGAACTGGTCTTGGGTGACGGTGATGAGGCGCGTGCGGACCGTGTCGCGCGGGAGGTGCGCCAGCGGCTGGGAGTCGATGGTGATGCTTCCGTGGCTGGGGTCAAGGAGGCGGAGCAGAGTAAGAAGGAGCGAGGACTTGCCGCTATGGGGAGTGATCAGCTCTAGGGATAAAAACAGGTAGGGTTTCATGGAAAGCATCTGCGAAGGGCGTGGTGTCTCTTACCTCCCTGTTCGCCCACAGATGGCGACCTTTTCACCCGCGCGAATCTCCAGGCTGACGTCGCTCAACGCCTGTACCTCAGTGTCAGTTTCATACGAAGCCGAGAGATTCGATATGACGAGATGCCCCTGGCTCGGCCAGTCCTCCGGGGGCGTGAGGTCCTCCCCAGGCCGGCTCTCCTCAGGCGTCTCCTCAGCAAACTGCTTGATGCGCGCCACCGCGCCGATTGACGTCTCGATGGACGTCCAGAACTGCATGAGCATGTTGAGCGTCTCGCTCAGCGAGATGAGCTGCACGAGCGACACGCCCGTCAGCCCCACGGACACGGAGCCGCGCAGGCGCACCGCAAAGCCCACGACGAGGAGGGCCAGCGCGGCGGTGACGAGGTCGAGCACGAGGACAAGCCAGCGCTGCACCATGACTAGCAGGTAAAAGGGCCGCTGGGAGGCGTCGACGAGGGCGTGGTTGCGCGCGACGGCGGGGGCGGCCCAGCCGAAGGCGCGCAGCGTGGGCAGCCCCGCGAGCGTCTCGAGGAACTGCGTGTACAGCGGCGCCTTTTGCTCGAGGTCGAGGAAGCGCAGCTGCCGCGATGTGCGCAGGTAGCCGCGCTGCAGGTAGAAGTAGAGGAGGCCGAGGAGGGGGAAGCTGATGGCGACGTAGTAGGATGAAGCGGCGAGGAGGCCCGCCTTGGCGAGGACGGCGAAGAAACCTGGCACGGGTGTGAGTGGACGCTCGTGAAGGGGATGGTTGCTGCTGCTGCTGCTGCTGGAGAGAAAGGCTTACTTGCGAGGGTCACTACGAGGGCCAGGGGCAGGTTATTGTCCACCATGCCAATGTCTTGGGAGAAACTATATCCTCCGTCAGAATTGATGCCACCACATGGAACAATGAGCGGCAGTTGGCTGGTCTGCATAAATACCGGGTGGTGATGGATCCAAGGTCTGTGCTTGTAAACAGAGAGAGTGGTGCTCTATTAAAAGTTAGCTACACACTTCATAGTGTCATGTTGCGAGCATACATACCGCACGACAGTGTTGAGCAGGCGATGATGAAGCGACACTCCCGACTTGGCAGCAACCAAGACGAGCACGAACCTGCGAGACGGTTACCACCGAATCTTTCAAAAAGCTGCAATCTGAACCATCCACTCACCAAATCAGCGCAGCGAACCATATCACGCCAATGATTTGCAGCGCGGCGTATATGCCGAGGTAGTAGCCCGTTCGGCCTTCTGCCACGGCCTCGACCCAGAAGTTGAGCCACACCGCTGGCAAGGGGGTCAGTACTTGGGCTCACGCACACGACTGAAGGAGGAGAGGAGGGGGGGAGGGGGGGACTCGCTTGGGAAGCTCTGGAGAAAAGCCCAGCCGATTTCGAGGGCTAGAAGAACGACGAAGAATGTGACCCCGATGCTGCCAAAGTAGTAGCGGTACACGGTCGAGTCGCCGAGCTGCCTCCGCGTGTCCTTTTGTTCGGGGGCCACCTTGGCTTTGTACTCTGCTTTGGTGCCGTCGGCTTCATGGTCGTCCGCAGAATCGTCATGTATGTTGGCGGCTGCGGATTCGGGCTTTGCTGATAGCAGACTGGCGACGTAGCCGCCTGCCGCCTTTAGGGTGCGGAATGTCCCCTGCTCGGAAATTCGGCCCTCTTGAGACAGGGAGATGATCAACTCTGCAGACTCCAGGAAGTTCACTATAGGCCATGTCAGCTCGAGCCCGCTACAGGACTGGCGTCGTTATGTTGCGCGGGTTGGGGAGGGGGATGACCTGATTGAGTTGCGAGCAGAACGGTCGTGCCCCATTGCTTCAGCAGGCCACTCGGGCTAAACAGGTTGGCAAAGATTCTGTTGGACGTGCGACTGTCGAGACCGGCGAAAATGTCGTCGAACAGGGCAATCTCCGGCCTCGAGTACACTGCTCTTGCAAGTGCCTGACAGACGTTGTGAGCAGGTCAAAGCCCCACGTGCTCGGAGGACATGACACTCACCACTCGCTGCTTCTGACCGCCACTGAGTGCAAGGCCCTTGCTTCCCACCACGGTTAGGTCGCCATGTGGAAGTTGCGTTAGATCCCTCTCCAGTTCGCATGCTCTGATGACTTGCTGGTACAGAGTCTCGTTGACGGGGAAGTAACCGATGATGTTGTCGCGGATGGATTGGTTCTGTGAGCGGTCAGGACGAGTTTCACCGGTGAAGTTATAGTGACACCTTACCAGGATCCAGGGGCTTTGGTCGCACCATGACAGCCTTCCCGGGAGCAGCGTTATGCTTCCACTTGCAACCGGTACCTCTCCCAGGAGACCCTTTAATAGGGTTGACTTGCCAGAGGCGACCGGCCCGACTATCATGGCAAACTGTCCACGAGGTAGACTGAGGTCGAGACCATTCAGGGTCATCTTGTCGGCGGTCCAAGAGAAGCATGCGTCATGGGCCGAGACGGCCATTCGAGTATTCTGTAAGGAGTGCCCAATAGACGCCGCACCGACCGGCAGCCGCTGCATCTCGACTTGACCACTCCCTTCCCCGACCAGAGTTTCCCCAGTCGGCTGTACCAATCCAATGTCTCGATACTCCGCGCGAGTCTGCTCGACGAGGAACTTTTGAATCCGCTCAAAGGCACCAAAGGCGGCGCTCAAGTCAAGCACAACCTCGAACATCCAAAACAGCGGTTGCGCTAGGAGGATGATAAAGGACAGCGCCGAGAAGAGCTTTGTGGCGTCCAGCACCTCGCCAGTCTGCGCCGCGACCCCTTGGAACATGGCAAAGGCGACTGGCGGGGCGATGAGGACTGGGACTTGGGCAACTGCGGACGTGATGCTCCCAAAGACCCGGAAGGGCCTGGATGCCTTGATTTCTTCCACGCGTAAGGCGGCGATGGTGGTGGAGAGCTGCTGGGCGAGGCCTGACATTTTGATGCTCTTGATGTGCCCGATCATGGCAGATGTAATCCCTAGGCGTGTTAGAATTATTTTACAGGAAATGTCGCCTTTTGGGCTGTGCTTACCGACTCGCTTTTGCGTCTTTTCGAGCCACCCGACGCGATACTTTTTTGCCATGGGCGCGACGGTAATGGTTGCCAACAGAGCGACCAGGGAGACGATGATGGGCCCTGCGGACGCATACCCGATCTGGGCGCTCAATAGCCAGGTCGCAATGGCAATTTGGATAAGGTTGGCCCAAAACTCGTTGATCTCCTTGAAAGCGCGCACAATCACCTCGACCTACAGGGCGTATCAGCCAGACTTCTGTTCCACTGAAGAAATTCAACTGAGCGGCACTTACGTCCGACGACATGAGCGTGACTGCCGCCGCATCGTCTGTCGCCGTGACGCTGACCTGAGTTGCTTTGGCGAAGACCGCAGAGACGAGTACGCCGCGCAGCATGGTGACGAAGCGGCCGTTGCGGTGCCAATACAGCGCCTGAGAGACGGCGATGCCAATGTAGACGAGCCCGTACGCGCCGACGAGGCCGTACCCGATGCGATCCGGCTGCTTCTCATTGTCGAGGAAGAGAAGGAACCGATTCAGGACGAGCGGCTGACATATTGTGAAGGCAAGCTGCACGAGGCGCGGGACGATGACGGCGGCCAGCGGCCAGCACAGAGCGAGCAGACAAGAAGTGACGAGGCGGTATTTGTGTGAATCTGACCCCAAATTGGGCCTCCGCGCCTCCCAGACGCGCCAAAACCGCTCGCTCAGATGTGCGGCAGTCATTTGCTCGTCCAGGGCGAACAGGTCGTCGGGCCGGAGCAGGCGCCGGAAGCCGGTCCGGAGAAGCGGGGCGACCCAGGCGAAGACGGCCCGAGCGTAGATGCCGGCCGTCTGCTCGGGGCCGAGACCCACGGCTGCGGCGGCAGCACCGCCATTGGACGACGACGGCAGCAGGTGGCGCGCCTTGCCGGGGGCCTCGAGCACGAGCAGCGCCGCCTTGGCCGCGAACGATGCGGTGAAGACGGGCTGGATGGCCGGGCCGACGAGCGACGGCGGGGACAGCCACAGGGTGCGGAGCAGGGCCGCGTCTAGCAGCAGAGATACGAGCAGGTAGACATTCAGGAGCGACGACGGCCGCGGGGAGCGGGCGTGCTCAAAGTACGAGACAAGACACGACACGAGGCTCGAGGCCATGGACACACACGCAGCAGCAACGGAGACGGCCCGGACGGCACGCGGCGCGGACGCCGGGGCCGCAGCCCACAGGCCCACGAGGGCGAGCTGCAGCGCAGCTAGGACTCCCGCAGCGGCCTGGACACGGGCGCAACACAAAATCGACACGTGTTAATCGACGGGACGCCAGGCTTGGAGTGCGCCGCAGGCGACCGGCACAAGAAGGAAGGGAGATGGTGGTTAGAGGAGAGGACTCACGAGCTTGGAGACGCGCAGCCTCGGCGCGCCGACAAAGACGGGCGCCTTGGCGAGGCGGGCGAGGCGCAGGGGCGCGGCGACGAGGAGCAGCGCGGCGGGGAGCAGCACGAAGATGGACTGCTCGAAGACGAGGGTGAAGTCGAAGCCGTGGCGGCAGCCGGGGGCGACGGCCGGGCCAAAGGCGGCGTCGGCCGTGGGCGCGCAGAGCGGCGTGGAGGCGTTCATGGCGGGCAGTTTCAATTGCTAGTCTGTGACTCTGCACGCTTTGGCGAGAGGAAGAAGGGAACAGACCGAGGGCGCGGCTGCAGCTGGGGACGTCGGGGGGTTTTAAAGGCGGAACGGGGGAGGGGGGGCCGGCAGCAGGTGAGATTCAGGGGTTGGCGCGCCGCGCGATGCTGCTAAGCCCGTCGCGGGCTGGATTCAGGATCTTTTGTTTGCCGGCGCTGAGCCGAGGCAAGTTTGCTGAAACTACGTAGCATTCGATCTTGAATTGATGGTTCCGCGAAGAGGCTTCACATCCTTGTGTAGTCTCATACATAAATAATCTTTGGCTGTCGTTGCGATTGCATTGCAGCTTGTAGAGCACAGAGTTCTGAGTCCTGACTGTACTGATCGGAGCCAGGAGAGCGGCCAGTCACCGCGGGGGAGCAACTCGTGCTGGAAAGTGTGAAGCAGGTCGCAGGCACCACCAACACAAAAGCCGGCTACCCTGAAGCAGACAGCATCCAAATGACGTCAGTTTGCACTCCCCGCGGCGTGTGCATCGCAGCAAAGACGGGAGCAAGGAAAGGCCTGCGAGCATGTATATCCCGAGCTTGTTAATTTTCCGACAGCCTTGCAACGCCTGTGTGTCCCCCGTCGCATCTGTGCGGCCCGTGCTGCGGACTGCAGACGCGACGCAATGCGCTGCGATGCGATGCGATGCAACTCCGGGCCCGCGCCACAGGGAGCAAGAAAGGTATGATTCCTGGCGAAAAAAAGCTGGCTCTGAATTTCCCAATCGGGGTTCGGCGTGAGTCACCCCGCAATTCTGGCAGAAGTGACTTTCCGCGCGCAGGGCCATGCCACGCAGTTGCATGTACCTCTGACGTCCCACGCGCGACGTCAAGCGCAGGCATGCCGTCCGTCTCGCCGAAACGGCCACAACCACCCGTTCGGGCCCGCTTGTGGCGACGACAACATCTTGGTGGCATAGCGACTGGCTGTTTCCCTGCCTGCGAGCCCACAGCCATTGCAAGAGTCAGACCCTAATCCTGCTGCTGTCGACTATAGGCTGATTTTTCTTTTCCTTGTTTTGTGACACGGGCTGTCTTGAATCCTTCAGTTGACTAACACGGAAGGGGAGCGCGATCAATGTTCGCCTCTGTCGGCTGACCTGGAAGCTACAACACCACTTGACGGCATCACCAATTCGGCTTGCACGCGACCAGCTGTAGCACCTTGCACACGCCACCTAACGCTTTTATCTCGAGATCTCTTACAGCTAGCCACCTCGCGCGCCATCAAGGGCACGCGCAACCGCCGCAATGACCTCCATGGCTGCCGAGTCGGTGGCCACCATCCTCTGCACGGCCAAGCAGACTCGCTTTCACATAGATTCGCCCAACTACCGCGAGGTGAGCTTTCTCCAGTCCGAAGAAATGAGCCAAGATGTCTAACTGACCTTGCAGCTCGACATTGACGGCCTCGGCATCACCGTCACGTCCAGCGAAAAGGGCGGCGCTGCGTCCACGGCCAAGGGCAAGTCAAAAACCCGCGCCGAGGGCATTGAGATTCTCAGCGGTGCCAAACTTCGCTTGAAGGAGGGCCAGAGATATGCCCTTGTCGGCCGCAACGGCACCGGCAAGTCGAGTGCGTTGCTCTCCATTGGCCCCTGAAACCCCTTTCGCTGACGCTCGACCAAGACTGACTTGCTGCTCAGCGCTGCTAAGAGCCATCCACGAGAAGCTCATCCCCGGCATCCCCGAGGACACGAGGATTGCCATCCTCCAGCAGTCGAGACTAATTGACGAAGATGGTGCCGAGAAGGCGGGCAAGGAACCCACCGTCCTTGAGCTCGTCGTTGACCGCGCCACGTCGCGCGACGTAGTCGAGCAGGAAATCCAGAGTTGGTCGCCATTGCAGTGTCATGCCTCAGTTTGCGGTGCTAATCCTCACCAGCGCTTTCGGAGGGCGTCGACGCAACGGATGCATTCGGCCCCGTGAGGGCTCTCAGGACGCTGAAGCATGAGCGTCTCCAGAAGCGGCTCTTCCGGCTCGACAAGGAAGCCCGGCTGCGTAGCGGCACGCGTGGCATGCAGGCGAGGAAAGCGCTGGTGGCTTTTGAAAAGGTCGTTGCCGACTCCAAAGCAGAGTGAGTGCTCATCTGGACTACATCTCATAGACCAGGCACGCTGACGTATTCCTCAATCCAGACTCGAGCAACCTCGTGAAGAGGTCTCGTCAGACAGTCTTCAGGCAGAGACGCAAGAGGCTGCCGACATGCTCGCCGAGCTCCAGCTCCAGGTTGAGCCGTCACGCCTCTCTCAGGTCGAAACCAAAGCCAAGAGGATCCTCACCGGCCTGGGCTTTTCCGAAGACCGCATGGCCAAGCCCATCGCGAGCATGTCGGGAGGCTGGCACATGCGCGCCGCGCTCGCGACCGCGCTGCTCCAGGACGCCGACATTCTCATCCTCGACGAGCCGACCAACTTCCTCGACCTGCTGGGCATCATCTGGCTGCAACGCTACCTTGGCTCCCTCGAAGACGCGGAGAAGCCGCCCACGCTGATCCTCGTGTCCCACGACCGCGACTTCATCGGCCTCTGCACCGACCTGCTCATCCTCAAGGACAAGCAGCTGACCTACTTCCACGGCGACCTGCCCACGTACGAGTCGTCGCAGGCGGAGCGCAAGCTGTGGCTGCGCAAGATGAAGGAGGCGCAGAACAAGCAGCGCGCACACATTGAGAAGACGATCCAGCAGAACATGAAAGCCGGCAAGGCCAACGATGACCAGAACAAGATCCGCCAGGCCAAGTCGCGCCAGAAGAAGCTAGACGACCGCTGGGGCATGCAGGTCGGCGCCAAGGGCGGCCGATTCAAGCTCAACAAGGAGCTCAACGGCTTCTTCCTCAAGTCTCGCGAGGACATTGACATCCCGCCCGAGGAGCGGCCCGTCGTCATCACGCTGCCTGAGCCGCCCGACCTGCGCTTCCCCGGGTCGCTGCTATCGGTGGAGAAGGCGTCATATCGCTACTCGCCCAAGACGCCCGTGGTCATCCAAGACATTAACCTCACTGTTGGCATGGGCGACCGTGTCGGCGTCCTTGGTCTCAACGGCTCCGGCAAGTCGACGCTCATCAAGCTCCTCGTTGGTGAGACGCGGCCGACAACAGGGAGTGTCACCACGCACCCGCGCCTCAAGCTCGGGTACTACTCGCAGCACGCCGTCGAGGACCTCAAGGCGCTCGGGCGCGACGACCCGGAGCTCACGGCCCTGTCGCTGCTGACGCGGGACGTCGACGGCGCCCTAAACGAGGGCGAGCTCCGCGCGCTGCTCGGCGAGCTGGGCCTGCCAGGGCGTATCGCGTCCGACATCCCCGTCACGAAGCTCTCAGGCGGACAGCTCGTGCGGTGCGGGCTCGCGCGGCTGTTCTGGCAGCGGCCGCACTGTCTTGTGCTGGACGAGGTGACGACGCACCTCGACTACGAGACGGTGACGGCGCTGCGCGTCGCGCTGAGCCAGTGGGACGGCGCCGTGGTGCTGGTGAGCCACGACAGGTGGTTCATGCGCGGGGCCGTCGAGGGGAACATGGACGAGGGGGAGGACGAGAGCGAGGAGAGCGACGAGGCGGAGGAGGCGCCGCGGCGGAGGGTCGTGTACAGGCTCAAGGGCGGGGAGATGAGCGTGCTGAACAATGGCGTGGACCAGTTTGAGCAGATTATGGAGAAGCGGGCGTCGAAGCTGTTGGACGCGTGAGGACTCTTTTGTCCTTGCACTAGGCCGCGTCTCGCCAACCGAGATATGGGGACTACAGGGAGGAGGAGGACATATCCGTCGTATCATCATCACGTCTAAGCTACGTAGTACGCATAAAGCCCACCATCGGGCGAGTGCCAAAGGCAATATACGCCGCGAGACCTCCTCACCATGCAGCCCAACCCTCCCTCCCCCTCTCTCATCGTCGAGGCAGCACACGCGGATCGACCAGCACGCGCAGCAGCCCAGCCCTCGCCTTTTCCACAACCATGTGCCCACCCCTCGGCACCTCGACGATGGTGCCGTCGACGCAAAACTTGCGCCACCGGGCGTCGTCCTCGTGCACCTCGACGCGCAGCTCGTCGACCTCCTCGTACGAGACTCTCTGGGGGCCGTCGCCGTCTTCCCACGCCATGCCGACGTGCGCGCCCCCGTCGTAGGCCTTCATCATGACCTCCATGGTGCGCTGGCCGCCCACGGCGCCAAAGTGCACGAGTCGGAGGCGGTTGTCGAGGGGCGCGCTGGCGGGCGAGATGGTGAAGGTGCGCTCGAGGTTGGAGACGAGGGTGGCGAGGATGTAGGCGTGCGTGGCGGAGGAAAAGTCCTCGAGCGGCTGCTGCTGCTGCTGCGGTGGTGGTGCGTCAGAGGCGGATAGGGGCTTGGGCCGGCGGACGGAGAGGCGCGCGCGGTAGGGGTGCGACTCGCGCAAGAGGTCCTGCGCCACCATGCCGAAGCGCTTGCTGCCGTGGACGCGGTACTCGGGCGTGTCGCTCTCGTGGACGATGCTGGCGTGGAAGCCGTAGCTGGCGACGATGGCGCCGTACAGGGACTCGACGGCGGCGTCCTTTCTCGCGAGGTCGGCGTCGTCGCCGCCGGCGGTCAGCATCGAGCCCCCCTTGCCGTCAGCCTTGGTGGGCACGTACGAGACGACGTGCGCGCCGGGGGAAAAGGAGGCGCGGAAGGCGGGTAGGGAGGCGGGTGCGCCGAGGAAGAGCGTGCGCAGGGCGAGGACCAAGGGCGAGGGTCCGGACCCGGCGGACGGAGAGGAGGAAGAGGAGGCGACGGGCTTGTGGAGGGAGTGGAAGAGGGCGTTGCCGGTGCCGAGGGGGAGGAGGGCGACGATGGGAGCGGCAGGGGAGCTGCTGTCGTTGCTGCTGCTGTCGTTGCTGCTGCCATCACGGCTGCTGCCGCCGTTGAGCATGTCGACCACGCCGCCGTCGCCGCTGAGCAGGATGACCGTCGCCGACTTGGCCGAACCGTCACCTCCTCGCCGTCTCTCGTCCAGCGCGCGGGCGAAGCGCCTCACGCTATGCGCATCTTCCGTAACGACCACGTCGCTCGGCCGCGATGCCTCCTCCTCCCCGAGCGCCTCCCCCACGAGGGCCAACACGGGTCGCAGCACCTCCTCCCAGAACGCGCCCGCGAGACCCAGCCCAGACCCCGTCGACACAACCACGTGCATCTCGTTGGCGTCCGAGCTGCGCAGATGATCCGGCAGCTTCTCGATCCGCCCGCGGCCGTCGCCAAGGAGCTGGTCGGGGAGGGCTTCGTCGGTGCGCAGGGCCACGAGCTGGAACGGCGGCTGGGGCGGCGTCTGCTTCTCGGCGCCGTCATGTTCCTTGAGGCACACGATGATGGAGCCCGCGTGCGCGTCGGCGGCGGGCAGTGTGAAGAGAACCTCGTCGAGGCGGACCTGTTGCTGTGCGCCGTCGCCTCTGTTGGCGGGGCTCGTCCACACGAGGTTGCCGTCCTGCACGCGCACGTCTTGCCCCGTGGTTGGCCGCGGGCCGTGATCCAGCTGCGAGCTCATGACGGAATTCAATCGCAATCAGGTGTGCGATGACAGCTGTATCAAGAAAGAATTGAAGAAAGAAGGAGTTGAAAAGGGAAGGGAAAAAAAGCCGCAGATATCGGGCCCGCGATTGAGTCACGGCTGGCGACAGCTTCGTATGACAGACAGCACACACCTGCGCGCCCCCAGAGTCGACTTGTAGAAATGATGTGCGGTTCTTGGTCAGCGTCAGCATCCCGTTTTCATGCAAGGCATGAGATCCAAAACTCCGCCCGCGCCCCAGAATAGCGAGCGGGTGGACGCGTGGTGGTCTGGTGGTGGTCGTGGTCGCGGCGGCTGCGTAAAAAGCACGCCATAGCGCGGCATATGCCTCTTTCATCGATTGACAAGCGCTGTGCGTATTAAGTGCCGTCTTTGCTTATCTACGCATTTTGATGCAGAGGCCAGCGCATGGAGGAAGCTGACGGCGGGAAAATCCGCTTCCCTAGGTATACCGCAATCTCTTATATTGCCACCAGATTTGTCTAGACTCTAGAGCCGAAACCCCGTGTACGCTGCGTGAATCCGCAAGGTGTAAACGGAGCCCCCACAAGACGCCTCCTCATCCGATTCGCATAAACGAGGCACTCATTCCGTCCCCCTGCGTATGCGTCTCAAAGACCCCAATGCCCGCCCTCTCAGTCCTGAGACGGCGTATGAGCAGCTTCTCGGCGTCGATGAGGCTTAGGCTCGTGTCCCCCACGGAGATGGTGTCCATCTCATAGTTGACCCAGACGTAGCGCGGCTCGGCCCCGATGGTGAAGGCGCGCTGGTACATGCTCAGCCCGTGGGTACGCGCCTCGCGGCAGGTATGCAGTGTTGCCGGCACAGGCGTCGATGAGGTTACGTGCAGGGCCTTTGGTTTGCCGTCGGGGTTCTCGTCGTGGTCCAGCTTGAAGCGCACCTCTACGAGCCGTGGCTCGACGGTCAATTCCCAGACTCGTTGGCGGAGCTCGAGCGGGAGGAGGGGGAAGCGCTCAAAGGTGGCCATGGAAACGTGAATGCAGTGGGCAAAAATGACGGGCTAATGATTATCTCTTGGTTCATTTTGGTGCATTGATTCGACATACGAAACGTAGTTCAATTCAAATTGAGGGTCGATGTGCAAAGTACGTGCCGGGTCGTCGAAGTTGGCGGGGTCGCCTTTGGCGTTCAACGTTGCGCATGCTGCCAGCACGCTGCCTTGTTTGGTTCTCGCAAGGCGACGAACCAATTGAGGCCATGCCCGTGTGACGGAACCAACAGGGCCGGTGAAGGCTCCGAGACTGTGTTAATGACTGCAATGGGCATCATCTCCAGTCTCGACCTTGTAGGGAGAGAGACGTGCGAATCGACCAAAAGAAGAATAAGTCGCATTGTAGCCCTAGAGGTATTTACGAGTCATGGCGTGAGATCGTACCTCTTCTGTCATTCCAATCGCAAGCGACAGAGACATGACCCTGTTGCTACGAGAGTCCAAGTACAAATGCACGGGGACGGAATCCAAGCCAGCGTATACCATCGAGGATTAATACTTTTCTTTGGCCGTCGCGGACCATGTCGTCTTTTGCGGCTACGACCAGACGTCATGGGCGGGTCGTGGCGCGCGACATGTAAGTCGCAGGGCGTTTGTCTCTCCCCCGCTCGCCCTTGGCTCGCGGACCGCTCAACTAACAAGACCGGAGCGACAGGGATAAGGCAAGGAGCGATTACAGCGCGTGTAGATCAGCCGACATGTTCCTTGGGAACATCCTCATACCTTGTCCTAAAGCTGGGTCGAGCAGTTGGTACACGTGCATGCGGCGTAATATTATCCCACGCTGCTCACAACTCACCGTGTCAGAGAAGATAAATACGTCTTGAACTGCTCAACGTGCGCAATTGTCAAACGGCCTCATTTCCTGTCAAACTGTTGTTCGAAGTCGCTGCGCCTCCATAGACTCGTCACCTCCAAAGACTCATAAAATGGACACCGAGTCGAAGACGTCGCCGCCCGACAAGGCCAACGAAATGTACCGCATCGTGCGATGGGCGCCGTTGGATGGCTTCGGAGCCGAGCACTTCCACCTCCAGACAACAGCCGAAGGCTTCCTCGCCCAGGGAACCGCGGTAGGATCACGAGGCGACAACTCGTACGGGATATTCTACCGCATCAACATCAGCGCAGATTGGCTCGTGCGAGACTTCGAGGTCCGCGAGGCAGGAAGCTCACACGTCCTCAAGCTCACGCATGATGGACACGGCCACTGGTCAAGCTCAGAAGGGCCGGTGCCTTCCCTCGACGGGTGCATCGACATTGACATTGCGGCCACGCCCTTCACCAATACGCTGCCCATCCGACGTCTCGGGCTTCAAGAGGGTGCGACCCAGGCCATCAGCGTTGCGTACATTCCGGTGCCGTCGCTACAGCCCCTCCCAATCGATCAGCAATACACATGTCTCGAGGCCAAGCTGTACCGCTACGAGAACCTGACGAATGGGTATAGCGCCGAGCTGGTCGTCGACGATGACGGCTTGGTTGTGGATTACCCGAACGCGTTCAAAAGGGCATGACTGTGAGGGCGGGCAGCCAACATGAATCACAAGCGATAGCCTCTCTTTTGTACATTGCGAAATGAATTGAAGCCGCTCATGACGGGCAAGTCAAACCACAATTAGCGCCCATGCTTCCCTCCTCCACGAGGCAGTAAGCTTAAATGCTCACCGTGTCGTTTGGGTAGATAGGGGCTAGTGGCAGGCTAATAGGAGTGACACCATCAATGGCAAGAGGCAGCAAACCAGCGTGCCTGTCCCGTCAACCAAAGGGCCATTGTAGCGATGCCTTGCGTTGTTAGATGACCGCGAGTTGCGTCCGCGCCGCTAACACAAACGTGAGCTAGCGGGGCGAGCTAATAATATGAGTCGCCGGGCCTCGACTCTCACGAGAGCTCACTCAAGAGAACAAGCTATTAATTAAGCGAGGCCAAGTTTTGACCCCAAGGTGAATTGAGCGCCTTGTCAAGACGTATCGGTAGGGCGTCAAATAAACCGGCGTAATGCCCTTCCGTTTCGGCAGTATATTGCCAGCGGCAAGACGTGACCTCGGATCGTGCCCACGGCCTTCGGCATGCCTCGCCAGTGAGAACCTTGGGCATAAGAAAGGAGGCTGCTAGACGCACACATTACTCTGTTGCGGTTTCGCAGTCTGGGCAATGCTGGCCCTTCGGTGTTTCACGACATGGACGCTGATGATGGTCGGGGGGCTGCAAGTACTGCCCGCGGCAGCAGCGCGCGATCCCCTCTCCAACCTCCGCCCAACCAACATCACCGGCCTCGAATATTACCTCTACCGCTGGACCGGATCGTACGTTTTTTTCCCTCTACTGCCGTCTGCTATTTCATCCCAACGCAGGAAGACCAGCAAGTCAAGTGCTTATACGTTTGGGACCCAGCTACTACAACGGAACCACCAAAGTGCGCATCGAGCCGCGCGACATCGAGGACGTAAACGGACGCAGCTGCGCGACTGCTGGGCGGCCGGTCGAGTTCACGCTTGAAAAGGCGCTGCTGGCAGTCGTTAAGTCGAACCGCTACATTGAGCAGCAAAACGACTTTACGTTTTCGCTCGCCTTCTGGGATGAGAGTCTCGGCGAGAGCCCGCCCGCGGAGGCGGGCTATCTCCCGCTCGAGCAGATTCAGTACATTGACTCTGTGTCCTGGTATGACCTGGGTGGCGCCGTTTTCTCTTTCTGTTTTGTACTCGTGCTGACAATGGCATGGCCTATCGCAGGCTGAACACGGTCGACGTTCCTGTCCTGGACAACGACCGAAGCCCCCCGTCATGGAAGCTCACAACCTCTCACATTGGCAATGCCTCGTACTCCTTCACCGGGGCCCGCAACGCTTCCCAGCCGCAGCTCATTGGCTTCAACTACACCACGTGCAGCTCCTCCGTGGCGACGGCCTACGTGGGCTCGCTGCTCGACCCTTTGTCAAGGGATCTAGTCAAGGCCAAAACCTACCCCGCCGTCACTGGACGGTTCGATGGCAGTTCAGCCTCGATGGAGATTAAGGCCGTGGCTCTCCTGAAGAGCATGAGTGAGGAGGGGAAGAATAGCTCGTACATTGGAGGGCCCATCACGATTAGTTTCGAGGGGAAGCTGGATGGGAATAGGTCGGATGTGTTACTGCCGAGTCATAATGACACGCCGCTGTGGAATGAGACGTTGGGGTTTACGAGGGGCTTGTTCGAAAGTACGAGTGGTGCATGGGCACTTGGAATATATTCTTGGGCAACTGGCGCATGGGCGTTGGCCTTGATGGTTTTATTATGAGGAGTGCTATTCGTAAAGCTAACTTTTGCTAGTTGTAGAGCCCTCCTACATGTTTTTTTTTTCTCGGCCGCGCCCTACCCCCATGCTGCCCTGGTGAATTTTTTTTCTGCCTACATGTACCAGCGCAGACATGGGACAGCAGCGGCGCTCTGCATGTTGCTTTCGTTGCTTTCGTTGCTTTCGTTGCTTTCGTTGCTTTCGTTGCTTTCGTTGCTTTCGTTGCTTTCGTTGCTTTCGTTGCTTTCGTTGCNGTTGCTTTCGTTGCTTTCGTTGCTTTCGTTGCTTTCGTTGCTTTCGTTGCTTTCGTTGCTTTCGTTGCTTTCGTTGCTTTCGTTGCTTTCGTTGCTGTCGTTGCTGTCGTTGCTGTCGCTGCCCTTGCTCCTATGGGCTCTACAACTAGCAAAAGTTGGCTCTACAGATAGCACTACTCTTTATTGCACTGACACAAATACGCACAACTCGGCTCTCATGACAGGACTTCGTGACCTTACGAAGGAAAAGTTGTCACAATAGATGCGCAGCACGCCAAGGCAGGGACAAAAGTTCATTGCGCAGCACCCAACATGAAGCTTCAGAAGCCATCCAAGTCCCAACCTCGTTATGGCTCACACGACTTACCAGTGCCTACCTCGCTGCACGGGATGGACTTGATGTATGAAAATGTATTTGCTGGGCAGTAAATGACGCTGGAGAATGGCCACCTCCCATGATGCTATACAAACAGCCGCACCCTCGGTATAATCCGTGCCCTTGCCGTGGCCCTACTGCGACCCATCACATCGTACCATGAGCTATCTCAGTTGCCCTTGGCTCTCGTCATAGGGCCCCAGTTCGTCGAAGGATTCATCTGGTAGCGCACATAACGCTGTCCAAGCTTGGTGCGGCCCAGCCTCGCCAGCGCGTCGTTGAACACCAGCGTCTTGCGCAGTTCGTCTTCACTCGGTAGCGGCGTCTCTGCTTCTTCTGACTTGGGAGCCTCACTCGCTCCAGGTGCAGCCTCACCATTGCCATGTTCGGCCGCTTCTTCTGCCTTCGGCTTCGCGGGCTGCTCCTCAATACCCTCCATCTTGTGGTCGTCGCCGTCCGCCTGTTCATCCTTGCTGGGAGAATCGGACTCATGTCCGACGATTCCGGCATCGTGCAGAATCTTCCATGCCGCCATGGACGGCTTGTACTTTGAGGTCTTGACTGGAGACTTTTGCCTGATCCACTCCGTCATGATCCACCATATCGTCGACCACGGGGCGTCCGTCTTAATGGCACCTGGGCGGCAGTGGCTCCGACCAACCTGATATCCGAGATGCAAGAGGGCCCCACGGAACATGTCGTCGTTGGGAGTGGTGCTGGAAATTATGCTGGACACTTTGCCCGGAATCACAAAGAAAGGCGTGTGATCGGGTGTGGCGAGCGCAGCCTCGGTGCAGTCGACCCCTTCTTGGGGCTCCGGGCCGGGGAGGTATTCCTCCTGCGCGGTGCGCAGCATGCCCTCCAGCCGCGGCAGGGTCTTGTAGACATCGGTAGGTGCTTTGGGTATCTCGTCGAGGATGCGCTGAATAAACTCTTGGTTGTGGATGTGTCCCGCGTACATGGGCCCGGCCAGGTGCATCTTGAACCCGCAGTAGCGGCAGAAGCGGTCAGCCGTCGGGCCCAATGCCATGCCGTGCTTGAAGAAGAAACCGTCTCCCTTCTTGTTCGGCGCCGGCTTGCTCCGAAGGACGGGCTGGGTCTCCCATGAGCCACAGCCTTGATCGCAGCTATAGACCAACATGGTGTTGGCACCCAAGAACTTGACCTTGTGCGGCGACCTGGTGACTTTGACGAAAACTTTGGTGTAAAAGTCTATAGACAGCGAAAGCATGGGCTCGATGCTCAGGCCGTATTTGGAGCCGGAAGAGGCCACCGCGTGCAGGATCAGTCGCAGAGCGGCCTCATGGGTGTGCATCCCCTTGAGAGGGATGCCCCCGTACAGCGCATACGTCTTTTCACAATAGCTGTGCCCTGCCCACACGGCACTGTCAGTGCACGTGATGCACAGGAGCCCTCCATCATCGCGCACAGATTGGATTGCGGCGTCGAAGAATGGAGCGGCCGTGCCGTAGGGGTCGAGGTCGATGACATCAAACTTGTGCGCTTTACCGGGGTTGCCATTGCGGTCGCGTTTCGACAGATCATCGGCGATCGCGCGATACATGAGAGCGAGGGCATCCTGGTTCGTCACAGTGATGATGTCTTGCAGGCCGTTGTGGTCAACATTGACTTGAATCGACTTGGCAGCCGACTCGGAGAGGTCGTTTGCCGTGACCGATGTGATGAATGGAAGTTCGTGGGCGTAGCGCATGGCACGAAGGCCCGAGGCCGAAAGAGCGTCAAGGATCTTGAAGGTTGGCTTGGGAAAGTTGGGCGCTTCGGTGGCTTCTGTTGCTGACGGTTCCTTGGGTTCCGTCTCGGCCTCCGGGGCGGGCTCTTCGTCGCCGCGCTTCCTCTTCTTCCCTTTGCTCTGCTTGTCTGCATTTCTCGACTGCAACTTCTTCAGGCGCTTCTCCAAGGTCCATTCTCCATAGACCTTGATCGCAAGAGTCGACAGGTCGCGGTTGTACTGTTGGATGGGATTGTAAAAGACTTGCTGCTCCTCGGTGACAGTCTTTTTGGATTTCGGATCGTGGGGCACCAGAATAGTCGCCTTTCCTTCTTTTATCGGTCTGTACTGCTTGCCATCTCGCTCGACGAGGCCGGCATCTGGCGCGTCGTCCGCCATGGGTGTCGCAGTCGAGAATCGCAAAGCACCGGTTGAATTGGTCGGGAACGACGTCGGAAGGCGCAATTGGCGGACCAGGCCCGGTCGGAGGCTCGAGGTATAGTGAATCAGACGGCGGATAAAAATAGCCGACCACATGCAGGCAATTGGCGCGGGCGAGGGGCCTGACGACGGGAGAGCTGATTTCAACCTGGGTCGCAAGTTGGGTGAAGTTGGTTCCAAATTTTGAAATTCTGCCGCCAGCCCGCGAAAGCGGTCAAGCACCAGGTGATGCCCCTCCACCCGAAGCCTGGCTCTTGGGCCCTTGGCAGGACATGGAGCGGCCCCAGCGCCGTGGCAGCGGGTTGAGACAGCTGATGGCGCCAGGACTCAGTGTTTTGGCCCCACATTCCACAAGGTACGGGGCCTGCTTCAGTAGCTCAGAAGCTCAGTCAGCCCTATGAAGCCCCGGAGCTTCATTGCGGAAGTACGTACGTGGTTAAACACAGGAGGGCAATCATGGAGACTTACACTTCTACTACTAAGCCAGATGGACGGGTGAGAAGCATACCTAGGGTGCCCAGAGCCTGTATTGCGCAAACAGTCCGCTGTTCGACCATCATTCTCGCCAGAGTCTAGACTTGCGCCCGCAAGACCCTCTTCTGCGACACGTTTCCGATATACGAACGCAAAGTGGGCGGCGACGGGGCCTTTCGACAGCAATTTCAATGCCCGTGCACGCCCAGCTCTGATATGGCGGAGTCCCCACCAAGGCGTCTGCTCGAAGTAGCTGGCTGAATTTGTGCGTCCTGCGGAATGGGTTCAGTAACCTGCTGGCATGAGAGTCGAGACTACGTATTAAGTTAGGAACCTTGTGAGGGCAGTGGGTTTACACCGTTGCACCTTCCTCACCCAGGGCCAAGTGACAGTCAGGGAAGGCGACTGCCTCGCAACAGCGGAACAATCTTCAACGCTCTTTCCATGGACGCTTGCGACTCACGGGCAGCCACTTCTCGCCTTCACGCGCCTCGCGCAGGTCGACACGATGCAGTGTCTCTCCTTTCCAGTCTCCCCATCGCTTCATTCAGATTCATCGACAGCCCTATCTTCATCCTTAATTCTGCCACATAAATCCCTGACCCCTGGAGAAACTGCAAGTAGCATACTGTCCATCATCCTTCGAGCACCTATCGTAATTCGCCATGTCCATGTCGAAACGGTCCGGCGACATGCCCGTGCTGCCGCCAATTCCCCTGGCGAGCGAGAAGCCCAGCTCACCAAAGGGACATGGATCCGGCGAGGATACGCCAAAACCCCAGCAGCCCCAGCCGCAGAGCCCTACAGGCAACTATCAGCCTCACGGCGGCCACAACAAGGTGCCTCGCCATCGGTTTCTTACTCCAGCCGAGTGGAACATCATCGCAAACGGCATTGGCGGCGTTCAGGATGCGGAGAGTCATAAGCCCGTCCGTCCAGGTCGAGCCTGGTTCCCCGCCGCCAACATGCCCCAGGGCCTCTACCGGGATGTCGTCCAAGAGCGCAACAAGTACTTCTTACTGTACCATGCCTCGTTCATTGCCCAGGCGGCCCTGATGGTACTCCAGCTGCTGATTGGCGCGTCCGTGACGTCGCTCGGAGCAATGAACTTGCATAGCGGCATTCCGATTACTGTGCTGGGCGCGGTCAATACAGTCATCGCCGGTCTCATTGCCCTCCTGCACAACGGCGGCTTACCCGACCGATTCCGCTTTGACATGATACAGTTTGAAGAGATCGAAGACCACATCAAGGAGCTTCTAGACTCGGCCATTGTCCCGGCGAACATGACGACGGACCAAGTTTTGGCAGAGTGCTTTGATCGCTTCCGAGAAGCCAAGGCCGTCGTCGCCGCCAATCTGCCAGTCAATTACAACTCGCGTTCAACCAAATCGGATGGCGACCAAACCTCATCGACGCCGCCGCCTCCTGCTCCTCCTGCCCCTCCACCCGCCTCTCCCCCGGCACCAGCCCCGCCAGGTTTGGCCAAAGCTCTCGTCTGCGGAGACGAAGCACATGAGGCTCAACAGCCAGTGGGCAACGGCAAGGGACGTCAGCAACAAAATTGAAGAAATGACGAAAGAACGGCTGGTGCCGCTGAGCTTCCTTGGCGCTCCCTGATCCCTGCTAGACAAATTTGACGAGAGGGTGCAGGGTCGCCCAGGCTTACTTTTCGGACGGCTTCCATATCATTGTCGAAGAGCGAAGAAAGCGTGCGGGTCTGATAGGGTGTCGGCGACGGGGTCAGCGTCGCTCCCTTTAGCGCACGCCTGTCCCACCATGGCGTGATACAAGTAATAACACGGGACAACTGAGAGCCTGCGACGGCACAGAAGGAAACAAAAATGATCACCATGGATTTGCAGACCCGGGGCATGGCGGTCATGCGCATTCTGCAACCTCCTCCTTCACCCCGCGCGGGCGCCGGACGGGATGAGCGAACGACTGGACTGGGCTGCCAGTTGCGTCGCTGGCTGCAACTCTGCGACGCCGGGCTACTTGAAACGACTGGTATCGCGTGGTGTTAGTGGCCGGCAGACCAGCCGTAGCTCGGTTGATTTTCTACCCTGGTGGGAAGGAGTCAAATAGATCAACCGCCGCCCTTGTCAGGGGTGCGTGGCAGGCCGTTAGCAGGGATCTTCTTATCCAGCGCTTGCCGTCCCTTGCGTCCCACCCACAATGTCGGTTTCAAGTCTCTGGTTTGCCAGTTTCGACTACTGATCAGCCTCCTCCAGAACCGAACCCCGGTCGGCCATGGTTGCGTTGAAAGCCCATGGTCCAGCTTGCTGCCCACACGATGAGACGGCGATCTCGACGTTGTGCCAGTCTCCCATGTCGCTGTGCCGTTCTCATGTAAAAAGCCCTCGCCGCCGTTCCACTCAATTTTCCCCGGGGTTTCGCAGCCCGCTGATGCTCGTCCGGTTCTGAGGAATGTGTCGTGTGTGAGCCTCGCCTCACGTCCACCATGGCCGGCCGTGTTTGAAACACTCTTTTTTCTTCCCTCTCTTTTCCTCTTCCTCCCTTCTTCGGACGCCTTGGTCGCGTCAGTTCAGTTCCATCTGTCTGCAGTTCGACAGTATTCGAGGTCTTTTCTAAAGCGCGCACTACGGCGCTGCCCCGGTGGCCGCCATGCTTCTCGCCAAGGGCCTGCCCGCTCTGAATGTGCGGTTCAGCAGTGTTATGATCGTCGGCCTGCTGGTTGTCTTGTGTGTTCAGGCGGCGCGCTACTGGCAGCAGGGCCACTCTCGAGCATTTCTCGTCGACGTCAAATACAACAACGTGGTCGGAGAGATATCGGCCGAGGAGGAGTACCTCGAGAGACTAGTCGACCTATACGGCCTCACAAACCTGACGAAATGGCAGGCGTGGAGGGTGCAGCCCTCAACCTCCGCCGGAGAGGAGAGCGGCCCTGTCACAGACGTTCATCTCAACTTTGACTCGGCGCGCTCGCAAAAGATTATTAATCTGCAGGAGCCATACAGTGAGGACTTGCACGCCTCCAAGAAGCTGGCGCTGCCTGTCCGCATCGGGGAGGGCCATGAGTTTGCAGACTCTTCCGAGTTTTTGTTTGGCATCTCGACTAGCTACGATCGAATCAAGGCGGGAGACTGGGCAATGGTGCGGGCGTGGCAGCGATGGCTGACCAAGGGCAAGAAGTCGAGCAACGGAGCCGGGCTTGTACTCATGATGGACCAGCTTGCGGACAAGAAGCTCCGCGAGGTGGACGAAAAGCTACACGCCGCGGGCATCGACGCCTATGTCATGTCAACAGACGTGCCGATGAGCATGGCGAGACGATACTACGAGCTGGTGCGCATCCTCAAGACTTACAGCGCTACACTGGCGGCCAGCGGACAGCGGAAGCGCTGGTACGGCGTCATCGAGGACTCCGTCTTCTTCCCTAGCCTGCCTTACCTGCGATCGCGGCTAGCGAGCTACGATTCCAACGCCCAATTGGTTGTTGGGCTGCCCAGTGAGCGGGCGGACTGGCATGAGGAAGCGGACGACAACGGCGGCACCATTACGACCTCAGGGGGCGGCGCCCTGATGCTGACACGAGAGGCTGTGTCCAGGATTCCGCGACTGCCGTGTCTGGAGAGGGACGCGGGCGAGGACCCCGTGCGGCCGAAGCGATGGGACGAGATTCTGAAAAAGTGCATGAAGAAGGCTGCGGCCATGGACATGCACATCATCCCGTCATTGTACTCGCCGCGAGACGAACCGACCGAGCTCTACATCGCGGGCCACGAGACGGGAGCGCGACCGCTCGTGCTGCACGACTATCATAGACGATACAAGATCGACGTGGGGATGGCGCACCTCGTCACAAATGTGTGCGGCGACGCGTGCTTCATGCAGCGATACCTTTTCCACGACAACTGGGTGCTCGTCAACGGCGTCTCCATCAGCGAGCATCCAGACGGACTCGAATACCCGCATAAGAAGGACCACCACCAGAAGACAGACGACGACCAGGAGGAGCAAGAGCAGGAGCAGGAGAAGGAGCGACGCCGGCCCAAGGTCACGGGCCAGCTCGTCATCGACGACAAGGAGGATGTGCAGCGCGTGGCCCTCTCGTGGACGGGGCGGCGCAATGTCTGGGCATTGCTCGACTCAGCCGTCTCCTCGGACGGGGATGTCTGGCAGGCGTACCTGAAGAAGGGGGCACGGGGCGCGACGCCGGCGGCGGAGGGCGCCGAGGAAATGGACAGCGTGATTGTTCTGATCTGGGAGTACAACAGACGCTGATGATATGGCGCTCGGGCGGTGTTGAAGGCGTTCAGGGGCAGGCTGGGGGGATCGGGTTGATGTACGGACGTCCCCATGGCCTTTTACTTTTTTGGTCTCTCTTCATATTCTCATGTCCATATTTCGTTTTCTCATCGCTACGAAACATCATTATATACGTCTTATTAAGATACACCGGGCCTCCTCACACCCTCGGTCTTAGCTGCTTCCACTCCTCCGCCGTAAGCTCGTAGTACAGCTCGCCGGCGGGCTCACCGTGCTCGGCGGGTCGGCGCACGCCCCTGCCCCGGAGCCCGAGCTTGTCCTCGGCGAGGCGCACCATGGGCTCATTGTCGGCGAGCGTCGTGACGGTGACGAGGTCGAGCTGCGGCCCGCCGGCGCTGACGGGCGTAAACGCCCAGTCGATGGCCAGGCGCATCGCCTCGGCGGCGTAGCCCCGCCCGCGGTGCGCCGGGTCGAGCATGACGCCGACGTCGCCGGCGCGGAGAGGCTTCCCGTCGCGGACCCAGTTCTTGATGGCGCCGTAGCCGCCGAGCCCGATCATGGTCTCGTCGCTCTCCTCCTCCGCCGCCGTCGCCTCACCGTCGGGCAGCGGTGCGTCGTCCTGGCCGTGTCCCGCGGAGGTTGCCCCGCCCTGGCGAGGCGAGAGCACGACGACAGCCATGTTGACGCGCGAGGGCCCGCTGAGGACGCGCCGGGGGTCCGCGGGGTCGAGCACCGAGGGCACGGAGGCGTCGGCGCGCTGGCGGGCGATGTTTGCGGCGCAGCGGTCCGGGGTGAGGGGCCGGGCGTTGGGGTCGGCGGCGTTTTCGGGCGCGGAGAGGAGGGCGGACATGGAGGCGGCGTCGCCGGGGGTGATGGTGCGGAGGACGATGGGGAGGGAGGGCGAGGCGAGGCGCGTGTCGAGGTGTGAGGCCTGGAGGGGCATCGTCGCCGCGGCGGGGCATGTCTCGGCGGGAGGCATTGGGGATGATGATGATGTTGTTGTTGCGGCCATGGCTTTGGTGTCTTGGAGGGGAGCTATGAGTTTAAGATCCTTGACTTGCCCTCTAGTTACAGTGACTCTCGCCGCCTTGTATGAGATGCTGGGCCCTTTATTTATTGTAAAATCTAGCAAGATTGTCGGAAGCTCGACACTTCAAAGGATTCTCGCGTATCGCAAGTTCTGACAATTGCTAAGCTCGAGGATGCGCTGGTATGACTCTACAAGAATGCGTTTTCGTATGACACATGAGGCTCTAGCTCGACGCGGTGAGATCTTAAAAGTCGCCTATGACTCCGCAACATGGACTGTAGAGGGGCGGCGTCTAGTCTCTCGCGGGAAGGTGGCTCGGAGTTGAGGAACGTGCACTGCTAGTGCTATCTCCAGTCGCGTGAGGCGGTATATTGCACGGGTCTTCTGGAGCGAATGGGCGGATTGAATGATGCGGAACGTGGGATGCCGGTTCGACGAGTCGTAAATGGCAACGGGTAGTTTGACGACTTTGGACTTGGCTCTTCGCCAAACAATAAGCGACGGACATGCCGTTCGAGAGCACCACACAGCCCCTGGACAGTGGACAGTGGACACTACAACTCAACTGGCTGAGTCTCTGCATCGAAACCTGGGGCGGACCAACCTTCAACCAATTGACTGTACTTGACACATGCTCGATTAGCATCGGCACTGACAATAAATCTTTACACGCAGCTCCAATACTATCAACTCGTTCACGGCAGTCATGTTGGTTAATGAGCTGACTCTTGATGACATGGCTGCGCTCCAACATTACCCCGAGGAGCGCCCCGCACCTCGCCAGCAGACAGGCCAGACTCTCGAGTCTTTCAATGAGCTCTGATCGCCTGTTCGCGACTTTTTTCTTATGCTTGGCCCCTCATCTTCTATTGAGCCACAACTCGGCAATCATCTAGGTGCTCCTCCGCGGCGCTGCAGCGCCCCGCATGATGGCCGAGCATGTCTGTGGTTTCCCCCTGTTCGCCCGCCTCCCGCCCGAGATCCAGTACATGATTTGGGAAGAAGCCCTCCGCACACCCCAGATCGTGCAGCTCTGCTTCGACTTCAGCAGGTACAACACCACCGGCGCCCTCCGCCGCCGCGTCGTGCCCCCACTGCTGCAAACCTGCGCCGCGTCCCGGCAAATCGCCCAGGAGGTGTACGTCGACGACCTCTTCGAGGAGGACCGCACCTCCGTCGTCACGTACATGCAGTCGGGCCTCGACACGCTGTACTACGGGTCCGCCAACCGCGGCGAGAGCATCGGCCACGCCAACGAGCTCTGGGCGTATGCCTTTCCAACGCTGGATCCGGCCGACGTCAAGCACGTGGCCTTTGAGGTCAAGTACTGGGTGGAGCAGCACGAGGGGTGGGACATGATAGACAGTTTGAGGATGCTGATTGGGTTGGAAACGCTGACCTTGGTGTTTGAGGGGGAGTCGGAGCCTGGGAGACCTGCTGAGCTGGTGGACCTGACGGAGGACGAGCGGAAGAACATATTGGGCACGTATGCGCCGGCATTGGGATTCAAGACCGTTGCCGAGTTGCTTGACAAGATTCACGAAGACTTCGTGACCACGTTTGACGCTGAGGAGATACCACTTGACGATATCCCAGAGCTGAGGATCAAGACGCTTAGGGGGAACATTTTCGGGCAAAGGCCGCAATAGTACCAACTTGCTCTTCAAAGTGAAAACAGTGATCCCGGCATTGGGACGGGCGAGGGTAACGTTGGAGAGGGTGTCGTTTGGCGGCCATGAACGACGATCAAACGCGGAAGGGCAATCACTATTAAGACACGACGTCCGCAACAGGCAATGTGCTCGTAAAGTCTCCCGGAATCTCACGCGTTTGCGGTATACATGCACGTCAATGCCAGTTACGGAAGTCCGATGATGTGGTGGGTGCAAACACTCCAGCGCTTGTCGCTCCCACCATACAACCCCAGCTTCCTAAACGAGCTGTTGGGCGATCAAGCCGCCCCCCACAGCGAATGCTGATTCACTGATTCACTAGCTGCAAGGCCACTCCCTCATCAGTGAGTGACTCACTTGGCGATCAAGCTGTGCGTGTGTCTACGTGCGCGCTCGCCATCTGGGGACCGTGACCGCTTCAATTGACCACTGCTAGCCATGGGGTAGTTTGCGCTTGTGTCTGAGACGCCCGGCCGCGTGACGAGAGGCAATCGAACGAACGAGACAAGGAGTCCATTGGTCGAATCGCACCGGTTGCCAGCATGCCAGCCTAGCAAGGCAGCGGACGGGACAGCCGCTTTGGCAAAGACCAGCCTGTCGAGACAACGGGAACGAAGATATGTGCTCCGAAAAGTCAACATTTGCTTCAGGCCTAAGGCTCAATCGGCACACCGTATATCTCGTGAAACGCTTCAAACGCCCACCGGACCTCTATTGTCAGCAATCAGAGCACGGGCTATCTAGTCGCTGCCGCCCTTTTCTTTATCCTTCTCCTTCTCCTTTTCCTTGTCCCTGGCCTTGGCTCCCGCGCTTCGCAGCACCCTCCCCGTGTCGCCCGCGCCGTCACCACCGGCCGGCGTGCTCTCGCGTGTGAGTGGTGACGGAATCTCGGGCGTTACAGAGCGTGATTCGGTGCCGGGCCGCTTGGCCTTGGACACGGAACCGGGCTTTCTGCGGCGCTTGTCCGAGCCGGTCGATGCGGAGCTCGGCCGGCGGCTCATCTGCAGCTCCTCGACACCCTCGAATGATGGGGTCTGGCCCCGCGCTGAGCTGATGGACGGTCGGCGCGCGTTGCTACTGTTGCGGCGGCGGCGGGCCTTTTCGCTCACCGAAGCTCGGCTAAGGTGAGACTTGTGCGGTCGCGCCACGGGCTGCGTTTGCTGCCAGGGAAGCCACCAGAGCCAGCCGTGCGACTGCTTGGCCACCTTGCGGTCGTGCTCTTTGACCTTTCTGCGCAGTATGGCTCGGCGCTCGTTCTCCCTCTCCCAGTACTCGGTCCGGTATAGCTCCCAGTTCTCGCGAAAAGTCGGGGAGAATGGCTTGGCCAGCAGGAGAAGCTTGACGTAGTCGCCGCCAGGGGCCAGGTCCTCTTCGTGGCCGCCCCGCTCCTCGTCCTCGTGCGGCAGGACCAGGGTCGGGTGGGTATCGGCGGAGAGCTGCAGCTCCTTTTCCGTCTCGCGCAGCAGAGACGGATCGACATGTCGGTACGAGGAAGAGGCCGTGTGCGAGAAGAGTCCGTAAGTGAGGAAGAAGCCGATGGTGGAAAGAGCCTCGGCCCACCAGGGCCGCCGTATGATGACGAGCTTGCAGTTGAAGCCGCGGAGGCCCCGATTGGAGATGGCGAACCAGCGGCGTGGCCACCGGATTCCGCGGTCCCAGATGCCCGTTGCCCAGACTAGTATGGCAGTGATGATGCCGCCCATGAAGCAGACCCTCTGGGCACCCTCGACAGCCCAGTAGATGGAGCCACCCACGCCCCTGCCGTCCTCGCGGGGCGCAAAGTAAAGCTTGTAGCCGAAGAAAGCGACCCAGGCAGTGAGCAGGGCGAGGAAGAAGGTGTGGTGGCGGCGGCGGGCGCGCAGCTCAAGGAATTGGGCCCGCAGTGAAGCTTCGAGGATGAGAAGGTTCAGGTAGACCATGGAGGGAGAGCTCGGCGCGCTGTTGAGGGGGTCGCCCTGCTTGGACGTGATGGGCTGGATGGGCGTCGGGCCGGGCGCGGGCTTGATGTCGGGGGCGGCGACGGGCGCGCCCTTGACGATGGAGTCGAGGTCGTCGGCCATGTCGAAGAATCGGCTCGCGTCCGAGGACGAATCCCGACGGCAGTCGAAAGGTGGCCGAGGAGGAGGGCCTTAGTCGAAGGGACGCACTGCCATGCAGGCGCGGCTGTCGCTGGGAGCAAGGCCGCGACTGGCGGATGGGTGAGTGACGGGCGCGAACGTGACGACTCGAGGGGAGGGATGCGTTGGTGGCCAATTGAGGCGCGAGCGGTAAGAGCTTGTTGACTTTGGGCGTTGGTCTGTGAGTCGGCGATGGGGGCAGACGTTGGCCGTGGATGCGGATGACGATGGCGCGGTGGTGGAGGCTTGCAGGGTGCCGAATGGCAGTATTGGGCAGGCGGTGGGCAACGGCTCGGCTGAGGTGGTGGCCAGGCCGGAGGGGACGTCATTCCGCGTCGTTGCCGCCAATTGGAGCCGTTTCACGGATTGAGGTGTCCAGTGGTGCTGCCCACCAGCCCTGGGAGCTCAGCGCAGGGCTGGTGTCGCTGCCGCTGCCGCTGCTGGCGCTGAGAGGCGGTGCGGCCCCGGGGCAGCAGGGACCCGCCAGCGGACGAAGCGCTGGGGTGCGGCGCCCGTGGCCCGTGGCCTGTGGCATGTGAGCAGCCCAGGTGGCCGGCGCTGGGCTCCCGGATTGGCGGGGCCGCCCAATTGCAGGCAGGGGGCCCACCCACGTTCTGGCTCGATGGCCTCAACAATTGTTGAGTTTTAGTGAGCTGCCTGGCACTGCACCAGGGGGGCGACACGCGCAATAGCAAGGTGGTGAAGGGGTCGTCTTGATCCAATGCCTTGACACATGGCAAAAAAACTGCGCAGGGTACCGCTGACACGACCGGCACCCGGCCCAGCCCGAACCAGCCAGAAAAAGCGAGCCGCGTCCAACTTGTCTGGCCTCCTTTAATTCTGACCCTCTGCTCTCTGTCCCTCCATCCCTCCCCCCGATTGACGCGAACCGGCACCCCCCTCCCCCTCGGACACGCCGCAATAAACGGACCGCACAGAGCCTCCCTCCTCGGCGCCAGCGCCCGCGTGTGCCTGATTCCAGCAGCAACCGTGGCATCCTCCAGCGCGCACGCTTACACGGGCAATAGCGCCGGCTTCCGGGGCGACCCAAAATCCGAACAACTGCCCGGCCTGCGTTAACTCCGAACCAAGCCAGCCCAGCAAAGCAAGTGGCCTGCGTCACCACTGCGACGACTCAGTGTACGCGCTTCGTCATCCACTTTCCATCCCGTTGGCTACCGTCCCGGCGTCTCCCCTGCGTGCGTGCGGACTTTGCGACATCCGGACCTGCAACGCCGCCCGCCCGCCCGCCCCGGCAGACAGAACCGGACACGACAGCCCGTTTCCCGCCCAGCGCGGAGCACCACCAGCAGTAGCTTGGTTTTTAACTCTTCGTTACAGGGTCGGGTTTGCTGGGGCGCTTTTCGCATAAAGCTCCCGGCTCACCCGCTTCCCGCCCGCCGCCGCCCCTCCGCCATGCTCAAGACCCAAGTCGCGACAGCGGTACTGCAGCGAACGACGCGCCTCTCGTCCCTCGCCGCCTCCCCCTCGCCGCCTTCGCCTTCCCCCGCGACGTCTTCTAGCTACACAACCGTCGTCATCCACGCCCCGACCTCGTCGTCTTCTCCCGCCACCGCCAGGATGACTACCACCGAGGGATCGGTGCGGACCCAGCATCCCCACGAGGCTGGCCCCCACGCCACCGAGGACCTCCGCGCCCAACAGAGGCCTCAACGGCCGTCCGCGGCCTACTTTCCCCTAGGCTACAAAGATGCCGCCTACCAATGGGTACGCACTTCCTTGACCTCAACTCCAATATCAGTCGTACGCTGACCGTCAGCAGTGGACCAGCGTCACGCCTCCCATGGCCGAGCGAAACGTCCTCTCCCTCATCCCCCACCTCCGCGAGGCCGTCGACAGCCTGACCAAGCCCGTATTATCCTCCTCCTCATCCGCGAGCTCAACGACCGGAAATGCCGACCCCTTCGGCGCCCGCGTCTGGCGACGCTCCCTGGTCCAGCTCTCTGGCAAGAACCGCGCCCTGAATGAGGTCTGCGTCGAGCGCGTCGGTGAGGAGCCCGAGGAGACGCTCGTCATGGTCCACGGCTACGGCGCGGGCCTGGGCTTCTTCTACAACAACTTTGAGCCCATCACCCGTATCCCCGGCCTGCGCCTCTACGCCCTTGACATGCTCGGCATGGGCAACTCGTCGCGGCCCCCATTCAAGATCCACGCCAAGGATAAGGAGCAGCAGGTCATTGAGGCCGAGAACTGGTTCATTGACGCCCTCGAGGAGTGGCGTAAGGCCCGCAAGATCGAGCGCTTCACGCTCCTAGGCCACTCTCTCGGCGGCTACCTCGCCGTCTCCTACGCCATCAAGTACCCCGGCCATCTCAAGAAGCTCATCCTCGCATCCCCGGTCGGCATCCCCGAGGACCCCTACGCCGTCAACGCTGCCATGCCTGAGCCTGGCGAATCCACCCTCGAAAACGAGTTCACTCAAGACCAGCAGTCTACCACCGAAACGTCCAACTCTGCCGCGACCCCACAAAAGCCCGGCAAGGACACGGCCGCGGCCGCTGCACCTAAGCGACCACTCCCCGGCTGGCTGGTCTGGCTGTGGGACGCCAACGTCTCCCCCTTCAGCATCGTCCGCATGGCGGGGCCGCTCGGCCCGCGCTTCGTCTCCGGCTGGAGCTCCCGCCGATTCAACCACCTGCCTGCCAACGAAGCCCAGGCCCTCCATGACTACTCCTTCTCCATCTTCAAGCAAAAGGGCAGCGGCGAGTACGCCCTCGCCTACATCCTCGCTCCCGGCGCCTATGCGCGCCGACCAGTCATCAACCGCATCCAGGAGATCGGCCGCCAGCCGCTCCCGCCGCCCTCGGCCAACTGCGAGGCCCACAGCAGCGACCGCTCCGCCTCGCCCGCATCATCGCTTGCAAAGGAGACGGGCATCCCCGTCGTCTTAATGTATGGCGAAAACGACTGGATGGACGTAGCTGGCGGCCTCGCCGCCGCGGAGAAGCTCAAGGAGGCTCGCGCCAAGGCCCTCTCCAACGCCTCCGCCGAGGAGAAGCGCGCCGAGAACGGCAGCGCCCGTGTCGTCGTCGTCCCCAAGGCCGGGCACCACCTCTACCTCGACAACCCGGACGACTTCAACCGCATCCTCCGCGAGGAGGTGGAGTCCACTATGAAGGCTGAGAAGAGCAAGCGCTTAGCCTCGTCATAGACCTGGCGCTCTTGCACTTTATGCCCATCTTCATTTTGTTTTGGAGGAAAGCATTCTTCTTTTCTTGGATTAGGGGCTTTTACATATAACAGTCGCGCAGGGAGGGACATTGATTCCTCAGCGCGATGTTTGCAGCGTTATTCACATGGGAGGACGACTGATGATGGCGTTTCATTTACATGGCGATGGAGATGTAAAAAGGGGCCCCCGGCACCGGCTCACACGCTGCGAGTGCGACGGCAGTGGCATAGAGGGAGCATTGAGCATGGGCGTTTCAAATTTATCACCAAATACCTCGCATAATTAGACATAAAGTTCTGTATATTTCTCAAGAGTCGCGTGCCTTCTGGCGGCACTCAAAAAAAGACGCTCCGTGTTCGTGACGTCGGATGCAAACGTGCCAACTATCCTGAAGCCCCCTCAAAGGGGCGAAAACCGCAGTGAGCCAACCACCTTCGCACGCTATGCAAATCATCCTGCCACCTGCCCCGGTGCAGCTCTCGCCGCTGTCCAAGTTCTCAAAGCAACAAACCCCACAGCTTTCGTGAATCTGCAAATCGTCCTGGCCAATGCGGTATATCTCAAAATCAAGGGCTGACAGGGACGATTCCTCTCCAACGATCGGCCTTTATTACAGGTTGATGATGTCCACCTCGGAAAAGTCGGGCGGGTTCTTTCCGTACACGACACGCACTTTGCTATCGAGGGCCGTACCCTCGTTGCTGATCCAGATGTGCTCGCTGTAGGCCTTGGTCCGATGAATCTCATCCTCGCTAACCCCGAGGTCGTCGCGCGGGATCCAGACCGTCGGACGTCTGGCTCGCAGGGCGTAGTGCTGGAATGCGTGTTGCGTAAGGATATCCCTCTCCTCGGGCGTCAGATCCTCGATGTCGTCGTGGACGCCGCCAAACAAGGCGTCCCCTATCGCGCGCTGTGACTCGAGATCCTTCTGGCGTTGCTCCCGGCGATAACGAGCCGCTCGGGTGTTGTCCCCGATGCCCTTCAACTTTCGAAGCTGCTGGCCGCCGTCCTTGGCCCAGTTGCCAACCTGCTTGCCACCGCCCTTGGCCCAGTTGCCGACCTGCTTTACGTGGCTGCGGAGCATCTGGCCCTGCGTTCGCCGTTGCGGGTCCAGGTCCTGCAGTTCAATGTCCTTGTCACTGCCTGACGGCCGCGAAAGCTTTTCCCGTAAGCTTCCTGTTTCGTCCTCATCGTCACCTTGCGACGCATCCCGAAGGAGGCCGAAGCGAACGTCCTGAGCTCGCTGGAAGGCTTCGTCTCGCAGGACAGCTTCATCCTCAAACGTCATTGGCAGGTATCTGAACAGCGGCGAGAAAGATATGTTCAGGAGGACCTGGTAGATGATTGTCAAGATCAGAACCACCAGCATGACGACACCATGCGGGGTGCAAGTGTGTGTTCCGTCTGCGTCCTGGACGATGAAAAATAGGCCCGCCATGCAAAGCTCCATGAAGTAAATGCCCGTGAAGGTCTGGTTGATGGCGCGCGGGTAAAGCACGCCGCCCGTGTCCATTTCGAACCTGTTGACGTACAGCATGGCGTACCTCTGAGCAAGCCACAGTAAACTAAACGTGATGACTGCAAAGATGGAAATCAACGGCGAAATGACGCAGTATATCAGGCCGATGCAGGCGAAGTTGGTGTAGACGGGGAAGAAGGAGCCCCAATTGATATCGTTGAGCGACGTGTTTCGTGTCCACTTGTTCCGTGCCGTGCTGTCGAACAGGGGGGCGACTATGAACCACATGAGCAGCGCCCCGACCTGGAGCAGCGTACCGGAGCTTGTCGACAGAGCCTGGAGGACCATGTAGGAGAAGAAGTAGTTTGCGGCCGCAGGAAGATTGTCCGCAAGCAGGTTCAACACATTCGTAACCGACTGTAGCCGCTTGATGTTTTCGATCAGTTCCGTGATAGATCGCGCAAAGAAAGACGCGATTGAGACGACAAGGAAGACTTGGACAAACAGGAATACAAAGTAGTAGACCTGCACGAACTCGCTTCTCTGAGCTCCAGTCTTGGCACCCTTGAACTTTGCCAGCAAGCTGAGTATGATGGGAACGAGGATAAGCAAGAGTGCGAGCGTGGCGGCTGGCAAGACACCTGCAATGGCCTTGATAAGGTTTGATATCGTCTTGTTGTCTCTGAGAGGACCGGCCCAGTCCGCATCGGCGATGATCTTGTCGAGCTGGCTCAAAGCCGCTGTCCAAGCAACGGGGATGGCCCACAGGAAGACCATGGCAAAGACTGTGAGAGTTACGATGCCTGACCGAAGCCATTCCTGCCACCAGTTGAGAGCCATGTTATCCCAAAGGACGTCTCGCGGAGAAATCTCGATCATGCGGGGCGACATTTGACGCGGCAAGTGATGGACAACGCTTTGGCAAGCCATGTGTGCGGCGACCTGGTGGTTGAACTGCACAAAGGCCGACGGCATCAGCGGGAAGCGCTCAGGATGTTTCTGGTCCTCCTCGATTTCCATGTTCAGGCGCGCAAGCTCTTCGCGGCACCAATATATCGTGTCAACCTTTTTGTTGAACAAGGGCAGTCCTGGCAGCCACTTGACTCCGAAAGGGGGCAGACGATGCGTGGGGCGATCCTTCTTCTTAAGATACCTTGCCCACTCCGCTTCACTGTCGTCGTCCTGTTGATAATCGGGATTGTGCGCCTCGGGGTACTCCACGGGCTCCTCGTCTTCGCTTTTTCCCATGAACGGAATGAAGTTCTTGACTGCTTGCCCAAACGTTTTTGGGTTCTCAGCCTTCTTGGCCAGGTACTCTTCGGCTGCCGCGCCTTGAGGCACAGGGTTGGCATATCCGCCTGTGGGGGGTTTCCAGAATTGCCAGAACTTGGTTTCGTGGCGAGAGATCATGTCGTCGGGGTTTTCCAAGACTCGGACCGTGTTTCCTGCAGCAGCATTTCGACTCATCTTCTTCTGGATGGCCTTCGTCGAGCTTTCCGATATAGTCGATGGTGCACGTGAGAGGCTGCGTTGCGCTTCGAACGACACAGTGGGCCGTCTCGACTCAACCGCCTGCTCCCCGGCGTTCTGGACGGATCCAGTGCCAGTTGCTTGGCTTGTTGGCACCCGTTGCGTTGTCGGGCCAGCATTCATGAAGCCGTTGCTAGTCCCCAACGTGTCGTTGACCTCGTTGCCGGCGTTTCGAAGTCCTTTGCCAACCATGGCAAGCGGGTTCACGACGCCGAGCATGCGGTGACCTTTGGCCTTTTTGCGGTCGCCTTCATCATGGCCATGGCCATGCTGCCCTTCGAGATCCCTTTCCGACTCGAGCACCCCTTCCCCTACCGTATGGGGGACTTCGTGCTGGTCGCCAGAATCGGTCCCTTGGCCGCTGTTTGCCAGTTCCTTGGCTCTGTCGTCGTCTTCCTTGTCCCGAGCGGCCTTTTGCTCCTTTGTAGGAGCCTTGAGGTTGTGCTTCTTACGCTCCTTCCTTTCTTCGGCGTCTCGTTTTTTCAGCTGTGCCTTCTTTGCGGCTTTGATGAGGTCGGTTTCGGCGGACTCAAGCTTGGAGTGAACACTGTCTCGGTCAGAGATTTTATCGAGCAGCTTGGTCAGGTCACGATTGAGCCATATGTTTCTGACCCCTCCGGGGAAGACGTCGAAAAGCCCCCTGAGGGCTTCTTCGCTGAGCCACTTGTCTGGGATCGAGCCAACCAGCACGGTGGTGGCAGACGCGCGTAGCCTATGCTCAGCGCTCGTAAGGTAGTCCTGCCGAACCTTGATGTAGACCCGCAACTCGAAGAAAAAGACGGCGCAAACCCAGATGATGACGAGAATTCCCATGACGAGGTGAGCCGTGTAGCGGCTAGTGTTGCTTGAGCTCACATTCTGCCATGCGAGTGTATCGAGTCCTGTCGGGGTATTGTTGTTGCTCCTCGCTGCGTTATCGTTGACATCGACCTTGTGGCCCCTGCCGCCCACGTAGTTGATAGGGATGAGGACTGGCAATACAATAGCGCATATAGGGACAAAGATGACCAGGAGTGTTTTCAGGTAGCGTAGGAAGAAGTAGGCGTCGAGACCGCACTTGTTGATGACTTCTCGATCATCGTATTTAATAAGGGCCTTGATCATTGCCAAAGTGTTACTTGGAGGAGACTCCGTTCGCTCGCGCTCGGGAACCAAATACGTCTTTGGTTTGCTATGAGAAGGTCAGCCAAGATATAGTGCCTGAAGCATGGACGTTTCAGCTCACAAGATGCGAGCCAGCTTGTTTCGTAACAGCACAAAGACGAGGAACTGAGCTGCGAAAATGGCGGCAGCGACACCAATGGCTGTGAGAAAACTGACGATACCGATGCCCTGGGAGCTCTTCGACTTGCTTCCGGGGTCAGTAGCATCGTCAGTGGCTCTCGGCACGAGAGCCGCTCGGGAGAAGCTGGTCAGGGAGTCGGGAATGTCGTAGGTGGGGTACGCGGCTGCTCCCGCCCATGGCAGCGCAGCCCCATGCGCGAAGCCAGCCATGGCCGACTTGCGAGGGATCGATATGTATAATTTGGAGTGTCGAAGGATGTAGGTCGGGGTATGATGTCAGCGGTGCGAGAGGGGAACTCGAGGAAGTAAGTATTCGGTGCCCAGGCGGGCGAACAAGAACGGTGTGGACGCCGTCTCCTGTGACTATGATGTATAGGGCATGAGCCGGGCGGGTTCCAAAAATCCAGCTGGCCAGTCGTGCAGGCAGACAAGCAGGACCGCCCGTGAAGTTTGGGGTTTCAGGAAAATAAAGGGCGACGATGGGCGTGATGGTGGTTAGGTTGGCTTAATACAGGTGGGCTTCGCCCTTCCAAGCGAGTGGGCGCGTCGTGATTGGCGGTCTGGGAGGTGTCTCAGGACCGGGAAGAGGTGCAGTCGTGACATCAGAGGCTGCATTGGCGGCCGCTCCAGGGGGGGCAAGCAGAGCGTGGCCCCTGCGACTCCAGCTGAACCAGGAAATTGCCCTGGGATGGCAGCGTTTAGGCCCGTCACTGCCCAATAACCATGACGGGATGGCGGAGAAGGCCTCCACTGCAGGTGCTTCAGAGCCGTCTAGTGGCGTCGGCCCGCGCTCCTCTCAGTGGCTCGCAGGCAAGCTCGGCGCCAGCGACATCATCCCGCCAAACGAGTGGAGGAGCGGCCCGGAGCACTTTTCCCCAACTTGTATTGTGTTGTCCAGGAGCCCATGGCTGTCATCAACGTCGAAGCGCTGCGTTGTGCGCATGGCGTCTCCCAAACCCCCAAGACGACGCGCACGCACAGGCCCGTTGGCAGACAGGGCACAGCCGCGAAACAAACGCCAGAGAGTCCCCCGTGGTCTCGGCTCCGCCGAACACGACGATCCTGCTCGGGTAGCAGGCGGAGAGTCATGAGCCCGACAGTGCTACCTACCCAGCCCGCAAACTTTCCTGATATGCTTGCTCGGGACCCCACGCCACCGCTCCTGTCATACGATATATCTCCAATACCGAACGCTCGGGTCGGTCAAGGCAGGGGCCGAAATGCATGTTGAACCATGTTACCGGCACCTGTCGTGCTACCGTTGGACATGACGCAGCAATGACGACCTCGTGCAATCCCAGGCCCGCAACCGTTCAATTCGCACGTGACATTAAAGCGTTCGTGGTCTTCCGCAAGTCGCAAATGGATGCTCGACGATCAGTCTCACGTTCCGATAAGCGACCCTTCATGGCGAGCAGGTACCTAAGACAAATCTTCGCAGCCCCGTCGGCGCATCCAGTCTCCAACATGTCGCGTCCGTGGCTGCATGGTGCACGTTCACCAGTAGCTGTCGCAACTCATCACTGCATGACTGCGGTCCAGGGTACTACAAAGTATCAGATAGACACAATGTCTATCATCTCACCGTTCACTGCTCATCTCACATCCATTCAGGTACGAAAACGCGGCTGTCTTGTACAGTATAGTAAGCCAACGAACAAGTTCCAAGCCCCGTCATTCATCTGAGAGCCACCAAACTTATCAATACCCACTGCAAGCACGCGTGTACCTGGTAAACGCAACAGCCAGAAGCAAACAGGAGCAAACACGGGCGCATAATCATGTTTGGTATTCCATGCAACAAAACAATGCCCTGCTATGAATACACGCAGCACCATAGTAAGAACCCTCTGGATATTACTTTCCGTCCAAAACGCCGTATCGAACTCCGTGGCTAAGCTGAGCTGCTGTCGAAAAAGCAAACTCCAGCCTGAAACCTCGACCGAGGCGTGCGCGCCTTCCAAAGACTCTGTGCACTTGGTGCGTTCTACCGTCCGCTATGTTGCGAATAAGCGAGATGCAAGACTGGGATTGTCTTGTCTCAAGTTCGCATGTAGGCAAGCTGTCAAAAGCCTTGTTAGCACGCGACATGCCCGGTGAGGAACAGCAGCTTCACCGTCCAGGCGACTCACCTCGCATCCTTAGAACAGGAGATCCAAGCAGCAACAGCACGCCAGACCAGCTAACAGGCCTCCACAAAGACCCGGCGCTGCACTTTGCCTCTGCTGCGGAACATAACCAGGGCCTTGCTGGTACCCTCCGGGACCGGGACCATACTGGCCTTGGGGCGGATATGGGCCTTGACCGGAGGGGTACGGTCCCTGTTGCTGATTGTAGTATCCCATCTGCGGACCCGGCTGGTAGTATCCTTGTTGCGGCCCCTGCTGCTGATAGTAGTTCTGTTGCGGCCCGGAAGGTCCACCGGGAGGATAATAGCCCTGCCGCTGGTCCTGGCCGTATGGACCAGGCGATTCGTTTCCGTAGGTCGGCTTAGGCGCCTGTGGGGGGCCTCCATAGGGCGGCGGCGCGTCGGGCTTGCTAGCCATGTCGGTGTGTTGTTGCGACAGTCGGATGAAGCACGGCTTGTCGGCGGGAGCAATTCTGCACTGGCGATGGATGATGATGGGGAGATGCGGAGAACCGTTGCGAGGGAGGTGCCGATTAAAAGACGGCCGCAGTCGAAACTCTCCATGTGTCACCGGATGGGTTGGCGCCACCCACTGCCACAGTCGGGAGGTCGGCCGCCGAGGGATCACGTGGAAGCATGGGCACAGCAGGTCACTGCTGCGCCACCCTTGGCTCTGGGGTGCGTCGCGGTCGCGCCATCCACCAGAACGCTTGGCTAGCTCGCGCTGGCCGCGAAGAGCGAAGGCCAATTCGCTCCTGGAATCATTCCTCGGTATTTGAGAATTGACGCAATCCAACACACCAGACACGGAAACCCGGGGACACCTGGTGCCACTCTCCGCATCGCCTTCCAACACGAGGCATGAATGGGCTTGAAGGTTCGACGGCTCGCGCGGCTGAGCTTGCGGGTGGTCAATCATGCCGCCAACAGTGGTCGACGCTCCGGGACCGAGATACAGGCGACACTACGAGGCGGGTAGTGGCCAAAGTATAATTCCATCGGCGTCGGGTGAACTGACCGCATGGTCCTGGCGACTCGGCGTCAAAGTCGTTGACAGGGACCGAGCCACTCAAACACAGCGGGAGCCCCTCACTGAAGGCGCATGGGCGCTCACTGAAGGTGCTAGACGAATCCACTCGCCCAAGCGCAGGCACAATGGACGTTGGCGCGTAACGGCTCTGTTGCCTCTGCCGCACGTGACTCATCGCCCAGCCACAATATCTGTGGCGCGTGCTCGCCCCACGACGCCTCAAGTCCGCACCACGAAAAAGTGCGAAATTCATCCATCGACGAGAAACCCCACGATCGCGACCCCATCAGTTTGACGGCCCCGATAACGACGCGCGACTGACTGGAACGGACACGATCACCCCAAGGAGCTCAGACACACAAGTTTCCATCATGGCTACCACGGCGCCGCCCAAGCCCAAGTGAGCCGACCCCCCGGTGGTGCTCGCGGAGCAGAGCTGGTTGCTAACCCCACCATGAAAATAGGCACGACTGGGCCGACGATGATGATATCGAGGAAACATCGACCGACCTGCCTCCCCCCCAGACCATCTCCAACAAGGACGGCACCAAGACCATCATCACATTCCGCTACAATGACGAGGGCCAAAAAGTGAAGACGACGCGCCGCATCCGCTATGTCACGCACACCGAGACCGTCAACCCCCGCGTTGCCGACCGCAAGACGTGGAGCAAGTTTGGTCAGAGCGAGAAGGACCCCGTGGGCCCGGCCGCCGACACGACGTCGGTCGGCGAGAACATCATCTTCCGCCCCAGCGTCAACTGGCGCAAGGACGCCAAGGACGAGAGCCAGGACCCCAACGCCCAGTCGATGAAGGACAAGCTCAAGGACAAGAAGGTCAAGTGCCGTATCTGCAACGGCGAGCATTTCACGGCCCGGTGTCCGTACAAGGACACGATGGCGCCCGTCGGCGAGAGCGCCTCGGCAGACGTCGCCGCTGGCATGGGCGACGACCCGTCGGTCGGCGCTGCGGGTGCTGGCAAGAAGGGTTCCTACGTGCCGCCTGCCCTGCGCGGGGCTGCAGGCGCGGCCGGCGAGCGCATGGGCGGCAAGTTTGGCGAGAGAGACGACTTTGCCACGCTGCGTGTCACCAACGTAAGTGTCCTAACGGTCTCGAATGGTGGCGGGGACGCCATGCTAACGGCTCGATCAGGTTTCCGAGATGGCAGAGGAGGGCGAGCTGCGGGACATGTTCGAGCGGTTTGGCCGCGTCACGAGAGTATTCCTTGCGAAGGACCGGGAAACGGGCATGGCCAAGGGTTTTGCCTTCATCAGCTTTGCGGACCGCGGCGACGCCGTCAAGGCCTGCAACAAGATGGACGGTTTTGGTTTCAAGCATCTCATTCTCAGGGTCGAGTTTGCCAAGAAGGCCCAGTAGGCTGGTTCTCTGGACATGACGAGGTAGTCGGGGACGTACGGGTAATGCATTTTCACGGCTTTGGTCTGGACTTGAGCTGGTTGCGTGTTCTGTGCCTCGTGCTGTGTTCGTCGCCGTAGTCGCCGTGTGTCAAACCACACGGGCTGGTCTTGTGTCGAGCAATCGGGATTGGTTCCTGGAGCGTTGATCGGTTGCGTAGATGCCAGTTGTCTGGTGATGCGAGTCTGGGTGGTTTCGCGCCCAGGCTGCATGCACCTGCGGGAGGGGACATTCCTCATCAGGCTATTGTTGCCGAACTTTTGTCCACCATGGTTGGAACCTCTCCGTGCACGAGACAGGGAAGTCCGATCCGATGCCGTTTGGTCATCAGGATCATGTGTCAGGCCTGTGTGTAAGTCCTCAACAAGACGGTGGTTGCTGTTACTATGAGCTTCCATGCTGTGCGAAGCCCCGCATATGACATTGGTTGGGGAATGCTAGGGTGAGGCATTACATTCTATTAGGCATGGGCAACACAAACGCCCGGGGTAAGGAATGGGGTGGAGTTTGGAGGTGCGCCGCCACTTTGCAAAAACGACAACTTTTTGGCTTGTGATAATGGGTCTTGGTGTTGTGACATTGACGACTGCCCGTATCCTACTGGCGAGTCGCGCTCCAGAGGCCTGACCGCTGGAGACCCGCCCTGAGTTCGTCATATCCGGGCGCCGGGCCGCTCCCAACAGAATTGACAGGACCAAATCGCGAATCGGCCCTGGCGGAAAGGAAATTGGTCCCCCTGGCTTGACCCTCTGTCGACAGAGGCTGGGGGGGGGTGGAGCAGCCAACCAGACAGGCTGCGCGCGTGGGCGGAGATTCCATCTGCGCTCATCCCTGGACTTGGTCGTCCGGTGATAGCCAGCATGCGTTGGTACGTAGCCCGTCTGGATTGGGGTCGCTGGGAAAGGTAGCGTGGGCTCCAGCCTCGTCTTGCAGCCGCTAATGAAAGGCCATCTGTCCTGCTTGTGCTTTAACAAGGCATGGAGACGTGGGGCCAGGCCTTCTTGCTTGAACAGACATCCTGATTGGCAATACAAGTCCGGTACCGTCAAATGTATGCATGATATTATGTACTTTGTACCATGAGAACGTCCTGAGGGCTTCCAGGTTGTTCTGCGACACGCAGACTGCCGGAGGCCAACTGCCAACTGGAACTTACCCCCCCGGAGCTCGCCCACGGCAACTCGAGGGGACGTGACCTGGCGGCCCTGCCAGTGGATCGGTGGCATGCAAGGCCCCCCGGCGATGGGCCAATCCGGCGGCCTCCTCGCCCGCCATCTCGTGTCGCTGCGCGCATGTGCAAGTCGAGCCCTGGCCCCCGATGGGCAATCTCAATGCCAACAAGCTTTCGAGGCGCGGCGGATCAAAGCCATCGTGACGTCCAGCTCCGGAATGGCAGGCTGCGGGCTCCCGCGCCCAAGACGGGACACGAGACACGTGCCAGCCCTTTGCGAGCGGCGAACCCTTGCCTGACGCTCACTGGCACCCTTGTCAACCCTCTTCCTCCTCCTGGCTTCTGCGATCCCACCACCATCAACGGCGGCAGACGAGATCCAGGCTTCACACCTCACCCGCCCACGCCACGGCCGCTTGCACCCGACGGCACCATCTTGCACACGTTGGCGGTTGCTGCACGGCGCTGCGGCTTCGCTGCGCTGCAACCCGCCCATCTGCAGGCCCTCCACACCGGCGGCGGAGACTGTGACGTCGGACTCCCCTGCGGGTACCAGGTTTCCCATACTAAGTTAACCCCGCGACGCCGCCCACACCGTGGTGCTGCTGCATTGCTGCAGCCGCCCGCTGTCGACGCTGACTACGGGCCCATAACCTGGAACCTGGAAAGGTACCTAGGGTACCTGGCGCCGCCGCGGACGTCCGCCACTAACAGCACTGTCCGCCGCACCGAAACCAAGACTGCCGTGACTGCCCGCCCGCCCCGGAGGCATCAGTACTAATTAAGCCACCTCCCGCACCCTGGGGCCCCTCCCGCCCGTCGCCCTCGCTTTGTTATTCCTCAACCACCTTCCGGCGTCTCGACCCGCGCGCATTGGCTTTCAACAGGACCAATTCGTCGACTATGAGCACCGCCGCAGAGCTGCCCTCCGACGGGGGCGAGCTCCGCCTGCGGCAGGCTCGCGAACCGGCCAACACCCCTCCGGCCTCGAAGCCCGAGCATGCCGCGTCTGAGGGCAATCTGGCACTCGATGGGGAGCACGCGGACAATGTCAAGAGCAAAAAGACATTCGGCCGCACCCCAGATGGCACAGGTACGCCAGCCGGTAGCCACGTCCAGTGGCATGCTCCGCCCCGTCTGTCTGTCTAGACGTTCGTCCCACTGACAATGGCGTCCCCGAGCAGTCTTCATCGTGCCCACGACGCATGACATGGTCTCTCAGCTGCTAGACCCCCGCCAACCCAAGAACCTTTCCGATGCGCTCGTCCTCGGGATACTCGCCTTGCATATCTTGGCTGCCTACATGCTACCCTCCGGCTGGAAGCGCCCCGTCTTCGCCCTCATCTTCCTCTGCTGGCGCGCCGCTTACAACGTCGGCATCGGCGTCTTGTTACACATCCAGTCGCACCACCGCCGCCTCATCACGTGGGCGCGCCGCTGGAAGCTCTTCGAGGACCCCAAGACGGGCAAGAACCCGCGCCCGTGGTTGTACAAACTACTCAAGCGAGAGCTCGAGGCAAAGATCCCGGAAGACTACGAATTCGAGAAGGCGCCTCTCGAGTACAACACGTGGCTGGTCTTCCGCAGGGTCGTCGACCTGATCTTGATGTGTGATTTCGTGTCCTACTGCCTCTTCGCCATCGTCTGTGGCCACACACCCAAGGGCGAGGGCATTGTCATGAGTCTTGCGCGATGGGCGCTCGGCATCGCCCTTGTTGGCTTCAACCTCTGGGTCAAGCTGGACGCGCACCGCGTCGTCAAAGACTTTGCGTGGTACTGGGGTGACTTCTTCTATCTCATCGACCAAGACCTGACGTTCGACGGTGTGTTTGAGATGGCGCCGCACCCCATGTACTCGATCGGATACGCCGGCTACTACGGCATCTCCATGATGGCCGCCAGCTACGAGGTGCTCTTCATCTCCATCGTTGCGCACCTCGCTCAGTTCGCCTTCCTCGTGACTGTGGAGAATCCGCACATCGAGAAGACATACAACCCGCCTCCTCCCCGGCCGAGAACCCTGACCCGGAGTCAAAGTGACATCTCCCTCACCCTCGACCACCATGACGAGACCTTTTCCGACCGCCCGAGCTCGTCCGCCTCCGCCACCGCTCCGGCCTACGTTATCAATGATCCGCCCGCCGCAGTGCATGACATGGTTGGCCTGAACAACATGGACCTGTTCCGCGTGCCTGACTGTGTCGTCGTCATTCTGCCTCTTTACGTAGCCGTGCTGACGCTCGTGACGCCCTCGACCCCGATCTGGCAAGCCCTCTTCGTGGCGCACGCGTTGGGCTGGCGCGTCTGGTACCATCTCGGGCTCGGCCTCATCTTGGACAGGCAATCCAAGACCAAGATGTGGACGCGGCATTTCCTCAAGTTCGGCGAGAGCGCCGGTGAGGCATGGCGCCAATGGAAGGGCATGCATCACATCAGCATGATCATGTGCAACACGGCCTTCATCGCCGCCTGCTGGAAGATGTACTCGCCACCCGCAGACTGGGGTTACGGGCTCGTGCTTCTCAAGCACGTCATGGGCGCGTCCCTGGTCGCACTGCAGCTTTGGACCGCTTTCAGCGTGTACGACTCCCTTGGCGAGTTTGGGTGGTTCTGTGGTGACTTCTTCTTCGACCAGGAGGCCAAGCTCACGTACACTTCCATCTACCGGTTCCTCAACAACCCAGAGAGAATTTTCGGCACGGCCGGCGTCTGGGGCGGCGCCCTCATCACGTGGAGCAGGTCCATCTTCATCATGGCCATTGTCACGCAGATCTTGTCCATCTTCTACCTCTCCTTCATCGAGAGACCGCACATGCAAAAGGTCTACGGCAGAAGTCTGCGCAGGGAAGCTGGCCTCACCAAGTTCATCAAGCGGTCGCTGCCGCCGCCCGTCAAGGGCTGGCAGGAGAGCGTGGACAAGGTCCTCGACGACACGGCCCACTTTGTCGAGGACTTCCTCGACACGGCACGGCCCAAGTTTGCGGCCGGCGTCAAGACGATTGTCCGCGACACGTCGGCCCTCTTCAACATGGCACCTGCGCGTCTTACCCTTACGCGGATCGCGCCAGACCTGGCGGGTCTGGACCCCAAGCAGTACACACTGAGCGTCGACGGCACAGTGTCGGTGCTGGCGTCAACGAGAGACGTCCGTGCTTCGGGCAAGGAAAGCGTGACTGGTCGGTTCCCCAAGGAGGTCAAGACGAGGATCTACGAGTACGGCTCACCTCTCAAGGTGAAGTGGCGGGCTCCGGCGAACCACAGCGCCAAGGACTGGATTGGCCTGTACATGGTGACAGACAATCGTTCAAGGGAGGCGACCGAGGTCTCGTCCCTAGGCCGCTGGGCGCCGACGAACGCGGGCAGCTACGATGCACTGACGGCTGACAGCAGCATTGTCGTGGCGGAGCATGCCGTGGCAGCCAAGGGTAGGACCGGCTCGAACTTGGTGGAAGGCGAAGTGCTGTTCCAAGGCGACAAGCTTTGGTGGACGCAAGGCGTGTTTGAGTTCCGGTACCACCACGACGGTAACCACAACGTCATGACCATCTCGGAGCCGTTTGAGATTCGGATCGGGCCGTTTGCCGAGGAGGATGTGGACGTGGACGCCAAGGGCATGTACGCCAAGGCGGTGGAGTCGGCGATCCTCCCGGTGGTGAAGAACTGCCTCGACCGGGACCCTGACATCGCGCCGAGCTCGGTGGACGAGCCGTTTGGCAGCCACGTGGAGCGGGATGGCAAGTACGCGCGTCGTATTGTATACGCCATCCGCGAGATGTTTGGCATCGAGTTTGCTCCGGCGGTGGTGCTGGCAGACCGCAACGTGAGGAAGCTGGCGTGGAGAATCTGCAACGCCAAGGAGGTCCTGGTAAGCAACCCCGCCTTTGACGATGTCGTGTTCAATGCTGACAGTGACAAGGCCCCATACAGCATGTCGCACTCCAAGGGCACGACAACGCCAGCTGCGCTGGACTTTGAGGCGCACAAAGCATAGACGGGCAAGCGGAAGATGGGGGGTTAGCGCTGAACAGGGGCACTAGCGGGATGGAAACAAAACATAAAATGGCGGAATAGATGGTAGATACCAATGATCAATTGCAGAGCGTTGTCAGAGCGGAAAACATATTCGTCATATTCATCCGCATCCCGAGTGAAGAAGCGTGGCGTTTCCCCGGATAGGCGGCGATGGCTTGGATGGCGTGCGGCTCGATGGGGCTGGCCGTCTGGGGAATGTGTGATGAGCCGTGGGGGTCTGGCGGAC